AAATTTAGAATCGCCCAAGAAAAAGCGGAGTTATATTAAACGTGTAACCAACACAGCGACATTGGATACAAGTGCCATTCGAGAAGTGATCTATAATATGTATCACAAAAGTAAGATCTTATTATAATAACTTATCAGAAATTTGCATTAATTTGTTAACTAAATTATAATGTCATATTACACATGGTTTCAGAAGAACAAGTTACGATACAAACTTTATGGTCTCGATTAAGAGATAGGGCATTATTTGATGGTAGTGCCACGTCTTTAAGGCGGTTGCTTAGAGATCTTGGATTTAAGTGGCTTAAGGACAATCCGCGACGAGGGCTCATGGAACTACCAAGTATAGCTTTGAAAAGGGTGGAATTTCTAAGGCAATACAATCAAGCCAAGGTTGAGGCCTTATACCAGTTTGTCTTCCTCGATGAAACTTGGATATTTCAAAATGGGACCATAGGTCGCTCTTGGCAAAATGGAAACCAAAAAAGCGTGAAAGCTATTAAAACAGATGGTAAAAGGTATGTACTTTTACACAATTTGCACTATAAAATTTAAAACTAATATATTTTAGATACATTATATTACATGCTGGAAATGAAAATGGGTTTATTGAGGGTAGTGAAGCGATATTTTCTTCGAAAACAAAATTGAGCGATTACCATGGAGAGATGAACCAGGACAATTTTTTGAAATGGTTTCAACATCAGTTATTAGAAAAATTGGAGAGTCCATCTATGATTATACTGGATAACGCCCCTTATCACAGCATGATATTGAACAAAGTGCCCAACAATGCATGGACAAAAAAAAATATCCAAGACTGGTTGACAAATCAAAACATAACATTTTTAAACACAATGTTTAAAACAGAGCTATTGAGTATTGTTGCTCGGTACATAATGCTTCTTAATTATATATATTTTGGTCGACAGTTTATATTTCTTTTGTTTATTCCTATTCTTAAAATAACTGCTTTTTTAGAAACAAACCACCTAAAATATACGTGATTGATGAATTGGCGGAACAACATGGGCACAAAGTTCTTCGTCTGCCTCCTTACCATTGTATATTTAACCCTATTGAGTTAATTTGGGACATAGCAAAAGGTTACTATAACAGACATATTGGTAGAGATGGTAACAGTGAAAAAGACTGTTTGGATATGTGGAACGAGGCTCTACAAACGGTTACCCCAGACATGTGGAAAAATAGTGTTCGACATACTGAGCAAGAAATTTTTAAATGGTATGAAAGAGAACGAATTTTTGATCGACCAGACATCGAACCTTTAATAATCAACTTTGAGAGTGATGAAGATTCAGATTCAGACAGCGCTGAAGAAAGAAACTCCGACTAACTTTATTGTACAGAAAAAGCTTACACCAGTAGCTTACCTAATTTTAGAATGCATTTTTCTGTATGAATTCTGTAAAATAAATACCATGCATAAAATTTGGAGGACCCCATTTGGATTTTTATTCAGTACCTTTAAGCTATCAATTAAATATGGTAGTTTCATAGTGTCATCTGATCAATAATTGTCATACTTAATGATTATGCAAGTACAGATCTATAATTTTATTATGCTATTATTTTTGTTCTCATTTGAGGTTAATATTGCTTATAAACCTAGATATGTAAATAATAAATCTTATTATTTTACAAAAAGTTTGGCAACAATGTAAATTTTTCAACACACCCACCTTGATGACGTGCACGCCACTTTGTTTGGCGTTGACTATATTGAATATACATATAAAAATGATTAAAAAATTATTTCTCTGTCCGATAATCGTTGATGAATTGATCACTATAAACTATAGCTTGACTGATATTTGCTCCAACTTTAACACATTTTTGGTGAGGAATCTCCTATTTTAATTCGTCGAAAGTCATATCACGGGAACCCTCATCGCAGTGAGCTAGCCAAAATGAATGGTACAATTGAACAGATAGAGAAATGCCCGACACCAAAACTGCCAAACATTTCAGCAGCTATTACAGAAACCAATACTACAGACGCACAATTCACAACTACAACTGTTTGCTATATTAACTACTACACTTGCTCTTTTTATTCGCTCCAACACAGACACGAAATATTGGTAAAGACCACACATAAAAATATCAACCAAGGATCACCGGGAAGATTAACGAAATATATATCGCCACACCTGTTTGCAGCTGCAGATCCCACACGGAAGAGATTGCACAAAATTAATTCTGGAAATACTTTTTTGACTTCTAATGTCAAAAATTAGGTCAAGCTAAAAAAAGGTTTTTAGGAGATTCCTGAATTTTTAGTTTGAATATGGAGGAAAACTCTAAAAAGGATGGAGCTAGTGAGCGAGTGGACAGTGTGGTCTCACTGAGTGAAAAGGGATTTTGTACAGAGGAAGTTTTGAAACTAAAAGGTTATACCATTTCGATTCAAGAGAAATTAATAAAAGAATTGTACGAAAAGATAGACCAATTAAACAAAAAAATTGGGAAGATGCAACAGCCGTCACAAGAAGCAATTACAACTTACGCTAATATGGTTAAAGCTTCAGGGCCTTCAACCGTTAATTCGCCTACAACAATGGTAGAATATAAGCAGCAATGCTTACCATTGCAAACACGTACAGCGAAAAAACAATCACCAGTATTAAAACCCACAAATACAGTCATTGTTAAGCCTAATAACCAACAAGAGTGTAATAACACAAAGAAAGACATCGCAAAATTTGTGAATCCTACCAGTTTGAAAATTGCTATTGAAAAAGTTTATGAATTGAAGGATGGTGGGGTGAAAATCCAATGTAAAACAAAAGATGATAACGCGAAGCTACATAAAGAAATAACATCAAAAATGCCAGAAACATATACAGTGAAAACTTCAGAGATAAGTAAAAAACCACAAATCAAAGTTATTGGAGTTTGTCAAGAATATGCAGAAGACGAGCTAATAAATACTATAAGATCACAAAATGAATCTTTTCAAGAAAATTCACATATGAGAGTAATTACAATCAAGAAAATGAAAACTAAATATCAAGCAATTTTAGAAGTGGATACTGTGACTTTTAAGTGTGTTATGAATCAGGGTGTTATTTTTATCGACATGACTGTTCAATTCGAAAACGGTACCGAAACAAATTCTTTGGTGATTGCAAACAAACTAAATGAATATTTTGTGGAAAGTATTGTTGATATTGTGGGTACTGCCAATGCTGCACCTGACCATATGAAAATCAGTTTCCAGGGGGAAATGTTGCATACACTTTCAAAATTTCACAGCGTATCATTGAATTATCTAAGAAAAAAGTAAACAGTTTAAAATCAAATAACAACTGTGCCGAAATCACTACTAAAAACGTGCTGAAAAACTGTTTCGAAATTTTGGGATATCCTGTATTAAATTGGATCAATTGTTCGCTGAGTAGCAGTTCTTTTCCTGAAAATTTGAAATGCTCTACAATAACACCAGTTCCCAAAATAAAAAGTTCTAAAAGATGCAGCGATATGAGACCAGTAAATGTGTTACCAGACATTGAAAAATTATTAGAGTCCATAGTGCATGACCAATTAATTAAGTTTATAGAAGAAAACAGAATTTTAGTGGAGGTGCAAGCAGGCTTTCGAAAAAAATATTCCACAGAAACAGCTTTCCAGTTGGTAACTGAGAATTGGAGAAGAGCCATAGACTCAGAAGAAGTTGTCATAGCAGTATTTTTGGATTTGAAGAGGGCATTTGAAACGATTGATAGAGATATTTTGTTAGGTAAATTGAAGGCATATGGTATAACAGGAAGTGTTTTAGATTGGTTTAGAAATTATTTGTCTAAAAGGATGCAAGTTACAAAAGTTAATGATACTATTTCATCAAAAATTGAAAATACATTGGGTGATCCACAGGGCAGTATCCCGGGACCACTTCTTTTTATTTTATACATTAATGATTTACCTGCCATAGTCAAAAAATGCAAAATTCAGATTGTCGCCGATGACACTATGATTTATATAAGTACTAAAAATATTCAGTCTGGTATCTCTTATATAAATGAAGACTTGAAGCTTGTCTCAAAATGGTTAGCATCTAACAGACTAAAATTAAATGCAAGTAAAACGAAAGCCTTGTTAATCTGAAAAAAGCAATGTACAAATGTTCAACTGAATATTGATGGTGAAGATATTGAATTCGTAGAAAATTTTAAATACCTGGGGGTTTTTGTTGACTCTCGATTAATTTTTGATATTCATTATGAAAAATATAAGTGGGATATTTATCGAGAATTTCTGGATGTCTGAGTTCATATAGCAGAAAAATTATCTATAATACCATCATTCTTCCAAATTTCTTGTACTGTTCGACTATTCTATATTTAGCAAATAATTCCATTTTTGAAAGACTGCAAATTTTACAAAATAAGTGCATGAGAATAATACTAAATAAAGATAAGTATACTCCAATTAGGCAAATGCTTAGCAAATTAAAATGGCTCAATGTGAAAAATTTTATCAAATATCTTGTAATGATATTCATTTATAAAGTAAAAAATAATATATTCCCATCAAGTCTAACTAATTTACCATCATCAAATGTCGACCATCATCTACATAATACCAGAAATAAAGATGACTTCCATTTAATAACGAAAATGATTGAATATAATAAATTATACTCGGAGATAAAAGACCAGAAAACTTTGACAAAATTTAAAGTAAATTGAGAAATCACTTGTTAAATCTGCAAATATAGGTTGCCCAGCATTTACATCATACACCATATGGCTTGAATTTGCTAGTTCTAAGTTGTTTACAATTATTCTGTTTATGTAGCCAAATGTGCTAAATAAATCTTTCTACTACTACTAAATGCGGAATGTTCGGCGAAGCTCGTACTGTCTGGGACCGGCTTTAGTGTATTTCCAAATAAAGACGACTATTATTATTATTATTATATTTATTACAGCATCTCGGATGTATGAGAGCGTACCGCCTGCTACAAAAAAGCAACAATCGTCGTTGAAGCACAAACTTTTAGAGAGCGACAGTTCGTTCGCGTCCCACTGCAGATCTTTCGAATCGCAAATCAGGGAGTTGAATCAACAGTTCAACGTGATCAAGGACAAAGTCGGCGAATTGCACAAGGACATCCTGGCGCTCAGAAAGGCGCAAACGCCGCCGCTGGTCAACAGATACGAACTGCTCACCAGAGAGTGCATGCATTTAGATCAAAGCTTAGAAAGGTAGTGATACGTTTTATGATGTTGTGTGTTTTTGTTTTTTTTTTGGACTCATCCCACCGTTATACGACGTATTGTACTTTGCTTTTCTAAATTTACAGTACTTAATCCAGCTGTCTGCTGTTCTGCGGTACCAGCTCATACACTTACAGTAGATACTTATTAACACATATTTTACATACCTGCCTCGTAGAGAGATCTACGAGCCCCTTCCCACTTCAGTTTACTTCTAAAACAATTTATTTTCTCAAAAACATTTTAGATACACTCTAGTCGTGAAAAATACATATTTGAAATCACTTAGACCTATAACTAATAGAACATCTGAACAAATAAACAATGTGCGTATAAATGCGCGAAGTTAACAAAGCAACAATTGAAAGATTACCATTGGGTAACATCACCTTTATTTTTTATTACGGCTGAAATTCTTTGGAGCATAGTGTTAACCAAGTTTTGGCAAAAATTTGGTGTAAAACAATCCCATATTTCTTGAAGCTTTTGTCTCAGTTCGGTGATTGTACGAGCAGGATGTTGTCGTAGAACCTTTTTCATCTCGTGCCATAAAGTTTCAATAGGTGACAGATCTGGACTGCTAGAAACCCCCATTTCAAAAGTGGTACATTATTTACTTCCATCCATTTTATAGCCTTTCTTGAGGTATGGCACGCTGCACCATCTTGCTGAAACACAAAATCTTGGCCGGATGTCAAACATTCTTCCATCACTGGTAAAAGCGATTCTTCTAAAATTGCCAAATATTTGTTTGTATCCACATTTCCATCAATAAAATGAAGTTTTCCTACTCCTTTTGATGACATACTGCCCCTGACCATAATGGATGCTGGAAATTTCACTTTTCTCTTCAGACAGTCAACGTGGAATGCTTCATTTTTTTGCGAAAAACTCTACTGCGACTGTCACCAACACAAACTTCGAATCGGGCCTCATCACTCCATTGTATTGCACACCATTGTTGAGGTGTCCATTGTCTATGTTCTTTAGCCCATCTAAGCCGATTTTTCTTTTGCAGTGGAGATAATAGTGGCTTTTCTTTGGCCTATAAACAAGTTGTGTAACTTTAGGGTTTTTACTTCACTTTTTTTTATAAGAAAACTTAACTTGCAAGTGCTAAATCCCAGTTTGTGGGCCTCTCTATGAGTTGTGGACCTCGAAATTCTCCTTCGAACAGCGTCACTCCACAGAGCATTTAATTGTAAATAATTGGCACGCCTGTTTTTCACGATTATTCTTCTTAATTGTAACTGCAACATGTGTTATTTTTATCCTGCAAATTTGATTAGGGAGAGATAAAGTTGGTGTTTTCTACTATATACAGCAGACGCTCGATAACGTAAACACGGGATAATGAAAACTTGCGCTAATGTAAACACAAACTTCGTTCTATAGGATCAAACGGAACGCTCGATAACGTAAACAACTCTCGGCGCACGGAAACAGCGCGACGGTAAAATGCTGAAGCCTTGATGATTTATGTCGGGCGTCGGGGAGTCCCCGATTTATGATGAGAGTGTAGGGGATTCACCTCTGCGATAAAATACGACAAACTCGGTCAGTCGTATGATTGTTTAGGATACGTTTATACGTACGTATGTATTTCATTTTTGAACTTAAGTGAATACATTGCACGCGTTAATATATTTTACGACTATGGCATCCACATCCTATAAAAGAAAGTGTTTAAAGTTGAGTGAGAAAGTGAAAATCATAGGCGAAGTTGCACTAGGTGCGGAAGTGACACAGTTAGCAAAAAAATATGGAGTATCGAAAGCAACAATCTGTAAAATTAAGCGTATGAAAACTCAACTTTTACAAAGAACGTGCAATAAATTTGGAGGTCCGGGAAAAAGAAAAACTTTAAAAAATGCGAAGGCACCTAAAATGGAAAATTCCCTGTATAAGTGGTTTTTAAAACAACGGGAAAATCATGTCCCAGTTAGTGGCGAAGTACTTAAACAGAGAGCGAGACTGTTAAATCAAAAACTGAAAGAAACTGCAAACTTCGTAGCTAGTGATGGCTGGCTACAACGATTCAAAACAAGATATGGAATTCGACTGCCTTCTATATCTGGTGAAAAATTATCAGCACAACCACAATTAGTGCAACCATTCAAAGAAAAATTGATGAAAACAATTACCGAGCTAGATTTAAGAATGGAACAAATTTACAACGCAGATGAAAGTGGCCTTTATTGGAAAATGTTACCAGAGAAAACCTATGCTGCATCATTTGAAAAATCTGCCCCGGGAAGAAATCCGGAGAAACAACGAATAACGTTTCTAGCCTGCACTAATGCTAATGGTTCACACAAAATAAAGCCACTGGTAATTGGAAAAGCAAAAAATCCGCGCTCATTTAAAAATGTTAATATCCTTGTTGATTATGACTGTTCAAAAACCGCTTGGATGACTAGTAGTATATTCCTGAAATGGTTCCACAGGTGCTTTGTCCCTCAGGTATGACAATCAATTATCACAAATGCTCTATTCATAATTTGAAGATGTGTTTTCAATTTGTAGGTAAAAGGTTTCCTAAAACAACAGAAGCTTCCAATAAAAGCGTTGTTACTATTAGATAATGCACCAAGTCATCCTCCCTGAGGAGCAGGGATGGGTCAATTTTCGTCATGTACATGCCGCCCAACGTAACACCGTTAATTCAACCGATGGACCAGAATATAATAAGACTCACCAAACTATACTATAGGAAGTTTCTACTTTCGTCTGTCTTATCAAAGAATCCTGAAAACTTATCTGAGGCTTTAAAAAAAGTAACATTACGAGAAGCTGTTTTAGATTTACATATGGCCTGGAATGAACTTAACCAGCAAACTATTCAAAAATGTTGGAACAATCTCTTTTGTACCAATAATGAAGATGATGAAGAAGACTATGTCCCCTTAAGCGTAATTAGAGAACGTTTGCGATCCAGTAATGATAATGTTATTAGTGTGTCATTGGATGTTGTTGATTTATTGAAAACAGTGAATCCCAACATTGTTTGTACTCCTGCTGATATTAATTTATGGAACGAAGACAAGCAGCTGAATGATGCTGATAAGGAGGAGGATATGGACAGTGAGGATGATGAGAACGATCCCATTGAAGCCAGAAGTGTAGTGACTGACGCGCAAGCTATACAAGTTTTTAAGCAAGCTTTAGATTGGGCTGAAAGAAAAGAAGTTTCATACACGGATATTTTAGTTCTTCGTAAATTACGGGCGCAGACATTGGAAGACGATGCTAAGCGCAAATTTACGCAGACAAAAATTGTTAATTATTTTTCTTCTAATTAAAAAAATACTTATCGCTGTGAGAATATTTGTTTATTTTGTTATAAATAGTATGTATTAGACGTTTCTTTTAATAAATCAAATATTATATAAATCACGTTCGCTAATGTAAACATTTCGATAATGTGAACCACACTTGAATTAAATTAGTTTACATTATCGAGCGTCTGCTGTATTATCAAAATATTCATTGTTAATATTTTAAACATATAACACCCTGCTACATTTTTATTATTTGTGTTTGATAAGAAAAAACTAAGATTTCAATAGTTGGGCTAAGTGAAGTGGGAAGGGGCTCGTATACTTTTACTACGCACGAATGAGTTTATTTTGAGATGATTATTTTAAGACAACAACAAGACCTGGAGAGAATGGCGACGGCGTTTGATGCCTCCTGGGAGGAACAGCTTTGGAGGATTAGAGTCGAACAGGAAGTGTTTAGCTGCCAAAGAGCGGACGTGAACACTTTGAGGAACGAACTGAAACATTTGAGTCAAGTGAGTAATGTGTTTATTGCATTTGATGCTGAACGTATCATGATCATTATTGGCTTGTAGGTGGCCACACAGTTGGAGCCTTACATTAGATCGTTGACGCCCGCCTCTCAAAGTCAGATGAGCGCACAATCGGAACAGAGCCAAACTCAAAATGAACAAGCTCAACATTTGGCGTCCCTCTTGGAACATATTGGTAAGTGAGCTCGGTTTTTCCAATCATTTTATTGAATTTTACTGCGAACAAAATACATTGAAGCTGAATAATATTAGAAATATTCTAATGGAGGTATTTCTGGATTATCGTACAGATCTCTAATTTTATCATTTCGTTCTACGATTTTGCTGAAATCCATATCATCTTTTTTCTCTTGCACTTCTAGATATTCATTTTTCTTTTTCTGTGCTTTTTCTGTATTTTCGCTTTCCTCTTTGATCATCACACTGTCTAATCTCGGTTTATAATTGACTTTCGGCATTTTTAAAATCAAATGTCCACTCGATTGGGACCGTTGACAAATACTTTTTTCAATATACACCTCTTCCGGAAAGACCATTTGAAATACCTTGCCTGAAAAGTAAGTTTTTAAAACGAACGAAATCATAACTTTCGCGGATAATGTTTACCTTTGATGGTAATTTTAACGTAGATCGGTTGTAAGTCAACATCAATCAAATTGCCATCCAGGAATTTGTACACAGCGACATCTAATACGTATTGTGCAGGGTCGTCGTCTTTGAACTTAAAATTCAGCTTAGCTTGATTCACGTTCAATGGTCTACCACCTTTAGTGAACAGTCTAACACTTCTTTGTATCGACGTTACCTCTGCATCTTCTTTATTATTTTCTTCTCTGGCCCTGTATTCGAAACATTTTAACATTTACAAAATATGTACTCAGTGAAATTAGAAGTGTTACACCCAGAAAAAATAACGTCAACTTGATTTTTTGGCAATGGGGTAGTCTTACATCAAGAATGAAACGATGGATTAGCTGTGACAGAGTCGAGATACCTTTTAACAAAGGTAAACAAAAACAAAGATAAAACGTTGACATTGTTGTCACAGCATGCTTTAAATAGTCATTGTGTTGCCAAGAAAACAAGTTGAAGGAATTATTTTTTCTAGTGTAACATTTCTAATGTCACTGAGTGTATTTTTTCCAAATTAAAAATCTTAAGCTAAAAGACATGTACATTTAATCCGAAAAGGTTTTCTTGCTGATGGAAAATCTTACCTTCTATGCCTGGCTGCGATGTCGATGCGGCTCTCCGGACAATGTTCGCTGGTGGTCTGCCAGAATTCTTCGTCCGTCAAATGCGAAGTGTCTCTGCAGGACACGCGAACGCACTGTTCATCGCGACGCGCTCTGAAACACGAGCACAATCGTCGGTGTAGAAATCTAGATCTAGCCGGTGTACGCATAATAATAATAATATTTATTTACTCAATGTACAAAGATAACAAACAATATGAGTAAATAAATATAAAATCAAAACAGGCCCAATAGAAGGCATCGCCTGTACATGGACCAATAATTTAAGTTGAAACTGTAGAATGCAAATGACAAAAATTAACTACAGTAGATTATGTATTTAGTTGATGTTCGTATTTATGAGTTTATGAATTTCAGTCCTAGATATAGAATGTAGCCACTTTTTTAAATTTCTTTTGAAACAATTTCCGAAACGTAAATCTTTTAAGTCTTTAGGTATAATTTCATAAAATTTAGGCGCTAAATAGAGATATGATCGCTGCATTATAGATTTATGCGGTTGAGGAACTACTATGCCACGAATTTTGTACCTGGTATAATGATTATGTTTAATTTTTTGGTCGGTGTTTACAAATTTATGGTAATGAGTGATACTGTGTAAGAAATAAAGCTGTCTTATATCATACATTCGAACATTTGCGTATAATTTTTCAGTGGGATAAAGTTTCGGTTTTTTAAATATCATTTTTAGAATACTTTTTTGAAAAACATCTAAATTATAGATATGTGAGGAACATGCAGCTCCCTATGCTAATATACCATATGTGAGATGAGGCTCAATCAGTGCATGGTATAATGTTCGAAGATATTTTTCTGTCAATATATTCCCAAGGTATTTAATTTTGTAGGATACAAATCTAACTTTCTTTAAAATATAATTGACATGGATGTCCCATCGTAAGTGAGGTCCAAGGTATTTTATGTTGGGCACTCTATTAATTTGCATTTTTTGATCATTAATGTTGAACGAGAAATTTGTGTAATTTGGCAAATGTCTAGCATAAGATCCAAATGGTAAAAAATGTGTTTTAGAGTAGTTAATGCTTAATTTTCTACTGTTAAACCACCGAATAATTTTGATAAAATCATTTTCAATTACATTTTTCAGATCAGACCAGTCAGTGCCTTCATATACATAGTCATGCCATAAGTTCTGTCCCTCGTTTTCAAACAAGTGTAGACCTGTTAATACTTGTCCGATTGTTTACATTGTGGTGTCAGTTGATTAAGCGCTTTTCGGGTAATTACATATACCTCAGTTTGTATTGATCTCTCGAAGCATAACGATGGAGTGGGGCAAGGCAGAGAACCGTATTGCAGTGATAGCTTTACATAAGTGTAATCACAGTGCTAGTCAGATTTTTGAACTCTTACGCGGCCTTCAAATATCGCGTAAATTTGTGTCTAGGACCATTCAGCGGTACAATGAGACGTCCTCTGTTGATGACAGGCCAAGAAGCGGAAGACCTCGTCAAGTAAGGACTCCAGCAGCCATCAAAGCCGTAAAAGCCAGGATTCAAAGGAATCCACTCCGGAAGCAGAAGATCCTATCCAGGGAAATGAAGATTCCTGTCCGGACGATGTCGCGCATCATTAAACAAGACCTAGGGCTAGGGGCTTACCGGAGACGTACGGGCCAGCGACTTACGGCCACCTTGCGACACATCAGGGCGACAAGATCCAAGAAGCTCTTGGAGAGGTACGCAGCTGGGGGATTCCGAAAGATTTTGTTCACGGATGAGAAAATCTTCACCATAGAAGAAAAATTCAACCGACAAAATGACAAAGTGTATGCAAGGAGTTCACAGGAAGCTTCGGAGATCATTCCGAGAGTTGAGAGAGGCCACCACCCTGCGTCAGTCATGGTTTGGTGGGGGGTGTCCTACGAAGGGGTCACTCAGCTCCATTTCTGTAAACAGGGCGTGAAAACAAAAGCGGCAAACTATCAGAGCGACATACTGGATCCTATCGTCAAGCCTTTAAGTGGTACATTGTTTGCCAACCAACACTGGGTCTACCAGCAGGATTCCGCCCCCGCTCACAAGGCTAAGAGTACGCAGCGCTGGCTGGAAAGCAATGTGCCAGAGTTCATTGCTGCGGAAGATTGGCCCTCAGGGAGTCCGGACCTCAATCCTTTAGACTACAAGTTGTGGGACCTGCTAGAGCAGTTGGCCTGCTCCAAAGCCCACCGTAATATCGAGTCCCTGAAAGCGGATTTGATCCGATCAGCGGCAGCTATTCCTTTGGAAGCTGTGCGTGCAGTGATAGATGAGTGGCCCGCGAGATTGAAGCAGTGTGTGAAGGCCAAGGGGGGACATTTTGAATAAAACTGTTTGATTATGAATTCTAAAAATGTTGTCGAATAAATAATATCTTTCATATAAATATATCTTATCTTGTTTCATTTTTATCATGAGATTATCATGGGACAGAACTTATGGCACGACTATGTAATATTGCAGTATCATCTGCAAAACTAGTTATTTTGCCAACACAATTAATTTGGAAAACATCATTTAAATATATATTGAATAACAGCGGACCTAAGACAGTTCCTTGTGGGACACCACACTTAATATACATTTCTTTACTAAATGATCCTGATATCTGCACAGATTGTGGGCGATTTGACAAATAATTTTTGGATCAGTGAGTACGCGTTTCCTCTGAAACCAATTCTCTCCAATGCTTCTAATAATAATTTGTGATTAACTGTGTCGAAAGCTTTCTTTAAATCAACAAAAATGCAGATTGAAGGGATTCCGTTATCAATATTTTGATGTATTTGATTTACAATTTTAGTTATTGCGTCTGATGTAGCCTTCCCTTCTGTAAATCCATATTGATTTTCACTTAAAATTTTGAATTTTGTGAGATATCGAATCATTCTAGTAGATAAAACTTTTTAAAAAACCTTTGCTACACTGGATATTATTGATATTGGTCTATAGTTGTTAACATCTGTTTTTGTTCCTGATTTATGTATCGGTATTATATTACCTTTTTGTAAATTGAGGGATATATGCCAGATTCAAAGCATTTGTTGATTAGGTAAGTGAGTGGTTCTGTTATGTCCTCGGCTATAATTTTCAAATGCTCGCCTTTAATACCATCGAACCCAGGACTTTTCCGATTTTTTAAGGACATAACATATACATACATATTTCAAAATGTTACTCTAAACTGTACCTGTACGCTTCCTGTTCTGCTCTAATACTTGGCTCGATTGTGGGCAAGTTTTGAAACGCTTTTATTCTTTCACTTTTAGTTATTTCTTTAACATCCAAGCTTACCAATTGTGGCAATTTAGCTATCACATAGTCTCTGTAACCCTTATATTCGCAACAAGGATTCCCTGTAAAATGAAAGATACACATCGAAACTTGAAGTTTTACAGAATTCATTAGCTTATTACCTGTTAGGATTAGCTCTCGTAAATTGATGTTATCCTTTAAAGAGCAGACACTTTCCAGATTGCCGACAAAGTTCAAAGTCAAGTCGAGCTTTTCCAGGCTCTCGCATCCTTTCAAATTTTCTATAACCTCGATATTATTGATAGCCAAATTAAGATATTGCAATTTCTTTAATTTATTTAGATTCTCAATCTTCGATATAAGATTCGCTTGAAGGTATAAAATCTGTAATCCTCTGCACCAGTTGTTGAGATGTTCGATTTTTTCTACGTCTTCTTGATGCAACGATAACTCTTGAATTAAAGCGGTTTGGTGTTTGAGAATTTAATAATTACACACATGCTCAAAATCTATGGATATAATAAGTATTGCCATATATTATAATTATTTTCAATTTAAATTTCATTATAACAGTGGATTACGTTTATTAAGTACTAACTAAACCTAATACACCGGAAACTTAAGTGATTTCAATGAAAGAAATTCTAATTATTCAAAATCTATGTATGCATTTTCAAAGTATATTGTATTAGAAAAAAACAAAAAGAGTTTAATATGGAATGTGGTCTAATCGTGCATTTATGGTCGCTCTACAACGCCTTTCCGTACTCAGTATTAAGTTTTCCAAACCTTCTTGTGGAATTGCAGGTATCACTCGACCCCCCGTTCCATTTAAGATTTTAGGGTTGGTATCACCCCCGCCCAGGGGGCTGCACGTGTTAACGAGATTTTTTACCAAACTTGAGTCCCCCTCGAAAACAAAATCGACGGGTCTGAGCGTTTTTCCAAATAAAATTGAGCTGCCAGTAAATGCGTGTTTCGTTTTCGATGCGCCATCCTGTATTATCGGTAAATAAAATACTGGATAGAAATCTTGAAAACGACTACCTGTTGCTGCAAAAGCCAACGGGGGGAAAATCGGCAGGTATTAACGCTTGAACTCGCTGTATATGGTAAGGATATAGTTGGTATTGTTAATGTCTTTGGTGGTTTTAATATTTTATTGTCCAGGGACGTGCAATAAAGTGTCTCATATTTTTTATCTCACAAACGAAGCCAGATATGAGAGAAACTCAGGAGACAAAAAAGTTGTATCTTAGCCGCTTGAATCGAAATAATAGAAAAATTAAAAAAAGTGTCAAAGATATTGGTTAGGGTGTTTTCAGGGACGCCACTGGACTGATTAATTTCAATCTAATTGGGGCTAAATTAGTCTCTTACTGCCCTTAATACCACTGCTAAATTTAAACAAAATCGACTGAAAGTTTATTTAGGAAATTAATTCAATTAACTAAAGTTACTCAAATAATCACCTCCTGAAGTTTGGCCACGTACTAAAATAACACCTTATATATTTATGAATAATAAGTAAATCTTATACATGCATGGATGTGTCATATTTTATGTTTTTTCCCTAATCTGTTGTGCAGGTATTTTTGATTTTTAAGTCGTATTTAACATGTGATAACGACTGTGACATCTTTTTTTATTTTTATCATATGCTTGATACCATCAACTGATAGCTAACTAAGCTATTACAGATTATTATTATTGTTATTATTCTAAACGTTGTACAATATTCCAAAAGTTTTGGTATTACGCCTTATACTTTAACACGTTCGCGATCAGTTTTAGGAAGTGCGGGGTTCCACTATATTTACCTTCCAAGGTTCCAATGATGCTTTCGTTGTGTTCCGCCTTTTTTCTTACTAGATCTTCTGTAATTCTAACCATTCTGTTTTTTAAAAATTGTTTCCGTTCATTATATGTTTAGGTCACGTCGTAGAATTGACATAACTTCGCGTTTCCATGGGGATATTTACAGGATGATTAAGCATACGAATCTTATATTCAACGACTTTCTGTTAAAATCAATACTACTTCTTGAACGTTTGTATCGTGCTATTATTATCTACGGTAGTCACGTCAACAGAACAAAGAATGGAAATGCATACAAATCAAATTTCAAAAGTTAAGAACTACGTAGATGGTGATTTAGACTATACGAATATTTATTCAAATATGAAGATGTTCGATTCAGACATCTTTATAGGTATACTTCAACAATCTGAGTCGGCATTAGGGAAGATTCCCAGATCACGTAGTCGAGTGTTGGGCCACTTGTTGGAAAAGATGCGTCCAGGCAGCATGCAAGAAAGGGAACGTAGCAAATCCGCAGGACAGACGGACAAACCGACCCTCTCCGCAGCGCCAGCGCATAAACCGCAAGTGTCGCAGTTCAAGAAACCGTTCATGTCCAGGTAAATGATACATTTGTTCAGAAATAGTAGATAATGCAAATTATGTGAATTTCAGTAGTCAACAAATCAACATAGACAGATTAGAAGCGCAAATAAAAGAAAAGTTGCATGATATTATCAGTCGAAGGCAAAGCAGTCAGCCAGCCTCGAAATCGGACACAGAGACTGGGGCAGATCGCAAGATGTCCAAAGATGATAGAAAACTTAGCAAAACGGATTTGGATTCAATAGGTAATTCGGAAATCAAATAACGAATGCTTGCGACTATGAGACTTGAGTATTTCAACTTGTTTATACAACGATGTTTATTAATAAAGGTTTCTAACATTCCATGTTCCAGCTCGTTTGGGTACGGGCAAACAGCGCATCATGTACAAGAAGATCGGCAAGAGTTGCGACAAGATCAACGGAGGCATGGGAAGTGGAGGGGGTAGCAAATCGGACAGCGAATGCAAAAAAGCGTTAAGGGGAGGTGGAGCGGCCGGAGGGGAACAACCGGATTACCAGAGGATATCGGACGCGTGCGGGGGAGGAGGAATGCAACAGGGTATCATAAAGGGTGGCGCACTGATTCACGGCAGTCGGTCCAGTCCGAGTAGCCCGAAGGGAGGGAAAGGGAGAGGGGGAATGCAGATTCAGGGGCATCATCAACATAGAGGACAGCAGCAATATCAGGGGCAGACAGGTGGCGGTGGCAATCAGGCACAAGCGGGAAAGCAACATAGGAAAAAGGTTAGGCATCACACTCACGTTCAGCATACTCCTCAATTGTAGTGAGCATGATAAATAATAATAATAATAATATTTATTTACTCTAAAATACAGGGAACATGAAACGAGTAAATAAATATAATATATCCATAGGAGGACAACGCCTGTGCATGGATCATATGTATGTTGAATTGCAAAATATAATAAAATAGAGAGAAAAAAGAAATTATTTGTAAGAATGGTAGAGCATTTATTGTGTAATATTTGAGATTTTCTCCCAATCGTGTTAATAAATTTTTTCAATTTTTTTTGAAGCCTAATGTATTGCGTAATTGTTTTAAATTATTTGGTAAATGTTCGTACAATTTTGGAGCTATATACAGGTGACATCGTTTCATTAGGGATTTGTTTGGTTTAGGAACATTTTTTGCGCGTAATTTATAGCTGGTTTTATGATTATGTTTAATTATGTCGTGTTCACTAATAGTTTTGTGATAATGAGTGATGGTATGTAAATAGTAAAGTTGTTTAGTATCATATACTTGTGCATCATTATATAAGTCATTAGTTGGGTATAATTTTGATTTGCCTAACATTGATTTTAAAATTCTTCTTTGAAGTACATCTAAATCGTTAAAGTATGTCGTGCATGCAGCACCCCACACTACTATACCATATGTTATGTGTGGTTCGACTAAAGCTTGATATATTATTCGTAGATAATATTCAGTTAATATACCGGTTAGAAATTTTATTTTATATGCTATGAATCTAATTTTCTTTAGTATGTGAGAAATATGTACATCCCATCTCAAGTGGGGATCTAGATAAATTCCTAAATATTTTGTATTATTAACTCTATTGATTTTTATATTTTTATCATTTACCTTAAACCGAAGGTGGTTATATTTTGGTAGATGATTAGATAGTGATGAAAATGGTAAAAAATGAGTTTTAGTAAAGTTAATTGTTAATTTTCGGTTGTTAAACCACTGAATAACTTTGCAAAAGTCATTTTGGATAATATCTTTTAAGTCGTTCCAATCCTTACCTTTATAGAGTATAGCAGTATCGTCTGCAAAACTGACTATTTTACCAGTACTGTTAATTTTGAATATATCGTTTAAATAAATATTGAATAACAGAGGACCCAAATATTGCATAATTTTAGATCACTCAATTAAAGAATTTAGTTTAAAGAATTTCTTGGATGTTTGTGATGACTTCTCCAATACATCATCTTATTTGGTTTTACGTATTTTCCTATACGTTGCAGATATACCCGTACAGCGACGGTGAGGACAACGTATTTTACGGCACATCCCGCGGCGGATGCGATTCTGCGGATTCGTTAAGCGGCGCATCGAGTCGTCGCAGCAGCTACGACGGGGGCGGTGGAGGAGGTGGCGGTGGCACGCCGCCCACCACAGACAAGACTCTCGTGGTGGTGATCAACAGGAGGAACAAGAGCGTCTCGTCTGCGGGAGGGGGTTCAACGCCGACGTCGGCGCAAGCGCAGAAACAGCGCAGTTGGGAAACGTTCCCGCCCAAGAGGAGACACCACCATGCGTGCAAAGAGCGCAAAGGGGGGGCACAGTCTCCCCCGCTGCCGCCGCCGCCGCCGCCCATGCAACAGCTCAGGAAGGCCGATAGTTTCGAAGGTAAATGTCATTGCTACAAAGCGTACGAAAGATAATTTATATTTTTGAAAAGACATGGGAATTTTATTTTTTTAAAATAACATCATCGAGACGAACGCACTCCTCGAATCTCGACTTGAAATTCGTGAAAACTCGCTGGCACGTCGCTCGTCGGATAGCTGGCATCTCCTCGGCTCTTGAAATATCCCCAGAGAAAAAAACCAGTGGCGTATCTGGGCTCCGGGGAAGCCACGGAACGTCCTCTCGTCGCGATATCAGTTTTCCACTAAACATTTCGTTTACAACTGTAACAAGATCTTCGTCCGAGACTCCCGGACCTCTCAATGTCGTGCCTTGAATATATACAGCAGACGCTCGATAATGTAAACTAATTTAATCCAAGTGTGGTTCACATTATCGAAATGTTTACATTAGCGAACGTGATATTCATAATATTTGGTTTATTAAAAGAAACGTTTAATACATACTATCTATAATAAAATAAACAAATATTCTAACAGCGATAAGTATTTTTTTAATTAGAAGAAAAATAATTAACAATTTTTGTCTGCGTAAATTTGCGCTTAGCATTGTCTTCCAATGCCTGCGCCCGTAATTTACGAAGAACTAAAATATCCGTGTATGAAACTTCTTTTCGTTCAGCCCAATCTAAAGCTTGGTTAAAAACTTGTATAGCTTGCGAGTCAGCCACTATACTTCTGACTTCAATGGGATCGTTCTCATCATCCTCACTGTCCATATCCTCCTCCTTATCAGCATCATTCGTCTGCTTATCTTCGTTCCATAAATTAATATCAGCAGGAGTACAAACAATGTTGGGATTCACTGTTTTCAATAAATCAACAACATCCAATGACACACTAATAACATTATCATTATTGGATCGCAAACGTTCTCTAATTACGCTTAAGGGGACATCGTCTTCTTCATCATCTTCATTATTGGTACAAAAGAGATTGTTACAACATTTTTTAATACTTTGCTGGTTAAGTTCATTCCAGGCCATATGTAAATCTAAAACAGCTTCTCGTAATGTTACTTTTTGTAAAGCCTCATATAAGTTTTCAGGATTCTTTGATAAGACAGACGAAAGTAGAAACTTCCTATAGTATAGTTTTGTGAGTCTTATTATATTCTGGTCCATCGGTTGAATTAACGGTGTTACGTTGGGCGGCATGTACATGACGAAAATTGACCCATCCCTGCTCCTCAGTTGTTGCTCGACAGGATGACTTGGTGCATTATCCAATAGTAACAACGCTTCTATTGGAAGCTTCTGTTGTTTTAGGAAACCTTTTACCTGCAAATTGAAAACACATCTTCAAATTATGAATAGAGCATTTGTGATAATTGATGTGGAACCATTTCAGGAATATACTGCTAGTCATCCAAGCGGTTTTTGAACAGTCATAATCAACAGGGATATTAACATTTTTAAATGAGCGCGGATTCCGGGGCAGATTTTTCAAATGATGCAGCATAGGTTTTCTCTGGTAACATTTTCCAATAAAGGCCACTTTCATCTGCGTTATAAATTTGTTCCAGTCTTAAATCTAGCTCGGCAATTGTTTTCATCAATTTTTCTTTGAATGGTTGCACTAATTGTGGTTGTGCTGATAATTTTTCACCAGATATAGACAGAAGTCGAATTCCATATCTTGTTTTGAATCATTGTAGCCAGCCATCACTAGCTACGAAATTTTCAGTTTCTTTCAGTTTTTCATTTAACAGTCTCGCTCTCTGTTTAAGTACTTCGCCACTAAGTGGGACATGATTTTCCCGTTGTTTTAAAAACCACTTATACAGGGAATTTTCCATTTCAGGTGCCTTCGCATTTTTTAAAGTTTTTCTTTTTCCCGGACCTCCAAATGTATTGCACGTTCTTTGTAAAATTTGAGGTTTCATACGCTTAATTTTACAGATTGTTGCTTTCGATACTCCATATTTTTTTGCTAACTGTGTCACTCCCGCACCTAGTGCAACTTCGTCTATGATTTTCACTTTCTCACTCAACTTTAAACACTTTCTTTTATAGGATGTGGATGCCATAGTCGTAAAATATATTAACGCGTGCAATGTATTCACTTAAGTTCAAAAATGAAATACATACGTACGTATAAACGTATCCTAAACGATCATACGACTGACCGAGTTTGTCGTATTTTATCGCAGAGGTGAATCCCCTACACTCTACATCATAAATCGGGGACTCCCCGACGCCCGACATAAATCATCGAGGCTTCAGCATTTTACCGTCGCGCTGTTTCCGTACGCCGAGAGTTGTTTACGTTATCGAGCATACACATTGTTTACGTTATCGCGCGTTCCGTTTGATCCTATAGAACGAAGTTTGTGTTTACATTAGCGCAAGTTTTCATTATCCCGTGTTTACGTTATCGAGCGTCTGCTGTAGTTCGGATCTCCAGTCCAATACTTCAATTTCTGGACTGGTCCTAGACCTCTAGAATTTCAAATTCTGTTACCTTTTACTTGTCTTCCTATAGGAGGTAGACTCGCGTAGAACCTGACATAAAGTAGTATAATCATGACTCATTGAAACACTCACTTTGCGCAGGACGTTGACTCTTCTGTTCCTCAAGTAATCCAAAGAATGTGGTAAACGCCCGAATGAATACTTTCGGAAAAGTTAGCTTCATTTAATGAATTTAACGAAACTCAAGTTAGAGGAGTCTAATTTTTATTAATAATCGAATTACAGACTCGAAATATCTATACACTCGTGAAGAGTGAAGTAGGAATGACAAAGAACAGTTAATTTCGTAAAACTAATAGGCTGGGGAAAGGATCACTGGATACGACTAAGTTAAAAGGAACGGTGACAACTAATTTACAATAAATTTAGTTTGAATTTTATAGCAAAAATTAAACTCGACAATCGTAACTTAAACAACGCTGATTAATCGAGCTAATGCATAGAAATCTTAGTTAACTCAACGTTATATTAGCTTTAGCCAGAAGGGCTAATGAAGAAGGGAAAAGCCCTCTTAAGTAACTGAAAGTGCTTACTGATGACAGCCCAACTTAACACAACTTCACCAACGCAACACTTATTAACACCCACTAACTGAGGGAAAATCGCAGCAACTTTTTCAACCGTACAAATCAAAGATAAGAGAAGAACTGAAGTTTTAGTTTCAAAATTATCGGAGGTCAGTTGCGGATTTTCCCCTCTACGAGGGATGCCTTTTAAGTTTTGCATATAGAAACATAGTAGGCCGCCTGGTCCAGAAAATAAACGACAGTCGGATGTTTGGGTGTTCCAAGGTGAAGAAAAGCCAACAAAAGTCATCCGTTCTCGAAATGTTTCGAAAAGATGGTCGCGACATTTGTGTCAAAAGCGGGTCATATTGCAACAATTCCTCTTAATGAGCAAAGAACTGTTACTGCGGATTGGTATACCACCATTTGTTTGCCAAAAGTCATCACCGAGCTTCGAAAAATCAGCCCCGAAAGAAGAATCATCCTCCACCAAGACAATGCAAGCTCGTACACAGCCCAAAAAACAAGGCAGTATTTAACGCAAGAAAACGTGGAATTATTGGACCATCCTCCATATAGTCCCGATCTAAGTCCTAACGATTTCTTTACTGTCCCGAAAATGAAAAACAGACTGCGTGGTCAAAGGTTCCAGTCACCAGAAGCAGTAGTTGACGCATTGAAAATGCCGTTTTGGATCTGCCAGCAAACGAGTGGAATAGTGCTTCGAAAATGGGTTCGATCGCATGCAGAAGTGTATTAATCTTCCTGGAGAATACTTCGAAAAACAATAAAGTCATTTAAAACTACCTACCGTGTTGTTTTATTTCCATATGCAAAACTTAAAAGACATCCCTCGTATCAGAAGGCTGGTCATTTTTACTTAGTGAGTTCAGCCCTCGTCTCCTCATTGGTCGATCAGTTTACAACCCTTGCAATGGCGGTCTGATTCTCTAAAGATGGAAACTAACTTGGCCAATGATTGTTAGACTTAATTTTTGAACTCAAAATGGCTTTACACTCTATTGGTTAATTACGTTCCCTTGTGCCACCTCAAGGAGTGTCGTCAGCGTACAGTCATCCCTTAAGTTTACGCAACACGCCCCCTTCAGTGGAGTCTCGTGGCTCAATTTGCTTTGGGGCAGACCCTGCAGTTTTCAATAAGTTCAATGCATTGGGAATTCCTGTAATGCTGAGGCCACAATTCGAGATGTCCTCTTAAATAATTATAAAATTATACATAGCATTTACGTAAAACTAACGGTGACTCTCTTCTGAAATTTTAATGTATTTTTATCAAAGTTAGATTCGTTAGAACTACGCAGTCTTTCGTTAGTTTCACCTGCTCCTCTCTAATGATAATTTCCAAACCGCATCTGTCAACGTGTACTTTCACAGAAGGTAGAATCGTATCCAGCACCTACTCCTATCAGCTAGGGGAAAATTCTACTAAAAACCTAGCTGTAGAGATTAGAATTTTTACTGCTACAGTCTGGCCTTGCTCGTTTTCGAAGAAATAGGGTCCGATGATTCCTTCAGCCGACATGGCTGCTCAAACTGTAACATAACGCGAACGCAAAGGTCGTTGGTAGTAGTAGTAGTAGAAAGATTTATTTAGCACATTTGGCTACATAAACAGAACAATTGTAAACAACTTAGAACTAGTAAATTCAAGCCATATGGTGTATGATGTAAATGCTGGGCAACCTATAATTGTAGATTTAACAAGTGATTTCTCAATTTTACTTTAAATTTTGTCAAAGTTTTCTGGTCCTTTATCTCCGAGTATAATTTATTATATTCAATCAACCCATGATGGAATACAGATTTGTAGTATATGTTATACTTTTTGGTCATTAAATGGAAGTCATCTTTATTTCTGGTATTATGTAAATGATGGTCGACATTTGATGATGTTAAATTAGTTAGACTTGATGGAAATATATTATTTTTTACTTTATAAATGAATATCATTACAAGATATTTGATATATTTTTTACATTGAGCCATTTTAATTTGCTAAGCATTTGCCTAATTGGAGTATATTTATCTTTATTTAGTATTATTCTCATGCACTTATTTTGTAAAATTTGCAGTCTTTCAAAAATGGAATTATTTGCTAAATATAGAATAGTCGAACAGTACAAGAAATTTGGAAGAATGATGGTATTATAGATAATTTTTCTGCTATATGAACTCAGACATCCAGAAACTCTCGATAAATATCCCACTTTACTACTAATCTTATTTATAACTTTTTCATAATGAAAATCAAAAATTAATCGAGAGTCAACAAAAACTCCCAGGTATTTAAAATTTTCTACGAATTCAATATCTTCACCATCAATATTCAGTTGAACATTTGTACATTGTTTTTTTCCGATTAACAAGCCTTTCGTTTTACTTGCATTTAATTTTAGTCTGTTAGATGCTAACCATTTTGAGACAAGCTTCAAGTCTTCATTTATATAAGAGATACCAGACTGAATATTTTTAGTACTTATATAAATCATAGTGTCATCGGCGAAAATTTGAATTTTGCATTTTTTGACTATGGCAGGTAAATCATTTATGTATAAAATAAAAAGAAGTGGTCCCAGGTTACTGCCCTGTGGAACACCCAACGTATTTGCAATTTTTGATGAAATAGTGTCATTAACTTTTGTAACTTGCATCCCTTTAGACAAATAATTTCTAAACCAATCTAAAACACTTCCTGTTATACCATATGCCTTCAATTTACCTAACAAAATATCTCTATCAATCGTTTCAAATGCCCTCTTCAAATCCAAAAATACTGCTATGACAACTTCTTCTGAGTCCATGGCTCTTCTCCAATTCTCAGTTACCAACTGGAAAGCTGTTTCTGTGGAATATTTTTTTCGAAAGCCTCTAATAATTTTTCAATGTCTGGTAACACATTTACTGGTCTCATATCGCTGCATCTTTTAGAATTTTATATTTTGGGAACTGGTGTTATTGTAGAGCATTTCAAATTTTCAGGGAAAGAACTGCTTCTCAGTGAACAATTGATCCAATTTAATACAGGATATCCCAAAATTTCGAAACAGTTTTTCAGCACGTTTTTAGTAGTCATTTCGGCACAGTTGTTATTTGATTTTAAACTGTTTACTTTTTTTCTTAGATAATTCAATGATACGCTGTGAAATTTTGAAAGTGTATGCAACATTTCCCACTGGAAACTGATTTTCATATAGTCAGGTGCAGCAATATCAACAATACTTTCCACAAAATATTCATTTAGTTTGTTTGCAATCACCAAAGAATTTGTTTCGGTACCGTTTTCGAATTGAACTTGATTTACACAATCATGCGGTTTCGAATTGATCAGTCTTTTTAAAGTCTTCCACATCTTTACACTGTCGCACTTGTTATTATCGATTTGTTTATCGTAGAATTTTCTTTTTTCTTCTCTACTTATATATACACATTTATTCCTAAGAGTTTTATATACCTCCCAATCATCATTTGATTTTGTGAATATACATTTATTGTATTGTTTAACCATATTAGCGTAAGTTGTAATTGCTTCTTGTGACGGCTGTTGCATCTTCCCAATTTTTTTGTTTAATTGGTCTATCTTTTCGTACAATTCTTTTATTAATTTCTCTTGAATCGAAATGGTATAATCTTTTAGTTTCAAAACTTCCTCTGTACAAAATCCCTTTTCACTCAGTGAGACCACACTCTCCACTTCCTCACTAGCTCCATCCTTTTTAGAGTTTTCCTCCATATTCAAACTAAAAATTCAGGAATCTCCTAAAAACCTTTTTTTAGCTTGACCTAATTTTTGACATTAGAAATCAAAAAAGTATTTCCAGAATTAATTTTGTGCAATCTCTTCCGTGTGGGATCTGCAGCTGCAAACAGGTATGGCGATATATATTTCGTTAATCTTCCCGGTGATCCTTGGTTGATATTTTTATGTGTGGTCTTTACCAATATTTCGTGTCTGTGTTGGAGCGAATAAAAAGAGCAAGTGTAGTAGTTAATATAGCTAGTTACTTACTGGTGTTTTAATTTGGGATTTTCTACGGTCCAATACCGGTCATTTTGCTTGTTGACGAATCCACTGAAATGAAATTGAGCTTCATGAGACTTGGAAAACGCTCTAACATTGGTTCGGCAGACGCACTGCGCAGATGGTGGTCCTGCGTCTTTCTGGTCCACACTGTATATACACTGTTATCAATTATTAGTCCATCATGATTATATTCGGCTTAAACGCGTACAACAAATACAAAATGAAATATATCTGGTTGTAGGCCACGAAGAGGCAGTGAAAAGCCTAGTAGCAGCTGTCCAGGAAACCAGGCGGAAACCGAAAGGTGGCAATTAACGGATACAGAAACCAGGGATGGCTCAAGAAGAGGGCGCAACAGCAACGTCGGCCTACGAATACGAATATACGGCAATGATGATCGTGTTTGCAGAAGCAGCAGCAGCGGGGCCCTTTGCAAATGGCGCAACTGTTACACAATAGAAAACAGCATCCACGGCAAATTCATGCACTTTCGGTGAAACAAGATTCTAAGGGCTTAAAATCACTCATGTATATCAAAATCGAACGTTGAATCACAGTTTGCAAAAAAGACGACGTAACATACTTGTCCGTTCGATAGTTGTATGATTTTCAAAAGTAACACATCATACAAGCATTTCTTACTCAAACAGGGTGAACCTGTAGATATTGTGTAGAACACATTATGTATTATGTATATTCATATTATATGTAATTTTCAGCTTTTTTATCACGACAACAGGGGGTATTTTTAATATACAGTAACTACCATTCCTAGCGAAATGTTCTGAATAGTAAACACATTACTTCATATTTTAAATTTGTTAAATAAAAATCGTTTTATTGTTATTTGTTAAAGTTCATATTGTTAGATGATTCCAAAATACACATTATTTTGAAATAATAGTTTAAAAAAGTGTTTCAATATTTAATTCTGTGATAGAAATTTCGTTGATTATTTAAAAAATACGTATAATCGAAATAACCTAGTGAATCAAGTATTGTAATTCCAAAAATTATTCAGATAGAGAAAATATAGATAGAGATATATTCAAGTGCATATGGTGGAGCTCATGCACCGCCGTGTGTTGATGACTGTTCTTATTGCTGCCAGCTTGGAACATTTTACAATTATTGTATTGATTCTGTCGAACACTTTTTCACAGACAATAACATACATTCAAACGAAATGTTGCATAATAAGAGAATTAGTTCGCATCATTGAAAATTATTTGAAAAAAAATCATTATCAAGGAAAATGGATACCGTTTTTACAAAAACTGTTCAAAATTGTCCCCATTTGTTCGATTAACGCAAAATCATTCTCGCCGAATCCAGTCTTCACAAGCTTCGAAAATAAGATCCTGGTGTCTACGAATTAAATGACAAGCATTTTCAGTGCGCTGTTGAAGTTCTTCCAGAGTATTTACTGCTCCATAACGATATACAAACTCTTTCTAATAACGCCACAGAAAAAAGTCGCAAGGTTTTAATTCCGGGGAGGGAGCAGGCCAAGGAATGCGTCCATTGCACCCTATCCATCTATTCGGAAACCCATTGTTTAGATGTTCATGAACTTCTTGTGTAAAATGTGGTGGATCCCCATCATGTAGAAACCACATATTCCGTCTCACATTTAGAGGAACATCTAATAATTGTGGCAGATTGTGTGGTAGGGTCCAATAAGCATGCCATTTACCACGCCAGCCCAAACATTTGATGAAAATCTATGTTGAAAATGAGTTCTTTTTACAGCATGCGGATTTTCAACTGCCCAAACATAACTGTTGTGGAAATTGTGCACGCCATTTCGTGTAAATGTGGCCTCATCTATACACGAAATTAATTTCGTAAAATCTTAATTTCTGCCAAACTACTGGCCAAATCCAACTCTTCTAGGATGATCTTCAGGTTGTAACGTTTATACCTGTTCATAATTATAGCGATAATACTGTTCTTGTATTACCTTCCACACTTTACGAGGGTGGTCCCAGAAGTACCCGGCCTGACCGGTAGTTGTTTGAAAAATATCATTGTATTAGAAAGTATGCAACCTATAAAGCATATGTGTCAAGTTTGAAGACGCCACAAGCGGTACTGAATAATCTTCGACTGAAAGTGCGCGAGCTAGCAGACATAGTAGGCATTTTAAAAAGTGAGGTTCATCGCATATTGTCTAAAAATTTGGACATGAAAAGCTGTGTGCAAGATGGGCGCCGCGATTGCTCACAATCGAGCAAAAACAGTGTCGTGAAGATGTTTCAATTGAGTGTTTAGCGAAGTTTCACAGCAACAAAGCAGAATTTTTGCGTCGTTTCATAACCATGGATGAAACATGGGTCCATCACTTCACACCCGAGACAAAAGAACAATCAAAACAATGGACTCAAAAGGGACAACCGGCTCCAAAGAAGGCGAAGACCGTTTCATCTGCAGGCAAGGCTATGGCGTCGGTTTTTTGGGATGCGCGTGGGATAATTTTCATCGACTATCTTGAAAAAGGTAAAACTATCGACGGCGAGTATTATGCGAATTTATTGCAACGTTTGAGCGAGGAAATGAAGCAAAAACGGCCGCATTTGGTTAAGAAGAAAGTGTTGTTTCATCCAGACAATGCACCAGCTCACAAATCCGTTATGGCAATTGCCAAAATTAACGAATTAAAAGTTTGACTTGCTACATCATGCACCCTATTCACCAGATTTAGCCTCCTCGGATTATTTTCTGTTTCCAATCTTGAAAAAATGGCGCAGTGGTCAAAGATTTTCCAACGATGAAGGAGTGATGTCGGCAGTTAATGGCTATTTTGAGGAGCAAGACAGTTTTTATTATAAAAAGGGTATTGAGCTTATTGACCATCACTGGGAAAAGGAGATTATGTTGAAAAATAAATACATTTTTTTTACAAAATTTTTGTTTTCTTCGTTGGGTCGGGTACTTCTGGGACCACCCTCGTACTATGAAAAACTTCAACTTGAGCTGCTATGGCTCTAGTACTCATTGTTGGGTCGTCTTCGACCATTTCTAAAATGACGTTCTCAATTTGTAACATTTCAGGTTGAGCAGGTCTGCCAGCGGTAACCTTCCCGTTGTTCTTTTAAATATCCTGTGTCATGAAATCTAATAACTAAATTTACAAACGGTGCATTCCGTTGGCACTCTCCGTATGTTAGTATTATGTCCACTAGTTCATTGTTTTCGTAAACTTGGGCTATTTTTTGCACAAAATAATCAGACAAATGAAAGTATACGCACTATTATAAGACTGATACAACTGATCGAACCAAAGACTCGTACTGAAAACTATTCAATAACACAAAAAGTTTGCCAAATTTAGATAAACGATCAGAGTAGTAAATGGTCGAGAATATCAAAAACTCTGAGTAATAACATTCATATTTTTTATAATTTCTAATCATTCACAATTTCTCTTGTTATGCAACTTTTATATAGGTGATCTTTGGTATATCAACTTCTTTTGACAGTCGTACAAGCAGTTAAAATGAATTACTCAACTTTGAAAACACCCTGTACATTATTGTTGTTCAAAATATAAAACTGCTTATGTAATTTTTTATATTGGTATTTTTATGAAATAGTCTTGTAAGACAACACTCATTCATTTACTGTATTTGTTCCAAGCGCCATAAATACATCTTAACCACTAAGTAAACATGTTGAAATGGAATCATTACCAAATAGTTAATATTACTTATGAACCACTTTTTTCTCAAATAAGGTTATAACAAGTTTTCAATCAACGTGATTAAAAAATACGGTGGTACTCGAAACACTTATATCAACTCACTATAAACACCCCGAATTCCATTTCAACAATTGAAAGGTTTCTTTTGAAAAGATATTTCCATTAAAGATAGTAAGGAATAACGTTCAAATAGTATAATGATAACTGTTTATTACTTTTTCATATGTAATTATACAAACTGTTACTATCTTTTCATTTAATAAAGGCATTTGATCTTATTTATGTGTACATTAACATCACCTAAAATACCCAGGACATATTTTAAATAAACAAAATTCATATGGTTTTTTATATATATATATATATATATTTGTATTTCAAAAGTACAAACTATTCGTAAAATCACTTGACTAAAGTTTTGCAATTACACCAATCAACACAAAATAAAGATGTAGTAACGTTTACCTACCTCAAAATATATTATAACAGCTATACAGGACAACATGACTGTCTAAACTTAAAGGACTCTTGAACTATTTTATACCGACATTATCCAATGTGAAAATATGAATATCTCGACATTTATCACGTGTCCATTTAATCAACAAAAAACGATTCTGTTACCCACAATATTTACGAGCGTGTATAAAAGCATGGCGCACAATACTAATTTCTTTCCAAACTGACAGACTTTGTGGCTTTTTTAATTTGATCCTGCTTCCGCAGCCGTTAAACAGGCAGTACTTTACACATTTACGTGTAATTTGAATATTATAAGGAATGATGTTGCTTGTATTTAGGGGCCGTTCAAGTATTACGTGAGCACTATGGGGGGCCAGGGGGGTCTTTGCTTTGCTTATTTTGGGTAACATGGGGGGTAGGGGAGTCTAGATGATGATTACGTCATCGGTAGTTATTTACTTTTTTTACACGAATGGCAACCCTAGCATTGTCTTTGCTTGAAAACGAAACGCATTTTCGGGGATTCCCGCAAATAATGCATACGTTTAGTGAACAGCGCGCTTTAAAACCGAGTAGGGGAATTACCGCGCGGTGTTCACTTTTCTAAATTTCCTCTATCAGTGTATTGTTTCGTTTGGATACTATAGCGAGTAGACGTATTGTAAGCATAGTAAACAGTTGTGTTACCATTGATTCCATTAGCCAAAGTTTAATGTTTAAATAAGATGTCGTTTCACATAGACAAATACAAGTTATACCAAAAATTGTTTGAAAGTTTTAAAAAATCTCATACAAGTACGAAAGTACAAAATGTACAAAAGTTTAGTGAACGAACTGTGGCCAAATGACAAGCAAAATCCGACAAGGAACTAGATATTATTGTATCTAAGAGAATCGAAGAAGAATTGCAAGCGGCGACTGAAAATAAATCCAATCTACTAAATATTTTTTCTAAGGTGAGTGACGAAATCATTTTAGGTACCTATGAGTACTAGAAATATTAGAAATCGCCAAAAAGTTTCTCTTTACTGATTAGAAAATATTATGGCCTATCTCAAAGTATAGAGGTAATATTCATTATATTATAGATTTATTTCTTATGATTGATTCCGTCAATTGGTCACAAAGTACAGGATGGTATGGTATGAAAATCCAGAAATAAAAAAAAGACTATCTCTGAGGGATTCAGTGGGATGTCCTGATCTTTTAAGCAATCAACAATCACTATTGAAAACAATCGCGGATATAGCTTTATTTGGGAGTGCAGCAGATGATAGAAGACGAACGGAATCAATTCGCAGCGTAAAAACTCTTGATGAACTCACACAAGAATTACGTAAAATAGGATTTGACATTAGTCGCAGTGGGGCATATCTTCGTTTGATTCCCAGAAAATCTAATTATGTATCGACAGTCCCTGTTAAGCTCATTCGGGCTCAAACTAATCACCACAAGAGCCACTTAGATAGCAAGTTCGCTGAAACATCAATCCATTATTTAGAGAACATAGCATCCATACTTGGACCAGATCAAGTATTTTTCATATCTCAAGATGATAAAGCTCGAGTCCCTATTGGCGTAACTGCGGCAAATAAGCAAGCACCTCTTCTAATGCACATGGAATATAGAATCAAATTGCCTGATCACGATAGGGTAATCGCTGAGCGTCATAAATTAATACCATCTGTCTATGCTGGTATCAAAATCACTTCCAATATGCTAGGACAACCGCAAGCCGTTGGATATTCTGGACCAACATACATCGCTATCCGAAGTGGAAAGCATAGTTCATCTACTGCTAATACTCATGCTCAGGATTTCGAGACGCTTCTCGAACCTGCAGAGTTTCGACCATTAGCTAAAAGTGACCATGGACTAGTAAAACCAGTGGTAATCATGACGGTTGATGAAGGGCCAGATGAAAATCCACGTTATCAAAAAGTCATAGGGTTTGCTATACAACACTTTAAGCGACATGATCTCGATGCATTGCTTTCAGCTACCACTGCTCCTGGAAGAAGTGCGTATTACAGAGTAGAGCGCAGAATGGCTCCTCTTAGTCGGGAACTGGCTGGTTGTTTAATATTGCCTCATGACCATTTTGGGTCTCATTTGGATGAACGTGGCGTTACAATTGATGAACATTTAGACAAATCTAATTTCGAATTTGCAGGAAATGTATTAGCTGAAGTATGGAGTTCAATGAAAATTTATGGCTATAATGTTAATGCAAAATATGTTGGGGCAGGTGAACAAGATCTTCCCGATTTTCCAGATATTAAATGGTATTCAGAACATGTGCGTGAGAGCCCATACTTGTTTCAAATTGTAAAATGTAGAAACACAGAATGCTGTCGTCCAAGAATTGGCCTATTTAGATTACTAGACAATAGATTTCTTCCACCACCTGTAAAAGTAAAACAAACAGTTGATGACTTGGTTTTGGATAAAGAAGGGCAATTTCTTAATCTTCCAGTCAATTTAGCTGTACGCTTAAGTGCTTCACTCAAAGATTTCCTGCAAATGCCCTACGATTATTTTTGTCCGTCGGTAAAATTGAGGCTATCAAGTCGAACATGCAAAACGTGTGGTCTTTATCATGCTTCCGTCAAGTCACTAAATCGTCACATCGAAAATATCCATAAAAAAGTAAACACGCACACTGATAGGAAAGTTAGACCTGTCAGAGTCGCTGCTCGTCGTGCTAATGAACTGATGTGCATTATTCAAAATTTAGAGCACCATGATGTTGAATGGCTCGATCAGAACGACGTAGACATTCCAAAATCCGATGAAAGCGAGCAAACTCACAACACTGAGCAGCAATCGAAGCAATCCAGCGTCATCGAAAACTTAGAATCATGGATTCGGGTTTCATGGACTGAAGACTGTTAATTTGAATTTAATATATGTACCAAAATTTTAAAATAAGTTTGTTATGTTAGTAAGATATAATATTTTTGTCCTTTATGTTGAATACCGTATCAGTAAAATATAATCTCTATCCTAAATCTATTTTCTCATTTTTCAAATTATAATTATAACGTTATAATTATAGTATTAAAAAAAAACAATACATTAATTGACAAATCTTTACGTAAGCATGGGGGGAGGGGGTAAGCGCTTTGCTTACTTTTGCTGACAAGGGGGATGGGGGGTAAATAATTGTAATAAATCTGCTTACGTAATACTTGAACGGCCCTTTAGTGAGAGCAGCCTCTCGTACCATCGGTTACGTTCAGTTGCACTCATCTGCTAACAGGTAGCGTTACGTGGAGTACAGCTGTATCGTCTGGTCAACCACATTGATTGACAAAAGTTACCCATATGTGAAACGGCTTATACTGAGCTGTGCAAGATCATCTATATGTCAGCGGATTCAATCGACTGCGAGAGATGTTTAGCTACCTTTTAAACGCAGCGCTCATTTTTAGCAACTAAGTGGAAGTGAATGAAACCATTGTCATATTCATATTTTTCAGCACTGCTGAATATTCTATATTACAGTCAGTTCCACCAGACTATGAACTCATCTTTTCAATATATCTGCTTCTGTATCTATATAATCGTCTCTGTATGCGTGACGAACAGACAGAATAATATTCACTTGATGTCATATGTATGGCAGGAGTTAAAAGAAAAGGAAAAAAACATGTTTCGTTCTATGGATGATTTACCGTTCGAAGGTTTTCATTTTACAACTGAGCTTCAGAAAGCTGCAGATTTATATTTTTTATAACTGTAAAGCATCCCACAAACCGGCGCGAAATATTCGCTTTGGCTGCGAAAATTTCGCGGCGATGAATTCGCGATCAGATTAAAACGCGGCGGTTTACGGACAGGCTCAGACTTGTGCGAAGCGAATGCGATTGTTCCAGCGTTTTTATCGCGGCGTATTTCAGTTCGCCTTTGACCGCGTTTTTGACGCCGTTCTTCAAAAATTCGCAATGGCAAAAACGGAATTATTGATAGAAATAGTGAAAAAGTATCCTCTTTTGTATGATTTGTCGAACGATGAATACAGGAATGTGAGAAAGAAAGACAAGATTTGGATGGAAATAGGAAAAGAATTAAATACAAATGGTATGTACCTTTTATTAACTTGTTAAATAATTTACAGTCTACACAAATGTGAAAACGAACGTTCTATATATTGGGCATAGGCATATCAGAATTAAAATAATTTACGAATTTGTCACGAGTAGAAAATGCTAGCCTTGCTGCCCGCCGAGGATCATTTGCTATATCAGTAAAAGCTCCAAGCACGGGTTCTGGGGGATCTAAGAATTGAAAATATTTGTCATCGCCACTTTTACTTCGTAAAAAATTGAGACAAAATACCAAACGCATTTTCCACGACCCTTCTAGCTCGACAAAGTCTTACATTGTATTTCTCTTTTCTGACGTCTGTTAAAGTCTGCTTATAAGGAAATGGTCTCATAAGGTATGGTTTTAAAGCAAATGCTTCATCACCAATTAAGACGTACGAGCAGATTTCATTTTGCCCAGGGAGAAATCTAGGTGCAGGGACACTCATTAAATTTTGCTCAAATCGTTTTCCCATGTTTGAGGTTTCGAAAATACCCCCATCACTATTTTTTCCGAAACCACCAATATCAACACATATAAATTTATAGTCCGGGCCAACAATGGCGATAAGTACTATTGAATATTTATGTAAATAGCACCAGTAATTGGAGCCACTGTTGTTAGGTCTCTTGATTGTTACAGTTTACCGTCCACGCTGCCAATGCAATTGGGAAATCCCCATCTATTTTCAAATTCTTCAGCACATTTTTTCCATATATTCTCTGCTGGTTCTGGTAAATATATATGCTCCATATGTCTGCATATCGCTTCACAGACTTCGGTTACGATTGCACTCACTGTTGTAAAGCCAACTCGAAAGCTGTGCCCAATGAAATAGAAGGTGTCACCAGTGGCAAGCAATCTATAGAAAAAATCGTTTTTAGGTGATGAAGTAAAAAAAAGGTGGAAGAATATCAGAGACACATTTGCAAAATATATAAAATCTACCAAACCAAACACCGGCCAAGCAGTGGGCAACATAAAAAAATGGCAGTGGGCTGACTACATGGAATTTTTCCGTCCTTTTTTGGCATTTGCCAAAACGTCGTCTAATGTGAAAGATATTGACGTCATACATTATGAGACTGCCGAATTTAACTCAAATATCAAAAGGCTGGAAATGTAGAAACCGAAAATTTGGAAGACCGCGGCCATGGAGAAGATGAAAATGCTGATGTAGATGCAGAAGATGCACAGAACGCCTCGGCAACACAGACAGCACCACCTTCTTCATTGAACACTACAGCAGTGACTACTCCAGGGCACACCTTTCCGCAGACTGCAACTACACAAAATTATAAAACGAGCAGAAAACGCTATGAACCACCATATTCGTCTGTACAACAGCTCATTAATTATTTTGAAGGTAAAAAACCTAAAAAAGAGAACGAGGCCATTGATTCACTTTTCTTGGCACATGCACAGACTGTGAAAACACTTCCCTTAAAGCGTCAAGCCCGAATAAAACTAAAAATAGCCGAATTAATAGCGCACGAAGAATTTGAACATATTGAAGAAATGTCTTCAGCGCCTACCCAGAATTCTGCAAGTATGTATGATAGTAGTATGTCATCCTTCCCAAGCGGCACTGGGTTTACTCCAATAATATACCCAACAGAGGAGGCAAATTCTGCCTCGAATTATTTAGCAACATTTAATCCTAGTGGCAACATGTAGTCCAATTATTACAATAAAATATTTATTTCACGATCCCTGAAGTTTTCGTATTCGATAAGCCTACTAATTTTAATACATATAATTTTTTTACCTGAGTGTAATAGCAAGTCGTTCTTCTGGCGAAATAGCTTCACGATAATTTGTGTCAGATTTTCGTATTTCATCTTTCATCAAGTTCAATATTTCATCGAAACACTCTGGAGTCATTCTAAAATATATGTAAAAGCGCTGTTCATCCAGCCGAAGTTGTGGCATCAAGGTATGGTATTCCCCAAATTTATTTCGTTCCAAGTTAATATCATGTACCCACTTCCTTCGTTTCCTAAACAAAACTGAATATTTGTTTTATGTACTTCGTTAAACTTAATATATACCCAACTATCAAATGTCGTTAAATAAACATAACTTACCGTGCATTTTGTTCCTCTTCTAAAGCAAGAAATAGAAGTGCCTCCTCTTCTTCTGAAGACGAGCTCATTGCAAAAGGCAAAAATAAAATGTACGCAACCCGTCGAAACCTTCACGTTCGCGGAGCGAATAAAACGCTTTGGTATGAATAAACAGGCGAAACAGATTGCGAATTTCGCTCTGAATTTCGTTGCGAATACTTCGCCGCAATTATTTCGCGCCGGTTTGTGGGATGCTTAAATCAATCAATTCGTGCGACATGTGTAAACATTTTATTTCTAGAAATATCAACAATGTGTAATTGTTATATCTGTCTATTTTTCGTCTAAAACATTTTTTATACAGGGTGTATAAGATTCGGCTGAAAAATAGTCGCGAAAAAAAGAATAAATGTACTCAAATATGTTGTATTTTGCACAATTCAATCTTTTAAGATAAAATTATTATAGTGTATTTATCCGTTCAATTCTCTTACACCGCGTATAAAAAATGGAAAGCGCTTTCTCGCGGGGTGTATGGGGGGTGACCATAGCAGAGGAGAGGGTAAGTGGTAGTTCAGATCGGACACGCAGGGTGTCGATTACTGCAACACCAAACCAATGTTAGAAGGCTGCATGGAGGGGCACCGCCAATTGTACAAATAGTACTGCAACTTTCCGTCGCCGATGCCGAATTTCAGCGGCAAAAGGAACTCGGAGTTGTCCATCAGATCGAGGGCGTTGAACACGTCGAAGCTCAGCTGCTTTGCTGATATCAAAGCATCCGTCATCAGTTCCGTCCACGGGGTCGCGGTCGACACGTTGTAGAACGAATACGCCGCCTGAAATATTATATATACTAAGTGACATATAAATCCGAACCCCAGTTTAAATGGTTTTATTTTAATAAAAGTTGGTGACTGTATTTATCTTACTGTAAATAACAAGTGAAAAAATGTTCAGCCTTATCAGTTGGACATTCCGGTTTTTATACTGTTTTTTTTTAATTCACTAACGCTCTAAAAATGAATATTTCAGCCGCAGTAAAGAATCAACGTTGGCGGATTTATTTATATTTATCGGTTACGATGCCTAGAGTACGGAGACCTGTACGATTTCGTCAACTTAGTGAGTTTGATAGGTGCCGTATAGTGGGACTTCGGGAAGCTAGACTTTCTTTTCCGGCAATTGCAGTTAGAGTGCAAAGAAGTGTAGACACTGTGGTTAGGTGTTGTCAGGCATGGCTTCGAGAAGGCCGTACGCAAAGAGCAAGGGGCACTGGACGCCGCCGTAAAACAACACACCGTGAAGATCGCCGCCTCAGGTTATTGGCCTTAAGGGACCGTTTCTCCACTACCAGATCCATTGCAAATGAATGGTTTGCAGAACACGGATGTCCTATTGGCATGCGAAGTGTTTACCGACGAATGAGCAGTTTTGGCTTGTTTTCATACCGGCCACACTGGGTCCTCCCTTTAACTCGAAAACACCGACGTAATCGCCTTGAGTGGTGCAGACAACGGTCACTCTGGGATCAGGAATGGAACAGTATTGTCTTTAGTGACGAGTCTCGATTTTGTTTAGGCATGCACGATGGTCGTGCCAGGGTTAGAAGGCGACGTGGTGAAAGCAGGAACCCACAGTTTTTTGTTGAAAGACATGTTCATCACACTGTTGGAGTTATGGTTTGGGGTGCTATAGCTTATGGGTCCAGGTCACCTTTAATCTTCATCAGAGGTAACATGAACGCGAAGCGTTATATCCACGAAGTTCTAGAACCCCATCTTTTACCCTATCTAGACACCCTGGCAGATCCAACTTTCCAACAAGATAATGCCCGACCACATGTTGCAAGAGTCACAATAGACTTCTTTCAATATAATGATGTCACATTGTTACCATGGCCACCAAGATCTCCCGACTTATCCCCAATTGAGCACGTGTTCGATATGATGGGTAGGAGATTGCTCAATTTGCAACGTCCTCCTCAGACTCTAGAAGCACTTCGAGAGGAGTTGGTGGTTGCCTGGAATGAGATACCACAGGAGGACATTGACCGCCTGATCAGAAGCATGCCTAGGCGCGTTGGAGAATGCGTAGCACATCAGGGTGCATCCACACATTATTAAAGGTCAAAGGGCTTTAAAGCAGTGCAATCATTTTGAAATTTTTATCATTTACTTATTATGCTTCATTAAGTACTTATACAAAATTTTATTAAAATAAAACCATTTAAACTGGGTGTTCGGATTTATATAGTATATGTATCGTTTTCGTTTTCATTATGTGTTTTAAAGTTCATCATTTGAACAGTATCTTCCTCGCTCGCTCGTTCTGTAACTGTAGCCATATTTGAGTTAACATTTTCTCACCTTGAGACTTTTGTGTACCGGATGGTGCATGACGGTAGACGGCAGCATGTAGTAGCTGACCATGTCCGTCAGTTGTCCACTTTGCGGATTTTCCACCACAAAACTGTCGATGATGTTGTCGCGAGGCAGGAACCAGTGCTGAAACTCCTCCTCGCTGAACTCCGGCGCCAGGTCGAACTTTGTTAGGTACTGTAATTTCAGATAAGCCATTTCGTGTCCGTCTTTTCCAACTATCGGTTTACATAAAACAGCACTTTTAAGGGAATGTCATCCGATCAAAGATTTTAATTTAGACTGATCAACATAAATACAGGATTGTAAGTTTGTTACCTGAGATAAGAGTTTATGAGCCTGCGGTACGTCCTTGGCGGTCATTTTGCGGAAACCGGGCGTTTTCGGCCGATCGGGCAGCTTGAACAGCTTCAAAGTGCGCTGCATCGTCATGTTGCGTGACAAGTGGGAAAACTTCACCTGTTTAAGTATATTTATTTATTTTTATTTCCTTAGAAACACCATTTTCGGTAATTATAAATAAAGAATTTAACTATCTAGAGTCAAAACAAACACCAGCACGCGACGTTTAAATCCGTGCGCTCTCATTAACCAACGAAGAAGCGCCTAAACGGGCAATGACAAGCGAACAGAAGCGGCGACTTACCACCCATGTGGAGTAAATGAGGTCTGGCCAGACCTTCCATATAACACTAAAATTACACTGGACAACAAATTTTAGTTTTTTAATTGTATCTTGTGGGAAAAGTGCACTTCTTTGTTAATTTTGGGGCGCTGAATCCAAAAATGACAATGAAATGATAAAATTAGTTGCGGTTTAGAAAAAAAACTTTTTATTTTTAAGGATATATTAAAAAAAGTAACAAGATTCATATACATACTTATAAGAATCACTATATGCGCTGTCTTTTTGCTGTTCTTTTATGGATCGTTTCTGGAGCATCTCGACCAAGAGTCCAACAGTAGTCTGCAAGCATGGAAGGATTCCACTTTCCCTGGTACCTTTTTTCCATTGTTGAAATATCCTGATGAAAACGTTCGCCGTGCTCATCACTTACGGCTCCGCAATTGTCAGGAAAAAAGTCCAGGTGTGAGTGTAGGAAATGTATCTTAAGAGACATATTACAGCCCATCTTTTGATACGATGATAGCATATTTTTGACAAGGGTTTTATAGTTGTCAGCTTTTCTATTTCCCAAGAAATTAGTGACCACCAGACGGAAATCATTCCAAGCAGTTTTTTCAATACCTGTTAAAGTGTTTTCAAACTGTGTATCTTTCAAAATATTTCGAATCTGTGGCCCAACAAAAATACCTTCTTTAACCTTTGCTTCACTTAGTCTTGGAAATTTCTGACGCAGGTATTGAAAAGCTGACCCATCTCTATCTCTTGCCTTGACAAAGTTTTTCATTAGGCCCAACTTGATATGCAGTGGTGGTAATAAATTTTTTTTCGAATCTACTAATGGCATATGCTGTACATTTTTTTGACCTGGCTCTAGGAATTGACGAACAGGCCAGTTTTGTCTGGTGTAATGAAGTGCCTTTGCCCGACTGTCTCATTCACACAAAAAACAGCAAAACTTTGTGTAGCCTAGCTGCAGCCCAAGTAAAAGTGCAACAACTTTCAAATCGCCACAAATATGCCATTGGTGCTCATCGTATTTTATGCATGTCAATAGGTACTTCATATTGTCATATGATTCTTTCATGTGAACTGCATACCCTACAGGAAGAGATGGTAAAATATTTCCAATATGCAATAACACTGCCTTTAAACTCAATGTTGAACTGTCTATAAACAATCTCCATTCTTCTGGGTTATAGTTTATATTTAAGGCCGCCAGTAAGCCGTTAATGTTACTGCAGAAAACCAAGTTATTCTCCATATTGAAAAATGATTCTAAGTCTTTGTGGCGTTTACGAAAAACACATACCGAAACATCGTCTTCTAACAAGTTCCACTGCTGCAGTCTTGATCCAAGTAACTCTGCCTTACATTTTGGAAGTTCTAAATCTCTTACAAGATCATTTAACTCTGACTGTGTTATTTTGTGCGGTTGGTGGCATGACGTGCTCGGTATAAAATCAGGATCTCTTAACGTTGATGGCATATCTTCTTCCTGACGAATCACTCGATCGCCATGATCTGATTCGTTTTCTGATTCGCAAGTGTAGGATTCCGGGGGTTTTGGAATAGGATTTTCGTCACTGTGAGGCACAGGTCTCATCGCAGATGGTATGTTTGGGTAGTTGATAACCGATTTTTTTTTCTTGGACATACCTGTGGCTTGTCCAACACAAGGTACCATGCAAAAGTAACAATCATTAATATGATTTGTAGGCTCTCTCCAAACCATTGGGACAGCAAAGCGCATAGACCGTTTTTTGCCATTTAACCAGCTCCTCAGACTTGAAGCACATGTATTACAGCAGATGTGGGGTGCCCACTGTTTGTCTTGATCACCTAGTTTACAACCGAAATAAAGCTGATATGCCTTTGTTATTAGTGGAGTAATAGACCGTCTCTGAGACGCAAAAGTCACATCACCACACACGTAACAAAACTGATCTGGATTGTTTACACATTTTCGGGACATCTTGCATGAACGCTGTCAGCCAACTGAGGAAAAAATGGCTAATATAAAACAATATAATGTACACGTATGTATAACGTAACATAATCATGCCGATTACATCATCTTTCCTTGCCGAATATAAAAATGTAGCACGTGCATTCTTGTGAATTACAGTATATTAACACTGTCACAGCAGGAACACATAATTACCGTATCTCTAAAACTTGAACTAATATTGAAAAAATAAGTTTCATTCCGGTTTTAGCACATTAAAAATAGTAATATTTTGTTGATTTTATTTAGGATATTTTTTGGCTGTTGATCAGTGTTATTCTACCAAAAATTTGGCAATACAATTTACAGACAGGGGCGGCTGGTCCTTAAGTTCTGCAGAGTTGCAGAACTGCCAAAACTTTTGTCTTAACAGAAAAAAGCAGTAGTAATTTGATCATTATTTATTTTCCACGTTATCACACAAATAGAAACAATACCGGCCTGCCCCCGCAAGACACGGCGTCGAGTCTGTTTTGCAGCATTATAATCGACCAATTGTGTACTTGTCATTTTCGCCGCGACCGCAGCGTCATGGGCCACTTGAAAAGGGTCTGTGCACTACTTCGGCACAAGCCGCACGCGCTTGCTATTGTCTCTCTCTACAAAATCAAATGCGCGATTTAAGCATAAGCATGCGCTGCAATTTATGCAGATCCGTACAGATCTAATGCGAAGTACGATATCTGATTGGTCGGTCGGTGCTCGGTCCTCGGTATTGGCATATTGGTCTTGTCGCGTGACGTGGCTTAAAATTTGAATGCGAAACATTTTTTATTCAGGTATTGTGGGTCTTATCTTGAGTGACTAGTGACTCACTGACTGACTGTGACTGTGTAGAAGGGTAGTGCAAGACAATGGATTTGGTTTACAGACTTATCAGCGTGAAACGATTCTGGAAGAAAAAATTGAGCTGAAGGTGTCAGGTGCCGGACATATTTATAGAAACACAGGGCGTTAGTCGGGGCAAGGGCTATACGCGGCATTTCAGCAGGGAGATTTACACCAGAAATGACTGGATTTGTGGGTGCAACAGGAAGAATGCCCTTTTCTGCTTTCCTTGCATACTTTTCGGGGGTGACATGAAAACTCTAAAACACATCTTCATAATTCGATGGAATTGGCTTTATTGGAGACTGTTAACATCAGAGCTCAGTTAGATTCAGCATATTTGAGAAATATACAACAGCATAATGATACCGTTACAAAAAACACGTACGTTCTATCAAAAATAATCGATTGTATAAAATTTTGCGGAGCATTTGAATTGGCGCTACGGGGACACGACGAAACCCAGAGCCCCCGGGAATATTTCATGGACTGATTAATTTTTCTGCTGAGCTTGATACAACCTTAAGCGAACACATAAAAAATGCTTCAATATTTAAAGGAACTTCGAAAGAAATACAAAACGATCTACTGGATTGTATTCTTGAAGTTTGTCATGAAGAAATCATAAACCAGATTAACAGGGCCTCGTATTTGGCGATAATAGCAGATGAAACAACGGACATTTCGGGGAAAACCCAACTGGTAACAATTTTCAGATACGTATTTAACGGCGAACCAGTAGAACGTTTTTGGAATTAATATGAATCCCGAAAAATGTGACGCTGATACTCTCACAAGACATATTTTGAGCGTCGTAGATCCATTAATAGGAAATTTCCCTAACAAACTGATTTCACAAAGCTATGATGGAGCCGCGGTAATGAGCGGACATAATGCTGGAGTACAGGCAAAAATTAAACAAAGATATCCTTCTGCTCACTATGTGCATTGCTATGCGCATCAGTTAAACCTGATTATGTCCTTAGGTGCTTCCGCAAATGCTCAAGTTCGGGTGTTCTTTGGGGATATTCCGGGATTTTTTAGTAATTCTCCTCAACGCGTAGAGGTACTGAACAGAATTGTGGGGAAAAAAATTTCCCAAGGAGCAACAACTCGTTGGAATGTTAATATTTGAACAATAAATGTAGTGTTTAAGAACAGAGAATCACTCATTGAATGCATGGAAGAAATAGAATAAAATTTCACTAATGAAACCGTTTGCAAGGCAGCTTGCGGAATTCGCCGTATGTTGAACGATTATGTTTTCGTGTTTTGGTTGACATTTTTTCATCACGTCCTGCCTCACGTCGACATCTTGTTCAACCAGTTGCGGAAGAGAAAAACCGAGCCAGCGCAAGTTAAAATGGCTATCGATAATTTTGAAAAATGTATTGTCGATGTGAGAACCGATCACCGAGTTGCCGCATTAGAAGTATGCGACAATATAGTGAATTCTGCAAATGACAGAATTTCAATTCAAAGATCATTTGGTAGCCGCATCCCTTTTTTTCCCCCGAACACTTTGGAGAATACTGTGGTAAGTTTCATGATGACAAGTTGGAAACTACCTGCTCGAACTCCGCGTGGATCTAGGTGTTTGTTTACGCTTAGCGATAACTCTTGCAGTAATGTAAGGACTTCCACTTACTTGCTGGTTTTTGGTGACCAACCTCTTGGTAAGTGTTGGATTGGTGAGTGAACTTTTCAGTGAATAAATCGAACTAATAACTTTCACACATGACAGAAACTCGCAGGGTACTATCGATACTACTTTCAAGTCAGATGGTCAGGACCGTCTCACCCTGTATTGTACGGCTATTCATAATAAAGAAATAATCTTTATTGGTTCTGTAGAACATTTATCATGACATAGAACACATCAATCTTGAAAACTACCAAAAGCATTACAAAAATAAAAACAAACACAATACACATATGAAAAATGTGACAGTCACAAAAACAATGAACAAAGAACTAGAAATCAAAATTGACGTGTCCTTTGCGTTTTCCCCAAAATATACCAGGTGAGTCATAAATGGGGGTGCGACCTTTTCGTTGGGCCAGCCTGTATATAGAACAACTATTCAGGTGGTGATAACTTACGTCTATAAGCTTTTTCGGGTTGAGCGATCTGTGCCAGTAGGTGCAGGTGGCGACTGGTTTGGGCAGCACCACTCCTGCAGTGTAAACAGCTTGAAAGAGGCCGTGCAAATGAACACGGCGCGTTATTTCTCTGATCAGCACCGGGGCAACGCGCTTGCTGCGCAGCTTCTTGTGCACGCACAAAAAGTTTATCTCCACCATGTGCTTACGTCTACAATATACAATAATTTAATACTGGTATCACATCAACAGCCACACGAAAATAATAATAATGTAATCTGATCTATCTATTTCCCTAAAAATCATCACTAATGAATATCATCAATATAATTTTTTACGAATTTTGCATACATTACAATTATTTTGAGAATGCATTGCTAATGCTTGAAATGGCATTAAAGCAATCGGAAATATGTCCTCATTAACAAAACTGAGTGTGTCCTACATATACTAAGTGACATATAAATCCGAACACCCAGTTTAAATGGTTTTATTTTAATAAAATTTTGTATATGTGTAAGTACTTAATGAAGCATAATAAGTAAATGATAAAAATTTCAAAATGATTGCACTGCTTTAAAGCCCTTTGACCTTTAATAATGTGTGGACGCACCCTGATGTGCTACGCATTCTCCAACGCGCCTAGGCATGCTTCTGATCAGGTGGTCAATGTCCTCCTGTGGTATCTCATTCCAGGCAACCACCAACTCCTCTCGAAGTGCTTCTAGAGTTTGAGGAGGACGTTGCAAATTGAGCAACCTCCTACCCATCATATCCCACACGTGCTCAATTGGGGATAACTCGGGAGATCTTGGTGGCCATGGTAATAATGTGACATCATTATGTTGAAGTCTATTGTGACTCTTGCAACATGTGGTCGGGCATTATCTTGTTGGAAAGTTGGATCTGCCAGGGTGTCAAGATAGGGTAAAAGATGGGGTTCTAGAACTTCGTGGATATAACGCTGTGCGTTCATGTTACCTCTGATGAAGATTAAAGGTGACCTGGAACCATAAGCTATAGGACTCCAAACCATAACTCCAACAGTGTGATGAACATGTCTCTGAACAAAAAACTGTGGATTCCTCCTTTCACCACGTCGCCTTCTAACCTTGGCACGACCATCGTGCATGCCTAAACAAAATCGAGACTCGTCACTAAAGACAATACTGTTCCATTCCTGGTCCCAGAGTGACCGTTGTCTGCACCACTCAAGGCGATTACGTCGGTGTTCTCGAGTTAAAGGGAGGACCCAGTGTGGCCGGTATGAAAACAAGCCAAAACTTCTCATTCGTCGGTAAACACTTCGCATGCCAATAGGTCTTCCGTGTTCTGCAAACCATTCATTTGCAATGGACCTGGTAGTGGAGAAACGGTCCCTTAAGGCCAATAATCTTAGGCGGCGATCTTCACGGTCTGTTGTTCTACTGCAGCGTCCAGTGCCCCTTGCTCTTTGCGTACGGCCTTCTCGAAGCCATGCCTGACAACACCTAACCACAGTGTCTACACTTCTTTGCAATCTAACTGCAATTGCCCGAAAAGAAAGTCCAGCTTCCCGAAGTCCCACTATACGGCCGCTATCAAACTCACTAAGTTGACGAAATCGTACAGGTCTCCGTACTCTAGGCATCGTAACCAATCGTAAAGGATGTCAAGATCCAAAATCCGCCAACGTTGATTCTTTACTGCGGCTGAAATATTCATTTTTAGAGCGTTAGTGAATTAAAAAAAAAAAGGAGTATAAAAACCGGGATGTCCAACTGATAAGGCTGAAAATTTTTTCACTTGTTATTTACAGTAAGATAAATACATTCACCAACTTTTATTAAAATAAAACCATTTAAACTGGGTGTTCGGATTTATATGTCACTTAGTATAAATGATTGTTTGATATATCGTTTTTATAAATGAAAATAAATAGAAAGCTGACTATTAAATACATACTTTTTATAAATGTTCAATGTTGCAGGAATGGCAGAGATAAATCCTACCAGTCTACCACTCTTCACAACTCGCACTCCGCAATGCCATTCACACTTCCATCCTGGTGGCTGCAACGCCCTAAACAAATACAATATATCGTTAACACAAAAAAAAGTATACACAAAATTTTCTTCAATATTTACATTCAGTAGAAAAAAAAATTGAATATACTAATTAGAGCATGTGTATAGTTATCATTTACTCTGAAAATTCTACATGGTGTCAATTTTATAAAGAAAGAGAGCTGTCTATCCGATTTTTACTGGACATTATTCCAAAATACACACCACTTTAAAAACTCAGGTTGATAGTCAAATCTAAACATGCAGTCATCATCTTCAACATAGTTTTCATTGAGCAGCGTGTAGAGTTCTTTCAAAATGAGTGGCTCATCCAGATTAAGGGTGTCCCAGACAAAACCATCTGGCAAACTGTACGGTTCTTGTCTAATCTCACTAACCTCCTTGTCCGGTTCTATTGCTTCATTTTCAGTTATCTTCTCATCTGATGTTCACAATAAAAACAGTCACAACAAGAAATAATGCAATAGTATGATGACGATTATAGGAGCCCTTTCCCGCTTCAGTAGGCCCAACTATTGAAATCTTAGTTTTATTCTTATCAAACACAAATAATGAAAATGTAGCAGGTTGTTATAGGTTTAAAATATTAACAATGAATATTTTGATAATATATAGTAGAAAACACCAACTTTATTACTCCCTAATCAAATTTGCAGCATAAAAATAACACATGTTGCAATTACAGCATATCAACCTATTTTCATTTCAATGCAAAATAAGTCTATAACGCATAGGTGAAAAATAAAAGCCATGACAATTGTTTTTATTAATCAGAATACGTTTAAAACAGTTTTGGGAAGTTAAGGTTTTCAAAATGGGTAGAGGAAAGGTTATTAGTGAGAAAATTCGGTTACTGATAATTAAATTTTTTAATTCTGGGAAATCAAACTCAGAAATAACAACTTTGTTAGACTTATCGCGGTACAGTGTGACAAATATTGTTAGAAGATATAACGCAACTGGTTCAGTTAATATTAAGCCACGATATGTGAAAAAAAGTAATATCACAAATGTCGACCGAAGAGCATTAAGAAGAATAATCGTGAAAACCAGGCGTGACAATTATTTACAATTAAGTGCTCTGTTGAGTGACGCTATTGGAAGGAGAATTTTCGAGGCCCACAACTCATAGAGAGGCCCATAAACTGGGATTTAGCACTTGCAAGGTAAGTTTTCTTATAAAAAAAAGTGAAGTAAAAAGCCTAAAGTTGCACAACTTGTTTATAGGCCAAAGAAAAGCCACTATTAACTCCTCTGCAAAAGAAAAATCGGCTTAGATGGGCTAAAGAACATAGACAATGGAGCAAATGCTTTCAATGAATACTGTATTAATGAAGTAATTAAAATATTACCACAGGCACCAATACATAACTCTGATTTTTTTGACCATGTGCAAGAGTGTATGCCACTAGAATATGTTACTCCTCTAGAACTAGCAGAACTGGGCAAAAAACTTAAAAATAAAATGAGTAGTGGTGATAATGGCATTCCAGCTAGTATTTTAAAATATTGCTTAGTAGTAATTCTGGAACCTTTGGTTCACATAATAAACAACTCACTTAAGTACGGTATTTTCCCTGAAAAACTTACATTAGCTATAATTATACCTATATATAAAAAAGGAGATCCTAGTGACTTGCTAAATTATAGGCCAATAAGCTTACTTTCTTGCTTTACAAAGCTTTTTGAGTTAGTAATGTATTCAATTCTTTTCGGACATAGTAGCTATACCAATATGATCTTTCTAGTGCAAAAGCGAGTGCTGAGGTGCATCCTAAAAATTTCCTCTAGAGAGACTTGCAGAGGAAAATTTAAGAGTAATAAAATGTTAACTGTAGCCGCAATATATATTCAAGAGATTCTAATTTTTACATTTAAAAATATTAACAATTTTATCGGTAACCCACGAAGTGAAAGAAATAGAAATATAAATCTTCTGTATCCAGTCCATCATCTAACGGTTACCGAAAAAAATGTCCATTACAGCTGCATTAAAATATATAATAAGTTACCACAATAAATTAAAAGGTTGGCAGATATAAAAAGAGTATTCATCAATTGTGAATGCACTTAGAACCATATGACCTTCAAGAATATTTTGAAATGTGATATATCTCTATTATGTTATATGTTTTACCTCTTTGTTTTTTGTGTCTTGATGACACTGTGACGTATATTTCACCTAACAGTGTGTAATACATTGTAATCATGCACTGTTATTTTGAAATAAAGATTTATTATTATTATTAATACAATGGAGTGATGAGGCCCGATTTGAAGTTTGTGTTGGTGACAGTCGCAGTAGTTATTCGCAAAAAAAAATGAAGCATTCAACGTTGACTGTCTGAAGAGAAAAGTGAAATTTCCAGCATCCATTATGGTCTGGGGCAGTATGTTATCAAAAGGAGTAGGAAAACTTCCTTTTATTGATGAAAATGTGGATACAAACAAATATTTGGCAATTTTAGAAGAATCGCTTTTACCAGTGATGGAAGAATGTTTGACATCCGGCCAAGATTTTGGGTTTCAGCAAGATGGTGCAGTGTGCCATACCTCAAAAAGGGCTATAAAATGGATGAAAGAAAATAATGTACCACTTGGTTTCTAGCAGTCCAGATCTGTCACCTATTGAAACTTTGTGGCAAGAAATGAAAAAGGTTCTACGACAATATCCTGCTCATACAATCACCAAACTGAGACAAAAGCTTCAAGAAATATGGGATTGTTTTACACCAAATTTTTGCCAATACTTGGTTAACACCCCAAAGAATTTCAGCCGTAATAATAAATAAAGGTGATGTTACCCAATGGTACTCTTTCAATTGTTGCTTTGTTAACTTCGCGCATTGTTTATTTGTTCAGATGTTCTAAGTGATTTCAAATATGTATTTTTTAGGACTAGAGTGTACCTAAAATGTTTTTGAGAAAATAAATTGTTTTAGAAGTAAATAGTTTCATCATGTTTAGTTTATAAAGGCATATTTTGGTACAAATCTTGAAGTGGGTTAACTGAAGTGAGAAGGGGCTCGTATACACATGTATTCAGTGGTCACTTTTTTTTATTTTTCTTTATCACACATTTTAATTTTAATAAAGACCAAGATAAAAAATGGTTTTCCATATTATATAATATTATGGTATACCAATACAGGTTTTGAATAACTTTTACATTTCATTTAAACTGTAAATGAGGTTGATTAACATTATGCAAACATATAATTAAACATACAAATATTAAAGTTCATATATTTAGAAACCTTACAAAATGCTTATAAATGATACCTTTTAGGCTTGATTCTGCTCTAAAGATAACGAGATATTAGGTTTAGATGAAATTGGTTTGTTTGAAGCCATATAAAAATGAATTAGAAAAGGATGACCTTGATGCATTATTTAAAGACATACCCATCCGAGGCACAGGTTGAGTGTTCCAGAACTGATATGACTTTTTAAGAGCTTCGTCGGATGTCTTGGCTGGTTTCTGAGACAAAGAAAACACAGGAGAGAACACTTCCATTGCAGCTTTCAGCTCCTTGATGGATATTGTATTTATTGGACTAGTTACATTAGATGTTTCGTTTTTTTCATCATCTTTGGTTATTTCTACAATCTCTTCAGTCTGCTTTTCCTCATCATGCTGTTTCTTCTGTTTGTTACGTTTCTTGGACCTGTATGAAACCTATGGTTAGTGTCTGTCTGGAGTAACGGTTATTCCAGCAGTAATTCAGCTCTAAATGAGCAAACTAATCAATCATCTTCGATGTAGCAACTGAAAACTATTTGTTATGGTTCTTGGGATACTTTAAAATACAAACCCTTTGATTGCGTTAATGCCGTCTACGCATTCAATCATTGCCTTTGGCTTTTCGGCATTGTCCATTGGATTATTTTCAGTTTTTTCTGACATTAGCGATAATGTTTCTAAAATCCTAAAGCAAGACCACAAAGTTTTATCAAAACTTGCATTGATATAATTGACAAGAATGCCGGGCGAGAGGGTGACATTGACAATTTTGACATAGATGACATTGACCAGTGACACGAGCACAAGAAATAGAGTTGTGGTGTCGTGGAACCCATGAAAGAAATCTTCAAAATGAGTCAGTTCAAGAGCAAACGAATCTATAAACAGTTCGTTTAAATTATTCTTAGGACATTACTGCAAATTGCGACTTGAAATGTCATGACCATGTTATATATGTTTTGTGGAGTAGGCATTCTTTCAGTGTATAGTGCAACGACGATAAAAAAACATAGACCTTTCTATTTGCACTAAAACTTATTGAAACCATAAATATTAGGGAATTGCAATGTTGCCATTCACTCGCTGATAGAATTGGTAAGCTGTTTGGACTCACGAAAACATAAAAATTTTAACATTCTTGAAAATCTGTATAAGCAATAGTGAAAAGTAGGATAGTATGAACTTTGTATTGAATTTACCGTCAGCAGATGAAAAAGATTTCCTTGAGTCAGAGCCTCAGTCGACATCTGGCAACGTCACATTTTTCATATGAATGGCCATTTTACTATAGTGTGGAGTGCGTATTTTGTGTTTGAGTTGTGTATTTTTACAAATCATTATTTTTGTGCTATTTGCCCTAAGTTTGTTAGTGGTATTGAACTTTTACCTTCTGAACAATGGTGAGATCGTGTTATATGTGCAAGATAAACAGCAATAATCCAGATTCGGCTAATTTATCCATCGGTAAGTAAGGTTATATCTACATAACATGGGCGTAGCAATCCATATTTTACTGTATGAATTATCATAAAATAGTCTTATACCATCATTTTAGTAGCTTCCTGACGCGTTTATATAAATATATATCCATCACTATCAGTATGATACAATTTAATGTTCTGGGTGTAGCCCATTAAGTACAAAAATATCCACATAATCACAATCTTGAAAATAAAGTAACTAAACGTGAACTTTGCCATGTTTTGATCAGATTTTCATGCTAGCTAGTTTATAATCATTAGACAGCTAATTGGTGTAAGAATTAGAACCCCATAGCAGTCAAGGGAGCCCTGTCCGAAAGCAGTGAGTAGAGTTCTATACTGACTTGAACTATTCTCATAAATATAATAAGTTTATACTACATATTAATATAGATGGATTGGTACAATAAAATAAGTCAGTGTCTGTGTGCTTCAAGTGTGCTTTAATAAATGTAATATGTATATTCAAGTACATTACCTTACAATTATTGGGTATGTATGTGAAAGGATTTCGGTTGTTTACATGTGTTGTGCCCAGTATTTTGAAATACCTTTCATTTTAGATTGAGAATGGAAGAATTAGCTCATATAGGGTAAGTATCCTCTTGATGTAAATTATTATATTTACTCATGTGGAAAACATTTTAGCTCAAATCCCATTCCTTTTCCTGATCTAGTACTGAAAAAGCTTCTGAACAGGAGTATGAGACAACACGATTGGCAATTGGAGGAAATGTCACCATACAAAAAGTCAGACCGCCATGTAAGAGAAGGTCTTCAAGTGCAAGAACTTGTTCCTTACTAGCTATTTTGTATCAAGATAAATAATGATATATAATATTATTTAATGAATAAAGTATATAGTTAACACATGTATCCTTTTCAGGCTAAAACGTTATGTTGGAGATTTATAAAGCGATGAATTTTTCACTCCCAGAAAAGCAAAGTCTTATTATCAGTTGATGAAAATTTCCCTGATGAGATCTAGAAAAAAAGTAAAAAATCTCCAAACAAGTGTTGGTGCTTTGCGGAAAAGAATTAAAACTCTAAGTGGTTTATTTAAACTTTTGAAGCAGAAGATGCACATAACAGATTCAGCTGAAACTGTATTGAAGGTAAGCAGATTGATAAAAACTCTCCCAGATATCCATATTTATTTGTTTGGTGTAACTGATCAACTTTTTTTCAATATAATAATTCTCATCAACACTTAACATACCATAACTGGTCAAAATACCGTTGAAAATAATCATATCATCTTATCATAAAGCTTTATTATTTTTTTTCTATTAATTATAGCAGTTGATATTCTATTTTTTTATTAGTATTTTGTTTATTTTGACCAATACTTGTTACAGAAAGTAGACATATTTTCATCTACCACAGCAGGTCATTAGACTGGTTATGGTAGATTCATAATTAACTATGGGTATGTTCAGTGTCAATATTTTAGTTTCAATAAGGATATCAAATACCTCTTAGAATACAATATCACCACAAATTATGGGTTATTTTAATGATCACCTTTTTGAAGATGACCCTATTGATGGACACTGTATATTTTTAAGTGCGACTCATGATGTGGTTGTTACCACACGTTAATAATAATAAGCTCTTTTTAAGGGTTTATACATGGTTTTTTTGCAGTATTAATCCCAATTTAGCGCAATAAGTATAGATGGCGGTGATGGAGTCACGTAACAGTGAGGATACCACTGGTACTCTAGGATTAATAAGCTATTCTGTTGATGTCTTTAATTTGTTAATGTTAATTATACTTTTCCATAATACAGTATAGTTCAATTTTTAATAAAGATATCTATATGACAATCATTTTTTTCTTTAATTCTGCTGGCTCTGTGCTCTTATTAACACTGATACAGTTGTACTAATGAGAGGTAGTCTGCATTTCATTATTTATTCTACAAACATGCTATTTTATTCTGTGATAGTATGAACAATTCATTTGAATGAGATGTTATTTCATTGCAGTATACCTCATACTCTTACATTCACTGTAAAGTTTAAAAAAATTTGAAAACCCTACAAAAATAGTTTTCAAACGCGCGTTCCGTCACCCCGCCCTTGATACGCCCATGCTAGTTGACAACTGTCAGTTCCGTTCTCCCAGTCGCAGATATTTTTTTGTTTATCCTGTCAATATTCAGAATAGAGATGATCTTAGCAGCGACTTGCAAGTCGCCGGGATACCGGTGACAGCGACCTTAAAGTCTAGTGTATATGTTTTGTGATGTGTTTGCGATTTTTCTATGTGATCATAATATCAAAATATAGACGTGACATCAAATATTTCCATTGAAAGCTAAAGTTAAATAGAATCTAACAATGAAAAAAGATCAGTCTGAATTTGAAATAGCCCCTTTGAGACCCTTGGACGATTTTCTTTTAGAAGCGGCTCGATTTCAAGTTCCCAACTTCAGAGATCTCGAGAAATGGGGCAACCGAGTGACCAGCAATCTCCTTTATTATCAGACCAACTATTTTCTGATGGCCATAATCATTTTCATGTTAGTCGGGTATGTATTATGTATAAAAGTATAAATAACTATTCGCCCTCGTCCTTAATTTTGTAGGGTGGTGCACCCAATCAAGATGGCATGCGGTTTTCTGGCCACTGCAGTTCTCCTGATGATATTTGTATATGTGACCAATGAGCGAGTTGTGGCAGCCAGGTTCAAAAGGAACCACCCCCTCATTTCGATTTTGCTCATATTCTCTGGGTTGTATTTGCTTGCTTATATGCTGCAGGCATTGCTTGTTTTCTCATTGGGTATTCTGCTTCCGACAACTGGTAAGTAAACGCAAAACAAGTACTTTTTAAAAAAATCCAATCCACCGGAGTACTGTAACTGAAAATAATGATTTAACTGTGCTATGAAGTGAAATGTATTGACATGACAAAGCCCATCACGCCTGTGAAATATAATTTTTTTGATACACAAGGTTAATAAGCCAGACAAAAGTGGAATGTAAAGTATACCTAATTACGAATTTTGTGTTCAAGATAACACAACTAATGTTTTTAGAGGTGATCATATTATATGTTGTCAACTTTATGCTGGCACCAAATATACTAAGTGACATATAAATCCGAACACCCAGTTTAAATGGTTTTATTTTGATAAAAGTTGGTGAATGTATTTATCTTACTGTAAATAATAAGTGAAAAAATTTTCAGCCTTTTCAGTTGGACATTCCGGTTTTTACACTGCTTTTTTTTAATTCACTAACGCTCTAAAAATGAATATTTCAGCCACAGTAAAGAATCAACGTTGGCGGATTTTGGTTCTTGACATCCTTTATGATCGGTTACAATGCCTAGAGTATGGAGACTTGTACGATTTCGTCAACTTAGTGAGTTTGGTAGGGGCCGTATAGTGGGACTTCGGGAAGCTGGACTTTCTTTTCGGGCAATTGCAGTTAGAGTGCAAAGAAGTGCAGACACTGTGGTTAGGTGTTGTCAGGCATGGCTTCGAGAAGGCCGTACGCAAAGAGCAAGGGGCACTGGACGCCGCCGTAGAACAACAGACCGTGAAGATCGCCGCCTAAGATTATTGGCCTTAAGGGACCGTTTCTCCACTACCAGGTCCATTGCAAATGAATGGTTTGCAGAACACGGAAGACCTATTGGCATGCGAAGTGTTTACCGACGAATGAGAAGTTTTGGCTTGTTTTCATACCAGCCACACTGGGTCCTCCCTTTAACTCGAGAACACCGACGTAATCGCCTTGAGTGGTGCAGACAACGGTCACTCTGGGATCAGGAATGGAACAGTATTGTCTTTAGTGACGAGTCTCGATTTTATTTAGGCATGCACGATGGTCGTGCCAGGGTTAGAAAGCGACGTGGTGAAAGGAGGAATCCATAGTCTTTTGTTGAAAGACATGTTCATCACACTGTTGGAGTTATGGTTTGGGGTGCTACAGCTTATGGTTCCAGGTCACCTTTAATCGTCATCAGAGGTAACATGAACGCGCAGCGTTATATCCACGAAGTTCTAGAACCCCATCTTTTACCCTATCTTGACACCATGGCAGATCCAACTTTCCAACAAGATAATGCCCGACCACATGTTGCAAGAGTCACAATAGACTTCTTTCAACATAATGATGTCACATTGTTACCATGGCTACCAAGATCTCCCGACTTATCCCCAATTGAGCACGTGTGGGATATGATGGGTAGGAGATTGCTCAATTTGCAACGTCCTCCTCAGACTCTAGAAACACTTCGAGAGGAGTTGGTGGTTGCCTGGAATGAGATACCACAGGAGGACATTGACCACCTGATCAGAAGCATGCCTAGGCGCGTTGGAGAATGCGTAGCACATCAGGGTGCATCCACACATTATTAAAGGTCAAAGGGCTTTAAAGCAGTGCAATCATTTTGAAATTTTTATCATTTACTTATTATGCTTCATTAAGTACTTATACAAAATTTTATTAAAATAAAACCATTTAAACTGGGCGTTCAGATTTATATGACACTTAGTATACATTGCTTATGTATATTCCTTCAATTTTATAAAAACATATTCATCTAAACGGTGTTATTTTGCCAGTACTAGGACAGAAGGTGCTCCTAGTCGGCAGCTAGTTTCGAATTGTCAGACAGTATTTGATTGTCCAGTTTTAAATCGAACTGTATTTAAAAATTTGTGATAGTAGAATAGAAATTTCATATCAGTTGTCATGAAGACTTTGAGGAAAAGAAATTAAACACATTCATAGGCAGTCCATTAAATATAGATATTTTTATCAAAAATACATACAAGCGAGGTAAAAATGAATAATAAGCTAAGTTTTGCATTTAATCCAATACTGCACTCGCGAATATGAACTACCATACTGTTTTCATTTTTTGAGCGATTTCCCAACATTTCTCACAGCTTCAAATGTCTTCTTTAACCTGCATTCACTATACAATGTGTTTGGTCACTACATACCGATATTTAAGGGGGGTATTTTTCAGCTATTTTTATCAACAAATCTACCCCTCTACAATGTCCTACCTCAGCCCCCCTTGAAATGGCAGCCATTTTTTTTTTAAGTTACGTATACGCTAGTGCGTGTTTGAAAATTGTAATAACTGAGAACATGAGAGTCACAGAATGATAAATCTGGTGTCATTTGAATGATAACATGTTGTTCTAGCGATTATTGAAAAACTTGTATTGATACTAACCGTCAAACATACTTAAAAACAGACAAAAACATGCAAGATGATTATTTTGTGCATTTGTGACCTTGAACTATTTATAACAAACTTTGATTTGTCATTTTTATGTATTTATTTATTTTATTTATTTATTTAATAACAAGAACATCCAACAAAGACCATATACAAAAAATGTAAATACACATAAATATGTATATAACACTATAATTCCTTATTCATCAAGGACATCCTGATGACAGAAAGCTACACCTAGATGGTTCAAACCACCTGTATGTGCTTTCATCATCCGGACTTACAAATAAAAAGAAAATGCTACTTATTGGATTATAAAATTCAATAAAAAAAAAAACAATAATCAACCTCAATATTCCGAACAATAGTTCAATCATACTATGATATAAAAAATCATTAGAAAAACCTTTCAAATTGTGTAGCATTCTCAAAAATATATTCTCTGCAGCTGCTGCTAAATGTTTTAATATTTTTCATCTTTTTCAAGTCTTCTGGCAGAATGTTATATATCTTTGGTCCCATGTACGTTATGTATCTTAAGTTAGGTTATTGTTATTCTTGGGAATTTCTATTTGCCTGCCCACATTTGCATGAGTACAGTAGTTATGACTTACTTGTTTCTGTAGTTTTTCATTTCTATAAATAAAAGTACAAGTACACGTACAAGGATCTAATATTACACACATCCTTTGTAAAAAGTTTATTAGTAGGGAATCTTTAATCTTTCTTAAAAATAATTTGAACAATATATTTCTGAATAATAATTACGCTCTACATAAGCATTATTATACAGCCCCCCCATACTAATATCCCATATCTAATTATAGATTCAACAAATGCTTTATAAACTGTTATTAAATTTTTTTTATCGAGAAAGTCACGCAGTAGATAAAATTTAACTCTACTCGATACATAATCAACATGCGGCTGCCACTTTAAATGTTTGTCAATAATGATTCCTAGACATTTAGTTTGAGACACTTCCTTAACAGAATAATTATCATCCAACATAATAGTGCTGTAATTTGGTCTGTTTTTATTGGTCAACGAAAACGCAATATAGCTTGTCTTAGATAAACTCAATGTTAGTTTACTCTCTTGTAACCAGTCTTTTACCATACCTAGACCATACACTGTTTTACACTTTGCATCCTCCCAACATTCTATAGTAATTATTCTTTTGTTTGTGTATTAATTTATTTAGTGTATTACCTTGTACTGATTTTCCAAAGACAAACTATAATTTGCTAGAAGTCTCTTTTTCATTGTATCCCTTTTTTTTCAAAGAAACAATAATTCCATTGCTTATCATGGTTTTATTTTTTTTGGAATTGATACTCTTGTGGCAATTGTTTCTGTTGCTTTCAACAGCAAATCCCTGTAGGTAGTCAAAAATAACTTTACAGCTATTTCTGGATCATTCACACTGGTTGCCAAATTCCAATCACAATCATTCAAAAACTTCTTAAATTTATTTATGCTTACTAAGCCCAAATTGTCATCTATCACTTGATATGACCACTGTGAGAGTTTGTTTAAATACTAATTTTATTTGTAAATTGAAGGCATATACCTGTAGATACAAAATGAAATTTCTTTCAAATAGGTCATGCTTAATTATGATAGATACGATAAAAGTTTGTAAGCCTCACATGATATTTTAATAGTAACACTCCACATTATTCCATATTGTTCTAGTAACGTTCATCCATGCTTCATTGAGATTGAGGAACATAAAGAACAAGATAGCAAATAAAGTTGAAAGTCTTGGATTGAGAACAACACCGATGGGATTTTTTCTTGAGGAGATGGGATTGGAAACTGAACTTTTCTGAGAATATGTCTAAGGCTGTTAAACAGTCAAAAAATTGAATACATGTGGTGTATACAACACCATGAAACTCTTATATGTATTATTAAAAACTAGTTTGCATATCTCCATATGCAATAATAAATGTTAGTTGTAGGATCAAACAACAAAGAATTATTTCCAAAGCACACACTTATAATGCTCATGATTTTATGTATTATATATACGAGTATGTAATTGTTATTTTATCAGTTTTATATATATACTTTGAATAAAATGTTTACATAAATTAATAAGAGCTTTTTTTTGTAAATAATAAAAAAATAGTGGCCCTGAAATTTGGCAAAATGGACCTTCACATAATCTATTCTACACAGCAGAATACATCTAACTACTGTCAGTTGAAGGTATGGATTTTGATGGATCGTCTGTGCGCGTGATAATACAGTCATTTCATTTTCTTTCTCAAGTACAAGGAAAGTCTGGTAGTCTTCAATTCTGAATTAAGTCCTTCAACTGGTTTGCTCCATTCACATCCATAACAAATATTTGAATGTAAAATACTGCGAAGAATGGAATCTGGAAGTTTTAATTAAAAACAAATCACGTTTAAAAAGTATTTAAATAATTTTGGTCAAATATCCCTATAGGGTCGGAGAACATTCAATAGAATCCACAATCGGCGACAATACCGAATGAAAAGTTGACTGTACCATATTGGCCGTGAAAAGACGAGGGTCACGAATGTACTGGTGTCGGCGCGCGCCGAAAAGCAAACGACGGCGACGGCAAATCGATTTTCAGTTTGAACAGCAGCAGGTCGTGACGACGATGTTGCCCGCTTCAGCATCGCCTCTGCTGCAGTTGCCGTCAGCGTCATTTGCCTTCTTGCGTTCGATCCTCTGCTACAGAACAAACATCGATGTCATTGCCTTTTTGCGATAATAATCCAATTCCAGATATTCCTCGGCAGGCGCAACGACGTGGTCACCGCGAGTGCGACTGCTTGTTTGGCCAAGGCGCTTATTATGATCATCAAACGCTACCCAAGACCGAACAACTTTTAATTCTTGCTGATTGCTGATGTTATGCTACACCCGAAACGCGGCAACGGGTTCATTATCAGCAACCAAAATACGCTGCTGCTGCTGCTGAAAGTTGCTTCCGTTAAGGCCGCTATCGATATTACCGTGCGGTTGAACATAATCTGAACGTTTTCAAACGGCACGGAATCATGGCTCATGGTAAGTCCTATTACATTCACTGCATCCAATTACTGAAAATTTTAATCTGACCGTTTCTTTTTTGCCAAATGTTGAATGGTAGGTACACATTTTTTTATTCACTATTGACACTCGTTAAAGTTATAGTTAAAATTGTATTGTTTTTGCACCAAAATGAATGAATGTTTAGCATAGCAACAGACATTATCAGGAACGTTTAATCGTGTGTACGGAAACAAGAAATTTTAGCTACACACATAACGAAAATGTACAACTTGTGATAAAAATAATATACACGGTGGCGCATCGAAAACGAAACAGACTCATTTACTGGCAGCTCAGTTTTTTTTGGAAAAACGCTCAGACCCGTCGATTTTGTTTTCGAGGGGGACACAAGTTTGGCAAAAAATCACGTTAACACATGCAGCCCCCTGGGCGGGGGTGACACCAACCCTAAAATCTTAAATGGAAAGGGGGGTCGAGTGATACCTTATTTAAAAGGTCTTTCAATTCCCTTTATAATGATGTAAAATACATGAGCTTCACTTCAGTAGTTTTGAAGATTTATTGATTTAAAGCTTAAAGTAGGTACATCAGATTAGTTTGTACTACTTTCAGAAGAAATTTGACTAGAAGAATTTACTTAATAAGTAAATGCTTTTCTTCACTAAGCTCATGGTTTGTTTATCATTTTGTTGTTGAAAATAGCTATTGGAGCGTTTTTTGTGTTAAAAAATTATTTCTTAAAGAAAGATAAGGAAATATCTCGTACTTATTTTAAATAGGAATTTAGTACATAGTTTGCGATTAATTTGACCAAACTTTGTTCCTAAAATAACTTGTAACGCTTTATTACATAAATTAACCATGGTATATTCCAAGGCAGAAAGAGTTGAAATTATCGAAATATTTTTCGGAAATAATCAGTGCGCTAATAGAACAGCAGATATATTTAATGAGCGACATGAGAACAATAACTTGCATCGAAAATATGTTCTAGAACTTGTAGCTAAATTTCGAGAAACTGGGTCAGTCGCCAATAAAAAACGCTACATTGAAAATCCCATAAGGAACGAAGCAATAGAAGTGGAGATTTTAGGGCAAGTTTATGTAGAGGCCCATAGTTTTCATCCTTATAAACCTTTGAATTTCTTTATGTTAGGTCATTTAAAAAGCAAAATCTATGCTACTCACCCAACATCATTAGAAGACCTGCGACAAAGAATTGTGAATGAGTGCCTTCCCTCGGAAACAAAATCGACGTGTCTGAGCGTTTAAAAAAAAACTCAGCTGCCAGTTAATGCGTCTGTTTCGTTTTCGATGCGCCACCCTGTATAAATGTTCTTTCCTGCAGAAAAAGATTTCAAAGAAAAGCTGATAGCGGCCGTGAAAAAGGAAGTAAAGCAAGTGATGGAAGAATCGGTCACTAGGAAGTTCGTGCACGAAGAAAGCGGATCGGTGACATCCCTGTGCGGGGCAGTCGAAGCTTGTCTCTCGCAAGGTTAGCATTATCAAACTGTCATCATATTATGTGATATATACGTGCAATAGGATTTTGATGATTTTGCCGTGTTCCGTGCAGTTTTAACAAGATTAAGTTTCGAGTAAACGATCTCCCACACCGACGCAAGAAGACGATAGCGATAATCGCACCACTATCTACCGGTTTTCAGAGCGGTACACCGGTCTCACCAGTGCGGTGGGGTAGCCCGCGGTTTATCACCTGCTATTATTAACTAACGATTATCATCAAAATACTTTCGTTTTTCGCCTTTTACCTTCTGCTAAGGCCAATAATAATAATAATAACACTGATCAACAGCCAAAAAATATCCTAAATAAAATCAACAAAATATTACTATTTTTAATGTGCTAAAACCGGAATGAAACTTATTTTTTCAATATTAGTTCAAGTTTTAGAGATACGGTAATTATATGTGTTCCTGCTGTGACAGTGTTAATATACTGTAATTCACAAGAATGCACGTGCTACATTTTTATATTCGGCAAGGAAAAATGATGTAGTCGGCATGACTGTGTTACGTTATACATACGTGTACATTATATTGTTTAATATTAGCCATTTTTTCCTCAGTTGGCTGACAGCGTTCATGCAAGATGTCTCGAAAGTGTGTAAACAATCCAGATCAGTTTTGTTACGTGTGTGGTGATGTGACTTTTGCGTCTCAGAGACGGTCTATTACTCCACTAATAACAAAGGTATATCAGCTTTATTTCGGTTGTAAACTAGGTGATCAAGACAAACAGTGGGCACCCCACATCTGCTGTAATACATGTGCTTCAAGTCTGAGGAGCTGGTTAAATGGCAAAAAACGGTCTATGCGCTTTGCTGTCCCAATGGTTTGGAGAGAGCCTACAAATCATATTAATGATTGTTACTTTTGCATGGTACCTTGTGTTGGACAAGCCACAGGTATGTCCAAGAAAAAAAAAATCGGTTATTAACTACCCAAACATACCATCTGAGATGAGACCTGTGCCTCACAGTGACGAAAATCCTATTCCAAAACCGCCAGAATCCTACACTTGCGAATCAGAAAACGAATCAGATCATGGCGATCGAGTGATTCGTCAGGAAGAAGATATGCCATCAACGTCAAGAGATCCTGATTTTATACCGAGCACGTCATGCCACCAACCGCACTAAATAACACAGTCAGAATTAGATGATCTTGTAAGAGATTTAGAACTTCCAAAATGTAAGGCAGAGTTACTTGGATCAAGACTGCAGCAGTGGAACTTGTTAGAAGACGATGTTTCGGTATGCGTTTTTCGTAAACGCCACAAAGACTTAGAACCATTTTTCAATATGGAGAATAACTTGGTTTTCTGCAGTAACATTAACGGCTTACTGGCGGCTTTAAATATAAACTATAACCCAGAAGAATGGAGATTGTTTATAGACAGTTCAACATTGAGTTTAAAGGCAGTGTTATTGCATATTGGAAATATTTTACCATCTCTTCCTGTAGGGTATGCAGTTCACATGAAAGAATCATATGACAATATGAAGTACCTATTGACATGCATAAAATACGATGAGCACCAATGGCATATTTGTGGCGATTTGAAAGTTGTTGCACTTTTGCTTGGGCTGCAGCTAGGCTACACAAAGTTTTGCTGTTTTTTGTGTGAATGGGACAGTCGGGCAAAGGCACTTCATTACACCAGACAAAATTGGCCTGTTCGTCAATTCCTAGAGCCAGGTCAAAAAAATTTACAGCATATGCCATTAGTAGATTCGAAAAAAATTTTATTACCACCACTGCATATCAAGTTGGGCCTAATTAAAAACTTTGTCAAGGCATTAGATAGAGATGGGTCAGCTTTTCAATACCTGCGTCAGAAATTTCCAAGTCTAAGTGAGGCAAAGGTTAAAGAAGGTATTTTTGTTGGGCCACAGATTCGAAATATTTTGAGAGATACACAGTTTGAAAACACTTTAACAGGTTTTGAAAAAACTGCTTGGAATGATTTCCGTCTGGTGGTCACTAATTTCTTGGGAAATAGAAAAGCTGACAACTATAAAACCCTTGTCAAAAATATGCTGTCATCGTATCAAAAGATGGGCTGTAATATGTCTCTTAAGATACATTTCCTACACTTAAACCTGGACTTTTTTCCTGACAATTGCGGAGCAGTAAGTGATGAGCACGGCGAACGTTTTCATCACGATATTTCAACAATGGAAAAAAGGTACCAGGGAAAGTGGAATCCTTCCATGCTTGCAGACTACTGTTGGACTCTTGGTAGAGATGCTCCAGAAACGATCCATAAAAGAACAGCAAAAAGACAGCGCATATAGTGATTCTTATAAGTATATGAATCTTGTTACTTTTTTTAATATATCCTTAAAAATAAAAAGTTTTTTTTCTAAACCGCAACTAATTTTTTTATTTCATTGTCATTTTTGGATTCAGTGCCCCAAAATTAACAAAGAAGTGCACTTTTCCCACAAGATACAATTAAAAAACTAAAATTTGTTGTCCAGTGAATAGTTTTTCTTCATCAGAAGACATATTTTATAAGAAATCAAAAAACGGTCGATAATATTGCTCATATAAGAATACTGTCACACCGTGGTGGTGTGAACGTGCAGCTCTAGCGCAAAATTCGATTTTTAACGCTGACGTTACCGCTATCGTTGTATCGCGTCGGTGTGGGGGCAGCTTTATTGTTAAAAAGTACTAAGTGTTTTTTTTATTATTAATAAATTGTTTAGGTTTGCGCCGACGCGCTTTGGGCCTTTTCAAAACCTCCTCGACGACCGCCTTGCTGCACAAGATCGCGAAGCACAGTCCCGAAGCCGCTCGCATTTCGAAAAGGGTGCAGGAGCTCGAAAATGTCGACAATGGCAACAGACGCTCTTCGAGCAGCAGCGACAGTCTCACCAAGCCGCAGCTCAAGAAGCATGCCTCCCTCTCGTCTGTTATCGCTCCCTTACCTAAATATCTTTGGATCAGGTAAGTACACAAACAATCATTTGTTTTGAGCTATTGGCGTCCTTTCCTTTTCATCTTCAACAGGATGCAGAGCGGATGTAAGGCATGCTTTAGCGAATACTTACTATGCCATAACTGAAAAGGAAGTTTTGTTATCGCGAAAAATGTTGAAAATGAGATATGGTTTTTAGATGTTATATGGCATGTACAGGGTGGTCCATAAGTCCATAAAAAAAGGAATAAAACCAAACTAGTTACAATATGAAGAATTATTATATTTTGTTATCATCTTTATTGAATGGGAATTATGTTTTAAAAATCACATCGTCTAAATGCAATCCATTACGATCACGGCACTCATATAAACGACGTCTAAAATTGTCGATGACTGCGCGGCAAGTCAACACTGTAATGCTTGCCATTTCTCTTCGGATATTTTCTTTCAGGACATCAACTGATCGCGGAGTGGTGTCGTACACTTTACTCTTGAGGTAGCCGCATAAAAAGAAGTCCATTGGGGTCAAATCTGGACTACGTGGTGGCCAGGAAATGTCTCCTCTTCGCGAAATTACTTTGCTGGGAAAAAGTTGACAGACGACGGGCATAGAAGTGTTGGAGGTGTGGGCAGTTGCTCCGTCCTGTTGAAACCAGGTCTGCGTATTATAGCCTGGAAAATTCTGCAACGCTGGTGTCAAAAACTCTTCTATCATTGCTACATACCGCTCCGAAGTAACAGTTAATGCGCGACCTCTGTCGTCCTCAAAAAAATAAGGGCCTACGATGCCATGCGCTGACATAGCAGCCCAAACTGTAACTTTAGGGCTGTGTAAGGGCTTCTGATGCTTACGCCTTGGATTTTCGGGGCTCCAATAACGGCAATTTTGTTTATTTACATGCCCGTTTAAATGGAAGTGAGCCTCGTCCGAGAACAACACATTATTGAGCGAAGAAAATCGATTCAACATTTCATTCGCAAAGTTTAGTCTCTGAATAGCGTCATTATCTTTTAATTCCTGCACTAACTGAATTTTGTAAGCGTGCAGACGTAAATCTTTCCTTAAAATCCGCTGTAAAGATGTTCTGGGTACGTTTAGTGCACTGGAACGCTTACGAGTAGACTGGGTAGGATTTTGACGAACAGACTGTGCCACAATGTTGATGTTTTCTTCAATACGAGTTGTCCTTGGTCGACCCCACCGCTGTTTATCTAACGTCGAACCAGTCTCTTCGAACTTAGCAACCCAGTTCTTAATCGTTTGAGCTGTTGGATACTTTGTAAAATTGTGTAAATTGTGGTATTCTCGATATTTACGCCGCGCAATGGTTGCCGAATCATTATTTTGATAAAACGCGCGCACACAAAAAGCACGATCCGCTCCAGTGAAACACTCCATGGCGACTGAATTCCCAGACACTGAAGATACTGCCCCCACCTTGCCCGCGCCGCTCACGCTCACTCGTTAAATTTTATTCAAATTTGAAATTTCAAAGGACTTATGGACCACCCTGTATGTAAAAAACAACACGTTCGTCTATATGTCTGTCTGCAAATACTTGGACCGCCTATAACTTTTCACACCCTCACTATTATGCATACCTCTACGACTGTAGCACTATGTAGAGCTGCGTTCGTAAATTGTTACAGAGTGTACTTGTACTACCCTGTAACAATTTTAGCGTTCCTAATTGTTTGACATACCTGTTACATGCGTTCGGAAATAGAACAAAGTAATCCTTCTGGAACGTCAAAAGTGTACTTTGCTTCCCGAGCTCAAAACCTTGGGGTTAGCTTGTTTATTTTATTTAGTTATCAAAAACGGCTCAAAGTTGGCAGAATATATATTTTTATGATAACTGCTACCTCGAATCCCTAGGGTATCTTATAATAATTACAATGGTCGCATAAAACGTGGTTAGAAATTAGTCGGCTATCATCAAGTGTCATTACATGACTCTGTAATATGGGGTTGTCCAAACCGGACGCAGGAAAGTAAACGCATATTAAAACAAGAAAGATTGATATTCAAATCAAGTTGGGTACTTTATTTTGAAGGTTCATTTATACCATTTATGTATGAAAAATAATATCGCTCAAATGTTCACCACGACTGGATTTACAGACGTCCACGCGATGGTCGAAATTTTCAATGACATTTTGCAACATGGTCGGTTCTATGGCATTTATCTCGGCAATGATGTTGTTTTTGAGTTCTTGGAGGGTGGCTGGTTTGTTGACGTAGACTTTGCTTTTCAAATATCCCCATAAAAAGAAGTCGAAGGGAGTCAAATCGCACGATCTTGGTGGCCATGGCACATTTCCTCTGCGCGAAATCACGCGATCACCGGAGGACTGCAATCGATGGATATTGACGTTGGTTGTGTGGCATGTTGCACCGTCTTGTTGGAAATAAACATCGTCCATATCCATTCCTTCAAGTTGCGGCAAAAAATAGTCCTCTATCGTCACGTGATATCGCTCAGAATTGACGGTAACGGCGTCCCCGGCCGCATTTTCGAAAAAGTAAGGTCCGATGATGCCTTTTGACCACAATGCACACCACACAGTCACTTTTTGAGGATGCATCGGCTGCTCTTGATACTCCCGGGGATTTTCGTTCGCCCAGATGCGGCAGTTTTGCTTGTTTACCGTCCCATTCAAAGTGAAATGCGCTTCGTCGCTGAACATGATTTTTGATGAAAAATTGGCATCAATTTGGCGGTGTTCAAGGAGCCAATCTGAGAACGTTCGGCGCGAAAAATGGTCGGCCCGACGCAGCTCTTGCGTCAATTGGATCTTGTAGGCGTGTACATTCAAACTGGTTCTCGAAATGCCCAATTCTTGGGATCGACGCGTTGTTGATTGTTTCGGATCGTCTCTCACACTCTCCTTCACAACAGCAATATTTTCCGGTGTGCGAACGCTCCTTGGCCGGCCAGAGCCTGGCAGATTTGCCACAGAACCTGTTGCCTCGAATTTAGGCATCAGACGACCGATGGTTGTTTCGTTTGGGCGGTTGTTGCGACCGAAATGTTCACGAAGCGCGCGAAACGTGTTTTTTATTTTTGCACCATTTTTGTAGTGCTCTTGAATAACTTTAATGCGGTCATCAATCGAATACGACTCCATAGCGATCAATGGTAAACATTCAACTAACAAAATGACATGTCGGTGACAGAAAACAAAGATGGCGTCTATGTCAAATTGACGTTTACTTTCCTGCGTTCCTATTGGACAACCCTTTAATTTAGGCGTTCTAAAAATAAAGTTTCACAGTATGCCAGAGTCAAATTTCATCTGTCAATCTACATTCAATTACCGTTTACGGTATTACATTGCCAAGTGATTCACAAACGCACCCTAGTTTTTGAAAATTGGTCCAATGGCGACAAACGGACAAAAACATTTTAAAAAATAAGAACGATCGAACTTCGTTTTTTTTTTTCGACTCTTTAAGGGCTCCTGTTCATTTTTAGAAAAGTAGGGCTTGAAATTCGGGTGTTGCAGGGGGTGGGGGGAGGTTATATTACTTTATTTTTTGACGTTAATATCCTAACTCACCGGTAATTTTATCCGCCTGCTACCTAAGCTCATAGCCCGGCGTTCCGGTCCGGCTGATTGCTCTATCCGTACTGAAGCGCACAAAACATATACACGGAATGAACGATACCACGATGCAGCGATGCCGCGCAGATGTAAAAAGTGAAAACGTTGCCAGATGGACAGTAGCTACAGGTACGGCAGGGAAATAAATGCAGAATCAACCTATACTTGACCCCAGTTTTTTATAGGCGTGCTACGATGACGCTATCGTGTTTCGTGTGATACGGTTAGCTCAATAGAAAGACGAATTGTTGTTAGGGATGAAAAGGAAAAACGCAAGAATTTCGACACCTGTAAATGAAGAATATTAAATGCTTAAATTAAATTAATCTTATGCCATATACAGGGTGTCCCAGAAGTCGACGTCAAGCCGAAACCGGATGATAGGCAAAGTCATAACAGCTATCAGAAAAATGTTTAAAAAAATTTTATGTATGTGTTTTGAAAATTATAGGTCTTTGAAAAAAATATAGAAATTTCACACCCTACGGCAGTCTGTCAACTCCTGTTACTACAAATATTAACTTTTTTTCGATTTTATTTTTACAATGTAATGATGAATAATGCATCTTCAAACTGGTGTCACAACCTTACTGCCAACTTTTCTCGTTCAGGAAAAATTGCCACTTATTTCCCAACCAAGTATTCCAAAGTAAAACTTTGCTCAACTGAAAAAAAATGTACTACGAGAGTTTGGCAAGTAACCTTAAAAGTTGGCGCATTTAATAGGGATTCCAAAATGGTATAACACTTAGAAGATTACTCGTTAACTTATGCACAATTTTTATTTGAAGAAAAACTGATGAAAATTTTTAAAAATTTCCTAATTAAACAGCGATTATGAAAACGAACAAGGACCCTTAAGGATAACTGTTTGCACAACAGTGGGCGTCAAAATGCTGCTGATGATGATTTACCTTTACAGCAAATGCTCAAACTGTTTTCCTTCAGCCGCAATACACGCTCGACATCTTCTTAAAAAAGATCGGGTTATTAAACGAGCGAATCCACGGTTATTAACAAAATCAGCAGCTTCCAATAGTCTTTGCCGTAGCTCAGCTACATTTTGAATCGGCTTGAAATACACTCTTTCTTTTACAGTTCCCCAGTAAAAAAAAATCTAACGGATTCAAATCTGGTGACCGGGCTGGCCACGGTATTGTACCAGACCGCCCTATCCATCTGCCTGGAAAGTTTTGATCGAGATACTCTCTCACTGAGAGTGCATAGTGCGCTGGGCAGCCATCATGCTGAAACCACATGTCCCTGTAAATACTCAGTGGTACGTCCTCCAATAAATTTTCTAAATGATATTGCAAAAAACCTAAATAAACCTCAGCAGTCAAAGTCTCTGGGAACTCAAACGGACCGATTATTTTACCATTTAAAATTCCTGTCCAATGGTTTATCTTGAAGCGATATTGAGATTTATCTTCTCTCATCAAATGTGGGTTTGCTACGTGCCACTCGTGTAAGTTATGCAGGTTCATGTACCCATCTTTCTTAAATGTGGTCTCACCTGACCATAAAATTTTTTCAAAGAACCGTGGATCTTCCCTGTGTTTTTCTAACATTGTGCGACAAAAAGCAACTCGGGGCTCATAATCCCGGGGCAGAAGAGCTTGAACACGCTGTACGTGGTATGGATGGAGCACGTTTTTTTGCAAGATTCTATGGGCTGTACTTTTGGGCACACCTGTTTTTAGTTCTATTGCACGCACTGAAGTACTCGGGTCTTCTTCGACATCTCCTAGCACCACGTCTTCGTAAGGAAGGAAAGATCTTCCCTCACCGTGTGATTGGTTTGGTAGTTGGCCCTCTGAGAACAGTAAGCGGTGCACATTTGTGAACACTCGATGATCTGGATGACGAGCTGCATTCGGGTACCTCTCACAGTAAAGTCTCGCTGCAGCACTAGCGTTGCATCTGCATTCCCCATAAATGAGGTGCATGTTAGCATATTCTTGTACGGTGTACACGGACATAGCGGCACTGCACAATCACACTATCAAAGATAGTCTAAGGAAAGCAAATGTAGTTTTGAAGAGCAATTAAACAGTCCAAATCACAAGCGATCAACAGTCCAGTTCACGAATCCAAAATTAGTAACAGTACGAAATCAACAAGCACGAACAGGTAAAGATGCGCAGTAAACGAAGGAGTACTGATCGGTATCAAAGTGTGCAATAGCAAGTAAGTGATGATCATACATACCACATACAGCGTGTTCAACCTCTCCTGCTCCGGGATTATGAGCCCCGAGTTGTTTTTTGTCGCACAATGTTAGAAAGACACAGGAAAGATCCACAGTTCTTTGAAAAAATTTTATGGTCGGATGAGACCACATTTAAGAAAGATGGGTACATGAACGTGCATAACTTACACGAGTGGCACGTAGCAAACGCACATTTGATGAGAGAAGATAAATCTCAATATCGCTTCAAGATAAACCATTGGACAGGAATTTTAAATGGTAAAATAATCGGTTCGTTTGAGTTCCCAGAGACTTTGACTGCTGGGGTTTATTTAGGTTTTTGCAAAATCATTTAGAAAATTTATTGGAGGACGTGCCACTGAGTATTTACAGGGACATGTGGTTTCAGCATGATGGCTGCCCAGCGCACTATGCACTCTCAGTGAGAGAGTATCTCGATCAAAACTTTCCAGGCAGATGGATAAGGCGGTCTGGTACAATACCGTGGCCAGCCCGATCACCTGATTTGAATCGTTTAGATTTTTTTACTGGGGAACTGTAAAAGAAAAAGTGTATTTCAAGCCGATTCAAAATGTAGCTGAGCTACGGCAAAGACTATTGGAAGCAGCTGAGTTTGTTAATAACCGTGGATTCGCTCGTTTAATAACCCGATCTTTTTTAAGAAGATGTCGAGCGTGTATTGCGGCTGAAGGAAAACAGTTTGAGCATTTGCTATAAAGGTAAATCATCATCAGCAGCATTTTGACGCCCACTGTTGTGCAAACAGTTATCCTTAAGGGTTCTTGTGCGTTTTCATAATCGCTGTTTAATTAGTAAATGTCAGTTCTTTTTTCAAATAAAAAATGTGCATAAGTTAACGAGTAATCTTCTAAGTGTTATACCATTTTGGAATCGTTATTAAATGCGCCAACTTTTAAGGTTACTTGCCAAACTCTCGTAGTACATTTTTTTCCAGTACAGCCTGTTAAAGTTGAGCAAAGTTTTACTTTGGAATACTTGGTTGGGAAATAAGTGGCAATTTTTCCTGAACGAGAAAAGTTGGCACTAAGGTTGAGACACCAGTTTGAAGATGCATTATTCATCATTACATTGTAAAAATAAAATCCAAAAAAAGTTAATATTTGTAGTAACAGGAGTTGACAGACTGCCGTAGGGTGTGAAATTTCTATATCTTTTTCAAAGACCTATAATTTTCAAAACACATACATAAAATTTTTTTAAATATCTTTCTGATAGCTGTTATGGCTTTGCCTATCACCCGGTTTCGGCTTGACGTCGACTTCTGGGACACCCTGTATGAATTACTTATGTATATGTGTGACTAGATTGGCGTTGTTCGAGAAACAGCTGGCGAAGATAATCGATTACTTGGTGTCAAACGCGAACCGATACTACGAGAAGGACGCTTTGGTGGCGGATCCCGATTACGGTACCATCCTGAGCTCATTATTGGTCGGCCCTTGTGCCCTCGATTATACGAGAATGAGGAGTCTCGACAACTTCTGCACAGATCCACCCGCCGACGAACTGGTGAGTTATCGATCGATGTTGTCGAAAAAATATTTTTATGGAGTTATCTTAGACGCTCTCCTAATAATAATAATGTGTAGGTGCAACGTCATCGCATTTCTAGCGCCGGTGTGGGTGGCGGTTCGACGCCCCCTTCAAATCGCCGCCATCCGATGCAGCCTAATTTCCGGCGATCGCTGAACGCAAGCAGCGAAGACACCCTTAGCAGCAGCTGTTGCAGCCGATCGTCCGCTCACCAATTGGGCATCGCTCGAGACTACGTCGAGTCTTTGCACCAAAATAGTCGCGCCACCCTGCTCTTTGGCAAGAATAACGTTACCGTCATGCCCAGCAACGCATCATCGAATGTACAAGAACCGATGCCTGGGTTAGTTACTTCGCATTTTCAATTCAATAATAATAATATTTATTCCAAATCGAGAATCACAAACACATATATGTACAAATGACATAGATGTGGAACTGACGTCATACCCAAGCAAGAACTAAAACGAAGCATTCAGAAATATTATATGGTTCCAGCTAAACAAGAATCCATTTCACTATAAAAGGAGTTTTGTTTTTCGGTTACTGTCAGTCTATGCTGTGAACATAATCAAAAATGCATATACTGTCATTAAACTCCTACACTTAAATGCGCCTCTACATGTTTCATTAAATTTCATGTCTGATTGCTCTTATGGTCCTTTTCTAAATAACAAATATTTTTGGCAATATGAGCTGCCTCCAAACAGTATTATTCCATAACGTAGAATCGATTAATAAATAATTTGAACAATATACAATTTTGTGCATACATTCTGAATATAACTAGACAACACTCTTATTCCATAGCTGTTGCTATTCATTGTCAAAGCAGTTTTATTTATGTGTGGAGTCCAAGACAGAAATCCATCTAAATGTAATCCTGACACTTCAGTTTGCTGACTTACTTGGATGTTACTATCAGAAAGTGTGATTTTTTGTCTCATATCAGTCTGTGATTGCTTTGTTCTAAATATTATTAAATCAGTTTTATCATTATTTAATACAAGTTTATTATTGAAAACCACTTATTCAAACACCTGCTGACTATTATGTTCCAATCCAGTGGTGTTTTTGTCGCTAATTACTATGCTGGTGTCATCAGCATAATTAATTATTGTAAATTTATAATTCTCAATGCTATCTCTTAGATCATTGATATATATATATACAGGGTGTCCGCAAAGTTGGAGTTTTTCTTTACACGACGTGTAGATCTTGAAAACATAAGCAATTTTTCTTAGTACCATATACACCAATGTCTTAAGGGAACCGAGATAAAGGGCTCTGCAACATCTAGAATATCTGAATACCGTCCTGTAGCCGCGACCCGCCGCGATATCCCCGACTGATACAAGGTCTCAACCGGACGGCAGAACTGGGTCGGGGTCAGTGTGTCAGGTTAGTACGCAACCTTCAACCGACGGTTACAGTTACGCGTGTAGAGGTAAACGAACTCGTATAATCGATTGCGTTTCAAAAAACAACAAACACTAAAGACGTGGCTAGAGAAGTGCAAGTATGAAAAACTAAAGTGTGGCAAATGCTGCGTGAAGAGGGGCTGTATCCAACGTGTACAAGCCCTTCAACCTGACGATTTTCCAGCAAGAGTGCGGTTTTGTGAGTGGTTGTTGCATTAACATGACAATAATCCGGACTTTTTGAAGTGCATACTGGTGACAGACGAATCTACGTTCACGCGTAATGGGGTGAATAACTTTCGCAACACTCATGTTTGGTCATTTGCAACAAACATTTTCGGTGAATGTTTGGGCTGGCATGGTGAACGGTATGCTCATTGGACCATTTATTCTCCCAAATCGATTGGACGGGATGCAATACCTAGACTTTTCACGCAACATTTTGCCTTCCTTGTTAGAAGATGTGCCATTAAGTGTAAGACAATCAATGTGGTTTCTGCGTCTGCTCGGTAGCGCTTCAGCTGATTTCATTTTCTGTTGGAGCGGTATGATTTCAGGCAGAGACGTACTTAGCCCTTCTCGTCAACTGGAGAGTTAGTACTTTTTCCTTTATTTTTTTTTACTTGGTCGCCTTCGTTTCACTACACATTACCTTTGTATTTTCAAAGGTAGATGTTTCTGAAAAGGAAAACCCCAACTTTGCGGACACCCTGTATATTAATATCACACACAGGAAAGAATCGCAGACAGTACTCGTATATGAAAAATAGACATAAAACTAAATTTAAACCTAGAACCAATAAGGAAAGGATGTTTTTTTTTCTTTTTTTTAAATATCTAGTCACTTCTTTCATTTGTATCTTTTCACAAATATACTCAGTGACATTAAAAGTGTTACAACCAGAAAAAATAACGTCCTCACTTTTTTTGCCACATAATGATTATATTTAAAGCATGCTGTGGCAACAATGTCAACGTTTTATCTTTGCATATGTTTACCTTTTTTATTATTATCTCTCAGTTTTTGTGAAGAAATCAGTTTCTGAGAGCTGAGTAGTACAGGTATTTTTAGTTATTGCCCTTTCATTTACTAGTATTAAGCATAACAAAATGCTTAGAGTTCGAAGACGTCCAAATTATCACCGTGTTAGCGACTTTAACAGGGGTAGAATTATTGCCTATCGAGATGTTGGATTGTCCTATCGCGAAATTGGCCGCTGTGTTAATTGTACTGTAATGACGGTTATGCATGTGTGTCGTGTGTGGATAGAAGAAGGTAGAGGAACACGAAGAAGGCCAACTAGTCCATCGAGGCGTACCACAGGTTTTTTCTGGGTATAACACTAATGGCACTGATTATATTTATATTTTCAGTATAATGAACATACACAATTATTACAAAAATAATAAATGAATATTTAGGTGAGGTTTTTCTTTTTGAATGATCTTTGTATACCTATATTTTGTAATAAATATTCATAATTTACAGGTATCTCAGTTTACATCAAACAGCCCATGGCCTTACGATCAAGTGGACGCCTAACCAACTGATGAACGGATTTGTTGATGAAACTCAAGACAAAAGGTGATCTGTTTATAACAATAAATAATATAAGATACGCTGCAATTTCGGAATTTTGCTTATATGCGTAATATACGAGGTTTAGTCAACACCTAAGTTTTTTTTGCCAGTTGCTGATGACACACTTGCATGACATCTGACAGATTTCTTTATAAATTTGGCTTTACGATAAAATGCTTTTTTACTGAGTTTTAATAAAATTGCCTTGACAAAACCTTTCCAACAGAAAAAAATATAATAACACACATGCTATATACGAGGGGGTACCCAAAAATTATTTTTTGAAAGCTATTTATTTTTAACTTTTTCACAACGTAACCTTATCTCCTGCAATGTACTGTCCACTACAACTAATACACTTATTATTATTATTATTATTATTATGTCTTTATTGAGCATTGTTATATACAATGCAGAAATCTGCAACAGGGCGAAGTCTAGCCTAAGCTACTCTACTTAACCCTAAATAAAAGCTAACAAGGAAAAAAGCCACAGATAATACATAAAATGCAAATCATCAGAAGTGATCAAATATAAAATAGCATAGAAAATATGAGATAATTTGAATGAAAATAAACAAAAGCCTAAGACACAAAACCGCAAAGCGAAGAGTATATAATCAAAAACTATTGAACTATCCATTACATTGACTATTGTAATAAAATTGCCTTACCAGGACTTTAAACATCGGTACAGAACTAAACTTAAGCGCGTCATCGATACTATTGTATATAGTAACAGCATTATATGAAAAAGATTTTCTAAATAAGGATAAACGAAACTTAGGAAGAGAAAGTTTATTAGTGAACCTCGTATTTAAATCATGCAAATCACGCCTAAAGACTAATTTTCTTATCAGGTAAGCAGGGCTCTGTGATGATAAAATACGGTGAACTAAAATAGAAGTATAATATTTATGAGTATATTCCAGTTTTAACCATTTTAACTCATTTATTTTAGCTGAGATTCGATCAAACTTTTTGAGCCTAAAAACAAATCTACAACAGCAATTTTGCACCTTTTGAAGTCTGTATTTCAAAATAGACGTTAAGAAGGGATAATAAAGCGTGATTGCATGATTTAAAATAGGTAATACTAGGCTCTCTGAGAGCTTTTTACGTAATTTAAAATTTAAAATACCACCATTTCGATACAGTAGCCTTAAAACTAGGTAAGTCTTTTTCACTAATAGTGAGACGTACTCTTCAAATCTGAGCTTACAGTCGAAAATAACACCAAGATTTTTTGCACTTTTAACTACTGAGACTGATTTTCCATTTAATGTTAAGTCGATATGCTGCATAAAAATTTCATAACATGGCGGAGAGAAGATAACAACTTGACATTTATCTGGATTGAGGTTTAAGTTGTGATTAAATGAATATTTTTGAATATTTTCTAAATCTTGATTAATATAAGCAGATGCGGTATTTATAAATCTAGGATCGAACGACAGGTATAATTGTGTGTCATCAGCATAACCTTGTATCTTGCAATAAGTGATAGTTTTAAAAATATCAGACGTATATATAATAAATAGCAAAGGTCCTAATATGGAGCCTTGAGGGACTCCAGAAGTCACAGGCTGGAAGTCAGAATACGAGCTATTATCAACCACAACACACTGGTAACGGCCCTGAAGGTAAGATTTGAAAAGTCGGCAGCCCAATTCATTTATACCATAATATCGTAACTTTGCAAGAAGTAAGCAGTGATCAATCGTATCAAACGCCTTCGAAAAATCAAGAAATACAAGAGCTGTAGCAAGGCCAGCGTCGAGAGATCTAATAATATCATCTGATACATTTAAAAGGAGCGAAGTTGTGCTATAGCCCCTTCTGAATCCAGACTGTGATTCAGGTATAATTTGGTTAGAAATCACAAATTCATATAACTGTAAATAGATCACCTTCTCCAGTACTTTAGACAGAGCAGGCAGTATACTAATTGGTCTTAAGTCATTATATACAGACGGTATGCTTATTTTGGGCAAAGGTTTTATAAGAGCATATTTCCATAAACTAGGATAATAACCAACCTCTATGCAGCAATTTATAATATGAGTTATGTGTGGGGCAGTTACAGAAATAGAGTATTGTAGCATTTTTGCACTAATTTCGTCCACACCATATGCGCTAGACGTTAGATCAAGAACCAGTTTTTTTACTTCATCCACATTAGCAAAATTAATAGAAAAAGAAATATTAGAAAATTTGGCTGAATTATAAAATGCAGTAGCTTCAGGACAGCTATTTGATGGACTAAAGACTGAAAGAAAATGACTATTAATTTCAAAAGGTTCTTTTAGCTGTAGAGGTATATCTGTATTATTATGTTTTCTTTTGATATTGAGGCGATTGACTGCTTGCCAGAGATCCCTATAGTTACGACAGTTTAGTGTTGATGACAAAAATACAGCTTTTTCATGTCTCAAAGCAGAGCACACATAATTGCGTAATTCTTTATATATAGCAAAGTCCGACAGTTTACCGGATTTTTTATACTTTTGCAAAGCTTGATCCCTTTTTTTCATCATAGCTTTGAGGTTAGGGGTAACCCACGGAGCAAAAGGTTTTGTTATGCGAGAGGTTCGAACAGGGGCATGTCTGTCAAAAAGATCGACTATTAGATTATTAAACAGCGCTACTTTATCATCGAGATTATTTATATAGAAAATATCATTCCAAGGTAAATTTACTAAGTCTGAATTGAAAGCGTCATACGAAAAATTTCTGTAATCTCTGTATTTTAATATGAACGGCTTAGGACGCGATGTTCGGTGTGAGAGCTCACAGTAGATTGCTTTGTGATCAGATATGCCAAAACTATCAATAACACCCGAGTTTACAACTCTTTCATTTGCACTGGTAAAAATTAAGTCAATTATCGTTTGTGATAAGGCAGTTATTCTAGTTGGCTCTGTAATGAGTTGATGGAAATCATATGAAATAAAGCAATGATTGACTTCGTTATCATACGATTGATCGACGTTGAAATCTCCAAGAACTATAATGTGATCAAACTGGGGAGTAATAAAGGAAAGGACATTGTCCAGATAATCCAAAAAATCATTATTGCTTACTGATGGGGGCCTATAAATTACACCAATTATCAATACCTCACCATGCGTTTTTATAGACAACCAGATGTGCTCAATTCCCAGAAAACCATCAAAATCTTGAAGTATTTGCTTGCAAGCCATAGAGTTTTTAAAATAGATCCCAACTCCTCCACCCCTGGTAGAGCGATCATTTCTAAGTAAAGAGAATCCTGGAATACCAACTGCTCCACTAGAGATATCACTGTTCAACCAAGTTTCAGAAACGCACATAACATCAAAGTCAAAATCCAATACTAGATGAACAAAACAATCAAAATGAGTGAAAATAGATCTGCAATTCAAGTGGCCAATTTTTATGTTTTTATTGTTCATATTGAATTCTATCCTTAAGTTGTCCTAATTTGTTAAGGTAGCACAAACATTGAGTGCTATTAGCTGAATGGTCAGTAGGAAAATTTGTTTTAAACTTATTGTTGGAAGTCTTACAGTTAATACAACAGAGATCAGAAGAAATGCACTCGCGCTTTTCATGATTTCCTGAACATTGAGGACAAATCGTAGCTGAACTCTTGCAATCTTTTTTATAATGCCCATAGTTATAGCACTTGAAACATTTTGCAACATTAAAATGTTCCTTTACATTACATCTTTTCCAACCTATATATAAAAATCCTTTGCCCATAACATTTTTAAAAATAGAAGGAGTAACTTCAAGGACAACATTGATACCGTCCTTAAATTTAAAATTAGTAACCACACGAATATCAGCTTCCGTAGCATCTAATTCATTATCTGCGATGATAATTTCAGAAAGGCGGGCATCCTCGGCAGCTGATTTATCAACACTGTAGACTACAATCTTCGGACGAAGTTTTTTCGGCTCATAAACATTAAATGCATTTCCAGCTTGCCTCTTGAGACCATCTTTCAAATTTTGAAGCGACTTGACATCAGCACAGTTGACTAGCACGCCATCCCTAATGAGTCTAGTACCAGTAACATTCGCACATTGTCCCGCCGGTGCTTCCACTGCTCGAAACATTTTTTGAAGTCTTCCTTAGAAATGTCTTTCAGCTCCTCCCTGGTTTTTTTTCTTGGCCTCTTCAATGTCGTCAAAGCGGCGGCCTTTCATACGTGGAAATAAGAAAAAGTCGCACGGAGCCAGCTCAAGCGAATAAGGTGCGTGTGACCGTGGAACCATGCCATTTTTAGCCAGAAACTGTCGAACAGAGATGGCTGTGCGCGCAGGTGCATTATCGTGGTGGAAGGACCACTGTTTCGCAATCGTCTTAAAACCTCCAAATAGCACAAGCTCTCGAAGTTTTTCAACATTTTCGTCGATTCGGGCAGTTGATGGACTTCCATAGCGAGGCTTGTCATCAATCGACATGTCGCCATTTTTAAATCGAGCAAACCACTCGTACACCGAGTTTTTCCCATAGTATCATCTTTGTAAGCTATTATCAACATTAATGTGTACGACACAAGCTCTGCCCACTGCAATGCTATTCCGGTTATTTTTTGGGTACCTCCTCGTATATAGGCTTCGATTTACTACTTAGCCAATTGTAAAGCCTAAAAAATTAGAGTTTAAAAAAACATTGCCGCATCTGGGTTACTCTGCATCATAGAAGCAGTAGTAGTAGTAGTAGTAGAAACAGAATAATTGTAAACAACTTAGAACTAGTAAATTCAAGCCATATGGTGTATGATGTAAATGCTGGGCAACCTATAATTGTAGATTTAACAAGTGATTTCTCAATTTTACTTTAAATTTTGTCAAAGTTTTCTGGTCTTTTATCTCCGAGTATAATTTATTATATTCAATCAACCCTTGATGGAATACAGATTTGTAGCATATGTTATACTTTTTGGTCATTAAATGGAAGTCATCTTTATTTCTGGTATTATATAAATGATGGTCGACATTTGATGATGTTAAATTAGTTAGACTTGATGGAAATATATTATTTTTTACTTTATAAATGAATATCATTACAAGATATTTGATAAATTTTTTTACATTGAGCCATTTTAATTTGCTAAGCATTTGCCTAATTGGAGTAATTTATTCTTATTTAGTATTATTCTCATGCACTTATTTTGTAAAATTTGCAGTCTTTCAAAAATGGAATTATTTGCTAAATATACAGGGTGACTTCGAAGTTGAGTCATTTATTTTAACAGTGAGTAGATCTGATCAAAAGAAATGTTTTTTTCCTTTACCATTTTTCTGGTAAAATTAAAGTAACAAAGTTATAGCCCTTTGGAAGTTTGAGTACCGCCCTGCCTATTATATGCTCGTGTTTGGCGACAACGGATATAATCCGCCTGACCGGTTCATCGCATCGGAAACAAAAAAGCGAAAGAATTTGAAACGTTTATCACGATGTTTTTCGTCAGTCGATAAAACGTGAGTGAATAGTAGTGTGTTGCGTGGCTCAAACGAAATCAAAAATGGCACATGTTTACGAAAATGCTGAACTTGTGGACATGATTCTTATTTACGGGGGGGCAGTCTTTACGAAATGCTCCCGGATGCATCACGGATTTGTGCGAATCGGTTTCCCAAACGAGTGCAGCCAACCCCTTTGTTAATGTAGTGCAAAGGGCTCGTGAATCAGGTGACTTAAGACCTCACAGGTGAGGGCATGCTGCTCCAAGACCGCACGATCAAATACAGGTCCGCACTGAAATACTTGTCGGGAGGATACTTTATTAAACAAGGTAACATTTTTTTTTTATTTTTTTTTTAATTTTTACACACATATTTTGGTTTATCTTCCTTCTACAATCATTATCTGAAAATTAATGACTCAACTTCAAAGTCACCCTGTAGAAAAGTCGAACAGTACAAGAAATTTGGAAGAATGATGGTATTATAGATAATTTTTCTGCTATATGAACTCAGACATCCAGAAACTCTCGATAAATATCCCACTTTACTACTAATCTTATTTATAACTTTTTCATAATGAATATCAAAAATTAATCGAGAGTCAACAAAAACCCCCACGTATTTGAAATTTTCAACGAATTCAATATCTTCACCATCAATATTCAGTTGAACATTTGTACATTGTTTTTTTCCAATTAACAAGGCTTTCGTTTTACTTGCATTTAATTTTAGTCTGTTAGATGCTAACCATTTTGAGACAAGCTTCAAGTCTTCATTTATATAAGAGATACCAGACTGAATATTTTTAGTACTTATATAAATCATAGTGTCATCGGCGAAAATTTGAATTTTGCAATTTTTTACTATGGCAGGTAAATCATTTATGTATAAAATAAAAAGAAGTGGTCCCAGGATACTGCCCTGTGGAACACCCAACATATTTTCAATTTTTGATGAAATAGTGTCATTAACTTTTGTAACTTGCGTTCTTTTAGACAAATAATTTCTAAACCAATCTAAAACACTTCCTGTTATACCATATGCCTTCAATTTACCTAACAAAATATCTCTATCAATCGTTTCAAATGCCCTCTTCAAATCCAAAAATACTGCTATGACAACTTCTTCTGCGTCTATGGCTCTTCTCCAATTCTCAGTTACCAACTGGAAAGCCGTTTATGTGGAATATTTTTTTCGAAAGCCTGCTTGCGCCTCCACTAAAATTTTGTTTTCTTCTATGAACTGCATTAATTGGTCATGCACTATGGACTCTAATAATTTTTCAATGTCTGGTAACACATTTACTGGTCTCATATCGCTGCATCTTTTAGAATTTTTTATTTTGGGAACTGGTGTTATTGTAGAGCATTTCAAATTTTCAGGAAAAGAACTGCTTCTCAGTGAACAATTGATCCAATTTAATACAGGATATCCCAAAATTTCGAAACAGTTTTTCAGCACGTTTTTAGTAGTGATTTCGGCACAGTTGTTATTTGATTTTAAACTGTTTACTTTTTTTCTAGCAGCGAAAGTGTTAATGATATTCCTTTAAAAAAAATCTCGATCATTTGTACGTTCCTTTTTGCGAAACAGAACAGATTTGATAATAGTAAATTTGGTGTATGATGTTGCAGTGTGTACTGGGATTACGCGTTGCACGTGCGACTGGATGAGATCGTGTACGTGCACTGTCATCAGGAGAGCGATACTGGAGGTACTGTCATCCTTGTCGGGCAGGACGGAGTCCAGAGGCCGCCCATACATTTCCCTAAAGGTAATTTAAACATCATTAATAATATGGGGTTGTCCAAAACGGACGCAGGAAAGTAAACGCATATTAAAACAAGAAAGATTGATATTCAAATCAAGTTGGGTACTTTATTTTGAAGGTTCATTTATACCATTTATGTATGAAAAATAATATCGCTCAAATGTTCACCACGACTGGATTTACAGACGTCCACGCGATGGTCGAAATTTTCAATGACATTTTGCAACATGGTCGGTTTTATGGCATTTATCTCGGCAATGATGTTGTTTTTGAGTTCTTGGAGGGTGGCTGGGTTGTTGACGTAGACTTTGCTTTTCAAATATCCCCATAAAAAGAAGTCCAAGGGAGTCAAATCGCACGATCTTGGTGGCCATGGCACATTTCCTCTGCGCGAAATCACGCGATCACCGAAGAAGGACTGCAATCGATGGATATTGACGTTGGTTGTGTGGCATGTTGCACCGTCTTGTTGGAAATAAACATCGTCCATATCCATTCCTTCAAGTTGCGGCAAAAAATAGTCCTCTATCATCACGTGATATCGCTCAGAATTGACGGTAACGGCGTCCCCGGCCGCATTTTCGAAAAAGTAAGGTCCGATGATGCCTTTTGACCACAATGCACACCACACAGTCACTTTTTGAGGATGCATCGGCTGCTCTTGATACTCACGGGGATTTTCGTTCGCCCAGATGCGGCAGTTTTGCTTGTTGATTTTTGATGAAAAATTGGCATCAATTTGGCGGTGTTCAAGGAGCCAATCTGAGAACGTTCGGCGCGAAAAATGGTCGGCCCGACGCAGCTCTTGCGTCAATTGGATCTTGTAGGCGTGTACATTCAAATCCTTGTGGAGAATGCGGAGCAAACTGGTTCTCGAAATGCCCAATTCTTGGGATCGACGCGTTGTTGATTGGTTCGGGTCGTCTCTCACACTCTCCTTCACAACAGCAATATTTTCCGGTGTGCGAACGCTCCTTGGCCGGCCAGTGCCTGGCAGATTTGCCACAGAACCTGTTGCCTCGAATTTACGCACCAGACGACCGATGGTTGTTTCGTTTGGGCGGTCGTTGCGACCGAAATGTTCACGAAGCGCGCGAAACGTGTTTTTTATTTTTGCACCATTTTTGTAGTGCTCTTGAATAACTTTAATGCGGTCTTCAATCGAATACGACTCCATAGCGATCAATGGTAAACATTTAACTAACAAAATGACATGTCGGTGACAGAAAACAAAGATGGTGTCTATGTCAAATTGACGTTTACTTTCCTGCGTCCCTATTGGACAACCCTTTATAGTCATCGAATCCTTCAAATATGCGGTTGCGTTATGTTTATGTGTGTACGCAGGCGGTCACATGTTGGCGTTTCTCAGCTGCATCGAGACTGGTCTGTTGCCTCGAGGCAGGCTGGATCCACCGCTGTGGTCGCAACGATCCAGTGGCGGAGGTGCGGTAGGAAAAAACAACAACAAAAGGCGCAGGCCGTTGCCCGCTCTCGCGCCCGATACCACCGACACCAACACAGAAACCACCAGGGACTACGTGTTTCGCATCATCGACAACTCCGATCATACGGATATGCGTAAGTTTGAAACGTTCCATCCAGTAGAGTTATAATTATTATTATAGTATACTAATAGGTAATATAAAAACTTGTTTAGATCTTGCGACTGATGAAAAAGAGTTTTGCTCGACAAAAAATATACCCTGATATAACAAAAATATTAAGGCAGCTCAAAATTTGAGAGGCAAACGATACAAAAAATGTGACATATAAATCCGAACACCCAGTTTAAATGGTTTTATTTTAATAAAAGTTGGTGAATGTGTTTATCTTACTGTAAATAACAAGTGAAAACATTTTCAGCCTTATCAGTTGGACATTCCGGTTTTTATACTGCTTTTTTTTAATTCACTAACGCTCTAAAAATGAATATTTCAGCCGCAGTAAAGAATCAACGTTGGCGGATTTTGGTTCTTGACATCCTTTACGGTCGGTTACGATGCCTAGAGTACGGAGACCTGTACGATTTCGTCAACTTAGTAAGTTTGATAGGGGCCGTATAGTGGGACTTCGGGAAGCTGGACTTTCTTTTTGGGCAATTGCAGTTAGAGTGCAAAGAAGTGTAGACACTGTGGTTAGGTGTTGTCAGGCATGGCTTCGAGAAGGCCGTACGCAAAGAGCAAGGGGCACTGGACGCCGCCGTAGAACAACAGACCGTGAAGATCGCCGCCTAAGATTCTTGGCCTTAAGGGACCGTTTCTCCACTACCAGGTCCATTGCAAATGAATGGTTTGCAGAACACGGAAGATCTATTGGCATGCGAAGTGTTTACCGACGAATGAGAAGTTTTGGCTTGTTTTCATACCGGCCACACTGGGTCCTCCCTTTAACTTGAGAACACCGACGTAATCGCCTTGAGTGGTGCAGACAACGGTCACTCTGGGACCAGGAATGGAACAGTATTGTCTTTAGTGACGAGTCTCGATTTTGTTTAGGCATGCACGATGGTCGTGCCAGGGTTAGAAGGCGACGTGGTGAAAGGAGGAATACACAGTTTTTTGTTGAAAGACATGTTCATGACACTGTTGGAGTTATGGTTTGGGGTGCTATAGCTTATGGTTCCAGGTCACCTTTAATCTTCATCAGAGGTAACATGAACGCGCAGCGTTATATCCACGAAGTTCTAGAACCCCATCTTTTACCCTATCTTGACACCCTGGCAGATCCAACTTTCCAACAAGATAATGCCCGACCATATGTTGCAAGAGTCACAATAGACTTCTTTCAACATAATGATGTCACATTGTTAACATGGCCACCAAGATCTCCCGACTTATCCCCAATTGAGCACGTGTGGGATATGATGGGTAGGAGATTGCTCAATTTGCAACGTCCTCCTCAGACTCTAGAAGCACTTCGAGAGGAGTTGGTGGTTGCCTGGAATGAGATACCACAGGAGGACATTGACCACCTGATCAGAAGCATGCCTAGGCGCGTTGGAGAATGCGTAGCACATCAGGGTGCATCCACACATTATTAAAGGTCAAAGGGCTTTAAAGCAGTGCAATCATTTTGAAATTTTTATCATTTACTTATTATGCTTCATTAAGTACTTATACAAAATTTTATTAAAATAAAACCATTTAAACTGGGTGTTCGGATTTATATGTCACTTAGTATATATGAATGCCTAGAACGAGCGTTTGTTTATTCCAGCGAAACGAACAGAGTTGATGGACACGCGAGCGCACTTGGGCGGTAGCTTGAAAACGCGTGTGCAGCTGGCAAGCACCAGCACTTCTTCGGACAGTAGCTGCAAGAGCTTCAGCATAGAACAGCAACACAGCGCGTCCGCAACCGCAGGTATACCGTTTCATTTACCAAATATTTCATAGTAATCTATCACAAAATTCAATAAAAGTAGTATACCACTGAAGATGTATGAACTGTCAATGTACTTTTAATGGCGTAGCGCACACAACTACATCTACAGGATCCGTCACAAAGGACGTCGGTTTTGAAATGGCTAGTACTCTCCGCCTTCTCGAAACACCACCTTCGTTGGGTTCAAACACTTCGCACACGTGGTATACTGATCAATAAAAGAGCACCAGGAGCTCCACAAAGCCCTGAAAATGTGGAACGCGTTCGACAAGCCCTCCTTCGCAATCCGACTCGATCTGCTCGACAACATGCTGCTGAACTTCGCCTCACTTTCATCCCTACAAATAATAATAATAATAATAATAATAATGCCTTTATTAACTGCAGTGAGGCAAAGTTTAGCCAGACGGCTACTCTTACACTCAACCCCACAACAGGAAAAAGAATACTTACACACATAAACAAAATAATTACTATACCAAAAAAAATACAATTCATAAGAATGACAACATTGATTGCACGAAACAAATGCAGATAGCATTGCGAGAGTTTTAAATTTGAAACAAAAATAGTAGAAAATAGTCAAACAAAAAAAAAAAATCACATGAGCACAAGAAAAACTGAACTAAATGGACTCCAGCAGCTGACTTTTCATTAATTTCTTAAAAGAAACAACCGGTTTGGATCGATAGCCACTGTTGACTGCATTGTAATGCTTGACAGCATTATAGGTGTAACTTCTTTCAAAGACCGAGGTATTGTGAGGAGGCATGTTAAAATTAGCATTAAATCTAAGAGCTCTGGTAACAAAACTACCTCGTTGAACTAATTTGCTAGCGAGGTAAGCTGGTCTGTTAGATAATAGAACTTTATGCGTGAAGACGGTCAAAAGATATAAAAATAACTTATCAATTCGCAACCAGTTGAGTTCTTTGATTTTATCTGAGACGCGACTAAACTTGCGCAATCCAAAAATAAACCTACAACAGCTGTTCTGAATTTTCTGGAATTTCCTTTTGTGGACGTAGTCTAAACATGGGTAATATAGAACAAGAGAGTAAGAAATGACAGAAAACACAAGACTTTCAGCAAGCTTTTTTCGGGTTTTAAAATTCAAGATGTATCGATTAGAATAGAGGAGTTTCAAACGCAAATACGTTACTCTAGATAAGAAAGAGACATGCCGATCGAATCTCATATTTAAGTCAAGGGTAACACCGAGATTCTTGGCGTAATCCACAAAAGGGATGAGTGTCTCATCCAAAAAAACACAAATCCTCTGCTTCATTTCACGGTAGGAGTTCTTCGAACAGTACAACATTGCAGTAGTTTTATTAGGATTGATCTTCAAGCAGTGTTTGTTACAGTAATCACCGATGTTAGCCAAATCTAAATTAACTTTAAAAGAAACTTCATCAACCTTTGATGGATCGAAACCAAACACTAACTGAGTATCATCTGCATAAGTTTGCATACTACAGTGGACCAGACAGTCTTGCAGATCGGTCGTATAAATCAGATATAATAAGGGACCTAATACTGAGCCCTGAGGAACTCCTGAAGGAACTGGCTCAGAGGAGGAAATTCCCTGATCAGTTTTCACTGTTTGTTGACGATTTAGCAAGTATGACTCAAAGAACCTTAGAACTATATCTGACATTCCATAATGAGATAACTTACTCAGTAGTATCTGGTGATTGACCATGTCAAAGCCTTTCGAGAAATCTAACAGTACCAAGACGGTGTTGTTGTGATTATCTAAATTGTGAATGATGGAATCAGTAAGATGTAATAAAGACGAAGTAGTGCTGTAACCAGCTCTGAAACTTGACTGATGTAGAGGAAATAAGTGGTTTTGTTCGAAAAACTCCACTAGTTGTGAGTAGACAGCTCTTTCGAGTATTTTTGATAGAAAGCATAATAAGGTAATTGGCCTGAGATCCGAATATTGTTCTGGATGATTAGTTTTAGCTATTGGAATAATAATACCATTTTTCCAACTGGCAGGAAAGTAACCTGTTTCGAGACAGACATTAATAATGTGAGTTATATGGTCTATGGTATTAGGCAAACATAAGCAAACCATATTTAAAGTTAGACCATCAGAGCCACATGCCGTAGACTTAATGTGAGAGATTATATTGACGATGTCTTGCTGAGTAAAGAGTTTAAAAGCAAACAGAGGTGCATCCGGTGTATGGCGTCTCTCGCTATAAGAGTTAGAAACACTATCAATCAAATTTGTATCAGCTGCAGCTGTCTGGAAAATTAAAAGAAAATAATTATTTAAAATGTTAGGCTCAAGGAGACTGGGAGGTATCGCAACATGTTTCTGGGCTACCACATTCATCCTCCTCAGGTGTTTCCAAGCTTGACTAGAGTTAAGATTCCGGAAACGTGACATATATGCTTTTTTCTCTCTTCTAAGCGATGCAAGGGCATAATTTCTCAAATCTTTGTAGCTGGCCCAATTCTGATCAGATCTGTTATGCTGATAGACAGCGAATGCCTCATCTCTCAGTTGAAAAATCATTTTCAAGTTAGGAGTGAGCCAGGGCGCAGCAGGTTTTGTGACACGTACTGTACGTAGCGGAGCGTAGAGATCGAATAGATAAAGAAGACGGCCAGTAAAAGTAGAGACTTTAATATCCACATGATTCACGAAATAAATGTCATTAAGCTGCATTGATGCAATCTGCGTCTTAAAACTTTGAATATCAATGCTATTAAGATTTCTATATGATACAAATTTAGGCTCTATTTTTTTATAACAAACGGAAATATCACAGAATGTGAGCCGATGATCACTAATTGAGTCTGCATTGAGTGTGACCTTTTGACGATAGTATTGTCACTAACAAATATTGGATCAAGTAATGTGGAACTGAAGGCTGTAACACGTGTAGGCTCATCAATGACTTGAATGAAATTGAATGAATCAAAGCAGCTGCTGAGGATGTTGTTATGAGCAAGCAAGTCGACATTCATATCGCCCAAGAATATAATGTTGTCATATTGGGGAGTGAAAAATGAGATAAGATTTTCTAAACACTGGATGGCTTGATGTTTAGAGCAATGTGGTGGCCTATATATAACAATAACAACAGTTAACATGCTGGACCCGTGCAGTTTAAATTTATAGCATAGCATTTCAAGAGGATTTATAAAGTCATCGAGCTCAACTGGGATAAGATTAGTGCTAATATCTAATTTAACATAGAGACCGATGCCACCCCCTCTGCTCCCACGATCCTTACGGAAGAAATTATACCCAAGTATATTGACATCAGTGCTGTCAATACTGGAATGCAGCCATGTTTCAGTGACTGCTACAACATCAAACTTATATTGAACAAGAGAGGCAAAATCATCAAGTGAGCTGTTAGAGAACGCACATTTAAGTGACATAGTTTCAAGACACTTTTTATAGTGTTAGCCATAATCCACCCTTTCTTTTAGAGTTTGAACATAATTGAGAAACACAGGACAGTTTGGAAAATTAGCCGAATGATCAACTGCCATTGTGTAAAAGTTACAACCTGGAGATTACGCACAACGAATGAATTTCGCACTTTTCGAGCAAAATGAGAACTTCATTTTGCTCATGAGTTATGAAAACGATCACTTCTTTTCACCTGAATTATGACGACGACGTGTTCCATTCCGACGTGTGTGGTTCCAACAGGATGGGGCGACCGCCCACACAGCCAGAGCAACGATGAATGGTATTCGCCCTCTCTTCCGTGGTAGCCTTATTTCCAGGTTTGGTGATGTTCATTGGCCTCCTCGGTCCCCAGATTTATCCGTCTTCGATTTTTTCCTATGGAGACATCTCAAGGCTCGTGTATACGAGCACAAGCCTCGAAATCTGAACGAGTTGAAGGAGGCAATTCCCCCAAGTTGAGAGAACGATGTAATGCATCGTCAAAACGGTCACCACATGACTGATGTGATTTTATTACGCTATTTCATTGTGAACCCGAATCCGTCAATAGAACATTTTTTGAGTAAACATTTCCAATTTTGTGATTTTTTTAAAAACCGTCCGACCTTTGTGACGGAGCCTGTATTTTGAAATGTAATGTATGTGTTTAGATGAAGTATGTAGCGGTGGTGTTGGTACTCCTCCAGTTGCGTGCATCCGCGCTGTCTGCGATTCGATGAAGCGGCAGATCATCAGCCGCGCTTTCTATGGTTGGCTCGCATACTGCAGACATCTTTCTACTGTAAGAACGCACCTCAGCGGACTTGTCAATGCAAACATCGTTCTTTCGGATGAACGAGATGAACAAGGTAAGGTAGACCCAGACACACACACACACCAATCTAGATACCATACACCAATTTATTATACTCAGTGACATTGGGAGTGTTTTATTGCTTTTCTTATTACTTGTCAATAAATTTTCATGAGAATGTCATCGTTTCATTTTTGATATAAGACTACCTAAAATTAAAGCTTCCGCCTTTTGTTGGGTACTTCGACAAAATTTAAGCAAAGAGGACTCTTTATACTTTTTTTAATTCTCTCTAGCTTTCAATGGACTTTGCCATCATCATCAGGAGCTGCAATTACAATGATAACAGTAGCAACAAAAGTGTAAAATGAATTTAAATTGAATCAACTTACAGTAGTATGTGAGGATGTTGCTAATTGTTGTTTTCGTATAGGATGAGGGAAACGTCCAGTAACATGGTGAGAGCTGGATACATGGTACAATGGTTAAAATTATATAAAATATGACAAGACAAGTTAAAGACAGATTAAAAATTATTTAGAAAACATTAGAGCATTACGTCGTGAAGCCACTTGATGATTGCAGAAAATGGTGGTCATGGAATAATGAGTGAGATGAACCTTTGACAGAAGGCCGAAGGTTGTCAATGTCAGTGTTGAAAGATGGAACGAATTGTGGGCGTGTGCCAAAACGTTGCCAAATCACTTCAGATGATGGGATTTTCAGAATGTTATGTAAGAAATTGTTAAACCGACCACAATTCGTTCCATCTTTCAACACAGACATTGACAACCTTCGGCCTTCTGTCAAAGGTTCATCTCACTCATTATTCCATGACCACCACCATTTTGTGCAATCATCAAGTGGCTTCACGACGTAATGCTCTAATGTTTTCTAAATAATTTTGAATCTGTCTTTAACTTGTCTTGTCATATTTTATATAATTTTAACCATTGTACCATGTATCCAGCTCTCACCATGTTACTGGACGTTTCCCTCATCCTATACGAAAACAACAATTAGCAACATCCTCACATACTACTGTAAGTTAATTTAAATTCATTTTACACTTTTGTTGCTACTGTTATCATTGTAATTGCAGCTCCTGATGATGATGGCAAAGTCCATTGAAAGCTAGAGAGAATTAAAAAAAGTATAAAGAGTCCTCTTTGCTTAAATTTTGTCGAAGTACCCAACAAAAGGCGGAAGCTTTAATTTTTCACCTCTATATATATATATATATGATAATTTGTGGTTTTAAGTTATTATATCAATTATTGATCGTGTGCAGGTATAACGGAAGAACGTTGGTCAGAAGTGTGCGTGGATGGCGTGGTTTCTGACTATGCGGAAGTGTACCGATTGACGTACTTCGGGGGCATCGCGCATTCGCTCAGGAAGGAAATCTGGCCGTACCTGTTGGGACATTATAAATTCGGTACCACTCAACAACAACGAAACGAACTCGCAGAGGAGACCAAACAGGCGTGAGTGTAATATAAAACATCATTTGTTAACAGCTAATGCAAACGATTCAAAAATGTTTTATAGATACTTAAAATCAATGCGTATCCGACACTCACAAAATACCGATATTCCTCTACATTTAAAGAGCCCTACTGACATTAATAGTTATTTCTGTTCCATTTTTAATAACGCCATTTGTTCATGCATAGAGAAGATTGAGCATTATGAAAAGAATCACTATTCTAGTGATCGATTCAAGTTTAAACCAATCGATATGACTGATTTAAAATCGATGTTCCAGTCTCTGAACTCGAATGCCTTAGGAAGCGATAGCGTGTCACTCAAAATGCTAAAACTATGCTTCTTTGCGATTTCAGTTCACATTTTACACATCATAAATACTTGTTTAGAAATGGGATTCTTTCCAGAATCATGGAAAGAAGTATTAGTGTTACCTCTAGCTAAAATGAGTAAGCCAAAATTATATTCTGATTTAAGACCAATTAGTATTTTACCTGTTTTGTCCAAATTATTAGAAAAAGCAATGTACGTCCAAATTTACGATTATCTCTCTAAACATAAAATTTTGCATCCCAAACAATGCGGTTATCGAAAAGGATATAACACTGCAGGTGCCCTATTAGACTTAACCGATAACATTGTTAGAGCCTGGGATCAACATATGATCACATCATTAGTTCTTGACTTCTCTAAGGCATTCGATACCATAAATCATCGTCTTCTAGTAGCCAAGTGCAAATATTTCGGTTTTTCTGACTCTGCCTCAAGGGTCTGTACTTGGGCCACTCCTATTCATTTTGTATATTTCTGATCTCCATTCAGTTGTTAAATATTGTAATATCCAATTTTTTGCCGACGATTCACAGATCTACAGTCATTTCCATAATCACGACATTAGAAATGCTGAACCTGAGGTAAATGAAGATATAACATCTATTAGAATGTATGCAAAAAATCATAACCTTCAGTTGAACCCTTTAAAATCGAAAGTCATCATTTTTTCACCAAAACTATTTAGAAGTGATGCCAAAAGAAATTTTAAAGAAAAATTAACTGGTGAGACTATAGAAGTAAGTGAGTCAGTGAAAAACTTGGGCGTAACTTTAGATGAATGTCTAAATTTTATACCACATGTAAATAATATCAGTAAGAGTTGTTTTTCAATTTTACGTCAATTTCTTGACTTTACAACTAAAAAAATTTTGTGTTAGTTATTGCGATTTAATTTATCTTCCATTTCTTGACTCAATATCTCTTAGCCCGTCTCCAAAAAATTAAAAACTCATGTTGTAGGTTGATCAATAATTTGAAAAAATATGATCATTATGGGGTTGTCCAAAACGGACGAAAGGAAAGTAAACGCATACTAAAACAAGAAAGATTGATATTCAAATCAAGTTGGGTACTTTATTTTGAAGGATCATTTATACCATTTATGTATGAAAAATAATATCGGTCAAATGTTCACCACGACTGGATTTACAGACGTCCACGCGATGGTCGAAATTTTCAATGACATTTTGCAACATGGTCGGTTCTATGGCATTTATCTCGGCAATGATGTTGTTTTTGAGTTCTTGGAGGGTGGCTGGTTTGTTGACGTAGACTTTGCTTTTCAAATATCCTCATAAAAAGTAGTCCAAGGGAGTCAAATCGCACGATCTTGGTGGCCATGGCACATTTCCTCTGCGCGAAATCACGCCATTACCGAAGAAGGACTGCAATCGATGGATATTGACGTTGGTTGTGTGGCATGTTGCATCGTCTTGTTGGAAATAAACATCGTCCATATCCATTCCTTCAAGTTGCGGCAAAAAATAGTCCTCTATCATCACGTGATATCGCTCAGAATTGACGGTAACGGCGTCCCCGGCCGCATTTTCGAAAAAGTAAGGTCCGATGATGCCTTTTGACCACAACGCATACCACACAGTCACTTTGCATCGGCTGCTCTTGATACTCCCGGGGATTTTCGTTCGCCCAGATGCGGCAGTTTTGCTTGTTTACCGTCCCATTCAAAGTGAAATGCGCTTCGTCGCTGAACATGATTTTTGATGAAAAATTGGCATCAATTTGGCGGTGTTCAAAGAGCCAATCTCAGAACGTTCGGCGCGAAAAATGGTCGGCCCGACGCAGCTCTTGCGTCAATTGGATCTTGTAGGCGTGTACATTCAAATCCTTGTGGAGAATGCGGAGCAAACTGGCTCTCGAAATGCCCAATTCTTGGGATCGACGCGTTGTTGATTGATCGGATCGTCTCTCACACTCTCCTTCACAACAGCAATATTTTCCGGTGTGCGAACGCTCCTTGGCCGGCCAGAGCCTGGCAGATTTGCCACAGATCCTGTTGCATCAAATTTACGCACCAGACGACCGATGGTTGTTTCGTTTGGGCGGTTGTTGCGACTGAAATGTTCACGAAGCGCGCGAAACGTGTTTTTTATTTTTGCACCATTTTTGTAGTGCTCTTGAATAACTTTAGCGGTCTTCAATCGAATACGACTCCATAGCGATCAATGGTAAACATTCAACTAACAAAATGACATGTCGGTGACAGAAAACAAAGATGGCGTCTATGTCAAATTGACGTTTACTTTCCTGCGTCCCTATTGGACAACCCTTTATATGTGAAGGTATGCTTAACCAAGCTAGTTTTTAAATTCGTTATATGTGCCTGATGATGATGATAAGATCGTGTGTATGAATTTCCGTTAGGTATGAGAACACGATGTCCGAATGGTTGGCAGTGGAGGCGATCGTCAGACAACGAGATAAAGAAAACCAGGCTCAGGCACATGCGAAACTGAGCACTGGCAGCGCGGCATCCACCTCCGTCAATGATAATACTACACCGCCGCCACCGCCGCACTCACAACAGGAACATCATCTGTCCAATGAGGTCCGTCGCATTTATAGCTTGACTTTATTTTGCTCTCTCTGTTGTATTTGCTTTTTTTCTTTTCGTCGAAACAAGAAGTTCTAACGAATGTTAAATTGCCGTTACTCAGACATAGTCATTTCAAATGGATACAACTCGAAGGGGGGAATCTTAACAAATCCCAAGTCTCTTGAAAAGCCGATTGTCCAAAACATTTAGAAAATTTTATTTTTCTTCTATGGATTTATAAGTAAATTAAGATTGATTTGAATTAATAAACTGTGCGAATATTAGACGAATTGTATTCTGCACCAACGCAAGTTTGATGGATGCCTTAATATAAACGACTTAGGGTTGCAACCGCACTCCGTATGTGGCTCTGTATTTCTTAAACATTTAATGTTTGTGTCAGGTATTCGAAGACGAGTTACTTTCCGACGATGAGCACGAATCTATGGACGAGGAAGAGGAAGCATGTTTGACAGAAGCGCAACCTGTCAAGAAAACCCGAAGAAACACGATCAAATACGAAAGCGGAGACGATGAGAATGAAGATGAAAATGAGGCCACGGTGGCAGGCGTAACACCAATAGGAAAGTATGATCATGACGATGATGGTGAAGAAGCTCAACGTTCACCTGACAATCGAGAGTTCTGCTGTTCGAATATAGAACACGAACCAGTCAATAATGGAGGTGAGTCATCGAAGAGCAAAATACGAGACTAACATATGTCCACTGATAACATATACTCGAACACTTATTACTAATATGTTATTTAATTATTATTTAAATATGTATATATAAATATAAATATATAAATTTTCAATGACATTTTGCAACATGGTCGGTTCTATGGCATTTATCTCGGCAATGATGTTGTTTTTGAGTTCTTGGAGGGTGGCTGGTTTGTTGACGTAGACTTTGCTTTTCAAATATCCCCATAAAAAGAAGTCCAAGGGAGTCAAATCGCACGATCTTGGTGGCCATGGCACATTTCTCTGCGCGAAATCACGCGATCACCGAAGAAGGACTGCAATTGATGGACATTGACGTTGGTTATGTGGCATGTTGCACCGTCTTGTTGGAAATAATCATCGTCCATATCCATTCCTTCAAGTTGCGGCAAAAAATAGTCCTCTATCATCACGTGATATCGCTCAGAATTGACGGTAACGGCGACCCCGGCCGCATTTTCGAAAAAGTAAGGTCCGATGATGCCTTTTGACCACAATGCACACCACACAGTCACTTTTTGAGGATGCATCGGCTGCTCTTGATACTCACGGGGATTTTCGTTCGTCCAGATGCGGCAGTTTTGCTTGTTTACCGTCCCATTCAAAGTGAAATGCGCTTCGTCGCTGAACATGATTTTTTATTTGTAGTATTTCTCAAATATTACGTTTTCAGTGACAAAGCTTGGAATTATTCAATTTTTAGTATAAAGAACCTACAAATGTTATATTTGTACTATTTTTAAAAGAGCATTAAATAGGCTGGTTTTTATAATCATTTGCATATTCAGTCTGTTACATTTTTTATAGTAATCAGTAAAACTTTAGTAAAGGTTTTTACATTGAAACAAAAAGTAATCATTATTTTTTTTTAGCATACCGTACTAGTTTTCAAAGCAATGAATACTACTAACTATTAATAGTTGCTCAGGAAAAAATCATAAGTTAAAAGTTATCTATAACCATAACAGGCAAAATAGGAGCAAAAAGTTGCGATTTAAAAAAAATGGCAATATCTCGAAAACTAGAAAACTTTTACTAAGGTAATATTGATTTTATCTGATTGATCTGAAGCCAATCTACCTCTCGTGTCACTCTGGCGTGCTATTTCTTGGATACCCTGTATATTGTCACAAATGTTTTCTTCCAGAATCTATATGTGATTATGATAACGACTTGGTGAATGATACTGTTGAACAGAATCAAGAACAAATATTTCCCCCGGACGATACTTGCTATACTGAAGAAATGAAGGATTTCATACATAATGTTATTGTCACCAATGCCAGCGTTGATATGAGCAATTTAGGTAAACAACAATGATCACTACTTTTTGACGAAATATTTATTTCGAATACCATATGTTTATACGTCAAGCTGCTGAATATATCATGTAGTAGATAACTAAAATTATTGCAGGTGGTGATGAGAGTCGAAACGTCGGTCGCGCTAGTGGTGGTGGTAATTTGGACGCCGTCACCGAGGAGAACAACTCGTCATTAGACACGTGCATTGAGACGCATGGATTGGCGTCGCCAGCACGGTCCGCGTGCGCATCGCCGGCTAGCTCCAACGGAGGCGTATACACGGTTAGAACATCTCATTACACCTTATATGCACCCCATGCACCTTTATTTTACAATGTATGAACGTAATATATATATACTAAGTGACATATAAATCCGAACACCCAGTTTAAATGGTTTTATTTTAATAAAAGTTGGTGAATGTATTTATCTTACAGTAAATAACAAGTGAAAAAATTTTCAGCCTTATCAGTTGGACATTCCGGTTTTTATACTGCTTTTTTTTAATTCACTAACGCTGTAAAAATGAATATTTCAGCCGCAGTAAAGAATCAACGTTGGCGGATTTTGGTTCTTGACATCTTTTACGATCGGTTACGATGCCTAGAGTACGGAGACCTGTACGATTTCGTCAACTTAGTGAGTTTGATAGGGGCCGTATAGTGGGACTTCGGGAAGCTGGACTTTCTTTTCGGGCAATTGCAGTTAAGAGTGCAAAGAAGTGTAAACACTGTGGTTAGGTGTTGTCAGGCATGGCTTCGAGAAGGCCGTACGCAAAGAGCAAGGGGCACTGGACGCCGCCGTAGAACAACAGACCGTGAAGATCGCCGCCTAAGATTATTGGCCTTAAGGGACCGTTTCTCCACTACCAGGTCCATTGCAAATGAATGGTTTGCAGAACACGGAAGACCTATTGGCATGCGAAGTGTTTACCGACGAATGAGAAGTTTTGGCTTGTTTTCATACCGGCCACACTGGGTCCTCCCTTTAACTCGAGAACATCGACGTAATCGCCTTGAGTGGTGCAGACAACGGTCACTCTGGGATCAGGAATGGAACAGTATTGTCTTTAGTGACGAGTCTCGATTTTGTTTAGGCATGCACGATGGTCGTGCCAGGGTTAGAACGCGACGTGGTGAAAGGAGGAATCCACAGTTTTTTTTTTGAAAGACATGTTCATCATACTGTTGGGGTTATGGTTTGGGGTGCTATAGCTTATGGTTCCAGGTCACCTTTAATCTTCATCAGAGGTAACATCAACGCGCAGCGTTATATCCACGAAGTTCTACCCTATCTTGACACCCTGGCAGATCCAACTTTCCAACAAGATAATGCCCGACCACATGTTGCAAGAGTCACAATAGACTTCTTTGAACATAATGATGTCACATTGTTACCATGGCCACCAAGATCTCCCGACTTATCCCCAATTGAGCACGTGTGGGATATGATGGGTAGGAGATTGCTCAATTTGCAACGTCCTCCTCAGACTCTAGAAGCATTTCGAGAGGAGTTGGTGGTTGCCTGGGATGAGATACCACAGGAGGACATTGACCACCTGATCAGAAGCATGCCTAGGCGCGTTGGAGAATGCGTAGCACATCAGGGTGCATCCACACATTATTAAAGGCCAAAGGGCTTTAAAGCAGTGCAATCATTTTGAAACTTTTATCATTTACTTATTATGCTTCATTAAGCACTTATACAAAATTTTATTAAAATAAAACCATTTAAACTGGGTGTTCGGATTTATATGTCACTTAGTATACATTACATACACTACCGTTCAAAAGTATTTGAACATCCAGAAAACAAAGAAACTGATGGAAGTTATTAAGGAAAACATTACAATATCTGTATGAAATACTAATTTTCTCAATTCTTAACAACATAAAACTATTTATAATTCCGTACTTGTCTATCTAGTTCATCCCAGAGAAACTATCGGATTCAAATCCGGGGATTGGGGAAGTAATTGCATGACTTACATTATTAAAGAAAAATCACTGCGATCATTGTAAGGAAAATTTGACACACACAGATGATATTGACATAGAAGACAAGCACAACATTATACAGAATTTGAGTAGAGGTGGCTTAAAATTCCCAAAGGATCCAGTTATTAATATTGTCAGGCTAAGTTATATAATTTTCAATAAAGTTTTGGAAAGTGACGAGGAATCACTTTTAGAAATCACTTTCTCAGTTGATAATTAACAATCTGAGTCCATTCACCAGATTATGTTATAAAACTAATTGTTATTTGCACAGTCAGTACATTTTGGAAAAATTATTGTGCCAAAAGTAACGACAGCTTGCAAGCGCGAATAAAACAAAGAAACCTAAACTGACTACATTCACATGAGGCATCAACATTTACATAGCTGTAGATAAATGTTTATTTGTACATATTCAGAATTTAGTACTTTAATTTTCGTGATTCTAATTTTTATTTTTGATACTTGTTTTCTGTTTTCTAATTTTTGTTATTATTTTGTACTGTATTTTGTTTGTTCTAAGAGTTTTTATTAAGTTGCCATTAATCTTTGTTATGTTTTTTATTTTACTTTGATTTTATCTGTTTTTCTTAACATTTATCCTACACTTTTTGCTCCTCATCTTCCTTATTCCTTTCCTGGCAAGAGCTTACCTCAGATCTCCTCATTGGTTCGTGCTGGACACAACTATTCGACAAGCACTACATTTTTTATATAATTTTCAAGTACCATTATATTATGCCTATAATAATAGTAAATTGTCCACATATTCCTGTGAAATTTTGTTGATCTGTTGTGACTAACATGGGGTTATTCATTGAAGAATTTATCATTTTTAGCAAGCTTTTATAACATCAACTTATTACTCTAATGTGCACGTAATGTTGGATGAAATATCAGTGAAAATCAGGGTGAAAATAGTTAATAACTAGTTTCATATTTTCCACCAAGTTGCCTTCATATATGCTGCAATAATATATTATTCACTAGCTCTGATGTACGGCACGCCGTGCTGTCGGCCGGCCGACCGGCCTACTCGTGGTGACGTCACGAGTCTGTTGTCAGGCCTTGTACTCTCGGTGGTAACGCCCATATTCAAGTCCGCTGCTATTTCGGGTGCAGTCATGCGTCTCAGCGTTTACTTTACACTGTTATGCTTAAGTCTTCAGTGGAAGTTGTAACTCTGGGTCTCCCTGAACGACGGCTATTGGATGTTGTGCCTTGAGCCTTAAATTTTTTAGTAGAGTAGTGTACAGGTGACAGTGGTACCTTCTTATGTTTAGAAATTTCTCGAATACTTTTGCTGGATTTATGAAGACCTAATTATAACTCCTTTTATCTCCTCGGAATATTCTTTAGTTGTACCCATTTTGTCCAGAAAAAAATACACGAAAACGCACTTGTTGAACGATCTTGAACTATAAGGTATTGCAGCATGGCTATTTTATCAAATGGGACAAGATAGTGAAGAAAAGTGTGTTACGGGTTTACGTACAACACAAATTAAAGGAAATGATAATCGAAAAACAAATCCTTAGAAGGAACAAATCCTTAAAAAGAATGCCTATACAGAAACATGATATTCTAAAGGCCTATTATGGCTAATGGTAAGATCTCAATACATAATAGTTTGAGCGAAATTTTGATTTCAATGATGCTTGATTTCCATCGTGATGGTTTTCATTAAATAAAGAAAAATAAATACGTACTGATCTATGGTTTGTTGTGATTTTAAATGGAAATATGCAGGTGTTCAAATACTTTTGACCGGTAGTGTCCATAGTTTGGGAAGTGATCCATTTATAATGGCATTCTGAAACGAGGTATGTAATGAACTTTTTCACTACAGTGGACCTCCGGTAATCCGACAAACATTATGCAGGGCAGTGTCGGACTATCGAATTTGTCGGATTATAGAGCACTGCCTAAGACCCCCTATAGTCCGGGATTTTTTACAAAAGAGTACCTTGTAATCCGACAAATTACATATCCAATGGTAAGATTATATATGTTATGTATATGTATGTGCTTTGAAGTACAAATCATACATAGTTTATGTATGTCGAATTTAGTAAATTAAATAACAATAGAGAACTTACGTTTTATTATAAAATTAAGCATAAATGCACATACATATGTACCAAAATAATCAAGAATTATTAATCAAAATCATTAATTAATTTATCAAATTATGAAGCTTGGAAATATTCATCAATTTTTGTTTGTTTAAGATTGTTCGCGAGATCAGAGCTTTGTCCCTCAGTCTTCTCAAAAGTAAAGTTCATTGTAGGATGTATCATTCTCTTCAGCCTATTGTAAACCTAGCTCAAAGGCGTTAATTATTGCGTCTTGTGCTTGTGGAGCAGTTGCAATCATGTCGTCGTTATTCTCCCGATTGTTTGTTGTCTAATTAGAAACCTCTTTTATAATCTCTTCGTCAGACATTTTATGAAAAACATTTTCCTCTTTATCCATTCCACGGCACCAGATTTCCAAATCTTCCGGACTTATCTGTGTTTCAATAGCGACTTGTTCTATAACTTCCGAAGTAACAGTGTGGTGACTATATCTGGACATAACGTTTTCCAAGACGATTTAATAGTTGATGACGGTAACGCATTCCACGACTGACAAAGAGCAAAAACCAAGTCTTTCATGTTAAATTCTTTTAAAGTTTTTTCTATGGGTTGGTCTTTTGATACAGCTCTCAGAAGTCGGTTTTTCTTATAGTCTTGCTTGACAAACTGAATGATATTCTGGTCCATTGGTTGAATCATTTGGCGGAAGAAACATCGCAGTGATGCATTTATCCTCAGTTGTTAGTTTTTCTTCAGACGGGAGTGTTATCAAGAGCAACATCGCTTTTTGAGGAAAATTATGATCTTTTAACCATTTTCTAACTTCAGGTACGAAGCATTCATCAAACCACTTTTTGAAAAGGTCTTTTGTCATCCATGCACTTTTTTGTCCGTAATAGTGTACAGGTAAATCAATGTTTTTGAATGCCCGTGGTTTAGTAGATTTCCCAATGACCATCATCTTAAGCGCGTGTGTGCCCGCAGCGTTAGCATATGGTAGTATGGTTACACGCTCTTTACTTACTTTTCGTCCAGGTACGGATTTTTCGTTACAAGAAACGAAAGTTTTGTTAGGCATCACACGCCAAAAAAGCCCTGATTCGTCTGCATTGTACACCTGTGACGGGTCAAGATTTAAATCGTTCACCTTTTGTAAAAATCTTAATTTAAAGGGCTCTATGCAGGTGGCATCATTAGAAAGTTTCTTTCCTGTAATAGTCATTAAACGTATGCTTTTAAAACGTTCTAGCCATCCTTTGCTGGCCACAAAATCATCTTTTTTTGTTATTTCCTTATAAAAAACTTAGCTTTCATGGCCAACATGGGTCCTGAAATTGGTGCATGCCTATTTCTTTCCTGAAGAAACCACATGTACACAGCTTCTTCCACTTCTGGATGTTCAGCTTTCTTGAGTGTCTGTTTCTTGCCTGGCCCGCAGTCAGTAGTTGACACGAACTTTTTGATCTTCTCGTGGTTTCTTTTAATGTCATAAATTGTAGATCGGCCTACGCCGTATTTACTTGCTAAACTACTGAAAGTTTCATTGCGATTTAAGCGGTCTAAAATATCATATTTTTCTTTAATTGTCAATGTTTTGTGCTTTCGCTTCTGAGTTTGTGATGACATTACTAGGTACTATACTTAATACACAATTAATAAATAGTAAACAATGAACGCACGCTAGGCCGTACCGCTATGACCAGTAGTCAAATTCAAACTAAGTAAAACAATGCTTACGCGTCGAGCACGATAGCGGTGGCGCGTACAAGTTGTAACCTGTTCAAACCTGCGTGATCTGCATTAGCGAATATTGTCAAATACGTATGTACCTGTATGTAATACATATTCAAAGACATGTCGGATTACAGGGGGCGCCGGATTAGACAGGGGCCTGATTATCGGGGGTCCACTGTATTAACGCTCTAATATCATAAAATATATGTATATTCTTTTTCGATCGTTTTATCATGTTAAATGATACAGTAAACAACTGTATATTGCTAATACCTCTAATACTCTTTTAAATTGCAGCAAGAGCTGTTGGAGACGTTCGGTTTAAATTTACATCGTATAGAAAAAGATGTACAGAGGTGCGACAGAAATTATTGGTACTTCACTGAAAAGGAGAACCTCGATAAGCTGCGAAATGTAATGTGCACGTGAGTCAAGTCCATAAATAAGTGTAGCTATATTATCACACAGAAAAAAAATATTCCAATTTTCCAGGATTAGCTTTAATTTGGAGCGAAACGGGACCACGTTGAAATATTTCTATATGGTTCAGCTATATTATCGGTTGCTTTCGATATTTTAAAAGAGCATAATATTTTAAAACCTTCTCAACTGGTAGCACTCTATTAAGTTAGGTTACGCAGTACACACAGAATGATAATAATTTCAGTTACGTGTGGGAGCACCTGGACATCGGCTACATGCAGGGCATGTGCGACCTGGTGGCCCCGTTATTGGTCATCTTCAACGAGGAATCGGTGACGTACGCCTGCTTCTGTCACCTGATGGAGCGAATGGTGGAAAATTTCCCGAACGGCCAACAGATGGACTGTCACTTTGCGAATATGCGCTCGCTCATTCAGATCCTCGATGCGGAAATGTACGAACTGATGCATCAACACGGCGACTACACGCACTTTTACTTCTGTTACAGGTCAGATTAAGTAGCTCCATGTTTAATTGCGTAATCTACAGGGTGTCCGCAAAGTTGGGGTTTTCCTTTTCAGAAACAACTACCCTTGAAATAACAAAGGTAATGTGTAATGAAACGAGGGCGACCAAGTAAAAAAAAATAAAGGAAAAAGTACTCACTCTCCAGTTGACGAGAAGGGCTAAGTACGTCTCTGCCCGAAATCATACCGCTCCAACAGAAAATGAAATCAGCTGATGCGCTACCGAGCAGACGCAGGCAAACAAGGAAAGCAAAATGTTGCGTAAAAAGTCTAGGTATTGCATCCCGTCCAATCGATTTGGGAGAATAAATGGTCCAATGAGCATACCGTTCACCATGCCAGCCCAAACATTCACCGAAAATGTTTGTTGAAAATGTGCCCGACGGACAGCGTGCGGATTTTCTACTGACCAAACATGAGTGTTGCGACAGTTATTCACCCCATTACGCGTGAACGTAGATTCGTCTGTCACCAATATGCACTTCAAAAAGTCCGGATTATTGTCATGTTGATGCAACAACCACTCACAAAACCGCACTCTTGCTGGAAAATCGTCAGGTTGAAGGGCTTGTACACGTTGGACGTGAAACGGATACAGCCCCTCTTCACGCAGCGTTTGCCACACTTTTTGATACTTGCACTTCTCTAGCCACGTCTCTAGTGCTTGTTGAGCGATTCTCGTCTACGCGATTACCTCTACATGCGTGACCGTAACCGTCGGTTGAAGGTTGCATACTGACCTGACAGTTCTGCCGTCGGGTTGAGACCTTGTACCAATCGGTGATGTCCCGGGTCGCGGCTACAGGACGGTATTCAGATATTTTTGATGTTGCAGAGCCCTTTATCTCGGTTCCCTTAAGACATTGGTGTATATGGTACTGAGAAAAATTGCTCATGTTTTCAAGATCTACACGTCGTGTAAAGGAAAACCCCAACTTTGCGGACACCCTGTATTTATTTATACGATTGTTCGTTCATCAGTGTGAGCACATGACGCTTTTATTTACCTGTATCTGTTTGCAGATGGTTCCTGTTGGATTTCAAGCGCGAGCTGGTGTACGCGGATGTGAACGCCACCTGGGAAGTGATCTGGGCGGCGCAACAAGTCGCTTCACAGCATTTCGTGCTGTTCATCGCACTCGCCCTGCTAGAGACATACAGAGACATCATCCTTTCAAATGGCATGGACTTCACCGATATCATCAAATTCTTTAACGGTAAATTCACGCCATGACCAACATTTACCTATTTGTTGTTGTTGCAATAGCCAGACACAAAAAAAAACAATACACCGTTATTTCATTATTTTGAGGCTTCTTGAAACGAGATTTCAAAAAAAAAAAAATTGTGCAATCATCAAGTGGCTTCACGATGTAATGCTTTCATGTTCTAAAAAATTTTTAATCTGTTTTTAACTTGTTCTTGTCACACATTTGTATGTATTTTATATAATTTTGACCATTGTACCATCTATCCAGTTTTCACCATGTTACTGGGTGTTTCCCTCATCCTGAACGTTAACAACAATTAGCAACATCCTCACATACCACTCTCTTGATGATGATGGCAAAGTCCATTGAAAGCTAGAGAGAATAAAAAAAAGTATAAAGAGTCCTCTTTGCTTAAATTTTGTCGAAGTACCCAACAAAAGGCGGAAGCTTTAATTTTTCACCTAACTGGTCTAGACGACAATGACCACGTCTCAAGTTATATATGTATATATATATATAATATAAACATATTGTGACAATGATATGTACAAATATATATCAGAATAAGACAGCGCAAAGTGCCATCTATCGCCAGAATGGACTACTGCGGAGAGCGCATAGCTGCTATTTGTTTTAACCGTAAAGATCTCATTTCACGTTTAATAGCCCAGTCAGCATGTGACCTCTAGATGGCTGATGATTCTGGCTGGAAAGTAGATATGGTATTCTGACTAAAAAGACAGTCAACCGTGGAAAGCCGTTTTCTGGTTCTTGGCTACTCATCAGCATGGTCTAGCCTTGGTCTCTCGTCTCTTTCGTTGTTGGTCGCAGAGATTAGAGACCAAGCGTAGAGCATGCTAACGAGTAGCCAAGAAGCACAAAACGGCTGTCTATGGTTGGCTGTCTTTTGGTCGGACAGATGAGAAAGAATCATGTTTAGTATAATATGTATATTGCTCCAGAGATGGCAGAGAGACACGACAGCAAATCCGTGCTGCGATTGGCGAGAGAACTGGTGTTGCAGCTTCAACTGCTCATAGAAAACAAATAGAACAACATATAATGAGAGCTGAGCACTGAAGAAGAAGCAGATGTTGCTGGTTTTGAAATTCGCACTTGATCCGGACGCCACGAGGATTTTCGCTCCATTATCATTCGACAAACAGGTGATGTCATAATCGTAGGCGATTAGACATAGATGTATGCGAGAGCACGTTTCTAATGATTAAATAACATATGTGAAAAATATTTTTAAACCTTATATATTATAAATTAAATTACGTGTATGCTCACTTTAAAGGAAGGTTTACTGCTGGGGATTGCAATATACTAGAATATTTAACAATAGCTGTGAGATGGTGTCGAACACATGATGAAAATACTTGTTTCTTAAGATTAATAGGAACAAAACAAATGTATCAATCTTTTTGATGGTCGTTATGTATCGCGAAATATATTTTTATATTTGATTCTTATCAAAAGTCAAGTTAATTTTATTCATTGTTCTGATCATATACAGGGTGACAGGTAAATAGGTGTAAAACATTTTAGGAGGTGATAGTACAGCTCCTTTGCTATCAAAATTAGTATATAATACCATACCCTATATCCAAAGGTTAAAAAGTTATGGAAGATTTAATTTTTTTTAAAAAACAACCCAGATTACAGAGTAAAATAGTTGAGATAAAAAAAGTTGCTGATTAAACATATGAAAACACTACTGAAAACGTACTTATTTTCATTTAAATGTTAAATGAAAATTTTTATTTTCAACTTTCACATTAAGAAGTCTTTTTTTTTTCAAAAAAATCATAATAAAGAAAATGTACAAATAACTGCAAAAACTTCCTCGTTTCATTAGGTTTCTAAAATGGTATAATAACATATCAGTAAGTAAACCATTTAACAAAACAATATTACTTTGCTAGAAAGGACCGCTAAGCGCATTTCATTGTACTGAGCAGGTAAACCGAGCCTTTCATGGTTTGACCCTTTTTATTATTTTTTGTGCCCTGTGCCGTTATTCGGGTTTAAGTATTCGGAATCTGTCGTCGCTCCTCGGAAGCAAGCTCTGCGGGTGTTATGAATTGACATTGACACAGCTGACGGATCAAGGAAAGGGAACTAACGCTTAGGTTAGTTAGTAGAATATCAACCTTTAACGCGGTAGGACGTACTTTTACTTTTTTGATCAGTTTTAATAATGGCGAGTTACCGTAACGAAGAATACGCTGATATTCTGTTTTGTTATGGTTTAAGTGATGGAAATTCCGTTGAAGCCAGGCAAGAATACGAAAACCGTTTTCCGAATCGGCGAATACCGAGTCATCGAGTATTTGCTTCTGTGTACCAACGCGTCAAGGAACGTGGACAGGTTCATGAGAGACGTCATGATGCTGGTAGACCTCGGTTGTTTGACGACGAAAATCGAGAGGCAATACTGGAATGCTACGGCAGAGACCCGACGACGTCTACACATAGCAAAGCAGCTTGGTTTAACTCAGTGGAAAGTTTGGTTCGTTTTGCATTCGGCGAGACTTTACCCTTTCCATTACACACCGGTTCAAGTATTAGAAGAAGGAGATCCCGCAAGAAGAATTGATTTTTGTCGATACATGCTTCATCGGGATCAAGAAGAAAATGACTATTTAACTAAAATATTGTGGACCGACGAGTCTAAGTTTGACAGAGAGGGGACAACAAATTATCACAACTTACATTATTGGGCCCCACGAGAGGCAAATCCCCACATGACAAAGCTAAGAGCCATCAAAGAAGATTTTCGGCAAACGTGTGGATGGGAATTATTCATACGTATCTAATTGGACCAGTTTTTTTGCCTGACAACCTGAATGGCGAATCCTATGAAAACTTTTTGAGATCCGAACTCTGGGAGTATCTCGAAGACCTGCCTCTGAATATCAGGATGCAGATGATCTACCAACACAATGGCTGTCCCGCGCATTTCCGTCTGGGTGTTAGACAGTGGCTGGACGAGAAATATCCTTGTCGCTGGATTGGCCGAGGTGGACCGACACCGTGGCCAGCGAGGAGCCCAGATTTAACACCGTGTGACCATTATTTATGGGGGCACATGAAGTCACTGGTGTACGCTGAGCCCATAGACACTCTTGCACAGTTGAAAGAAAGAATTATTGCTGCTGCTGACACTATCAGAGCACAACTAACTGGCCTCCTCACGCGTACCAACATGAGAAAAAGACTACGGGCTTGCATAAGAAACGGTGGGCGTCAGTTCGAACAACAATTGCAATGAATTTTACCTTCATTTCATTATTGTATTTTACTTACCAATTGTAGTAACTTTTAGTCAGTTTTTATTATTCTGTAGTACAATTACAACTGTGTAAATAATCTAATCGTGTAACTCAACCGTAGTTTAAAATAATAACTATCCCATAGCTTACAGTTACATTATTTTAACAAAAACACTTTCTTATCAATCAGAGAGTTGTGAAAATATGAGACAAGTCATTGGTAAATTTACTCCCTATTGTTGTATTACAATACATTATGTTTAGTTTCACACAGTTTTTGTGCACTTATCATACCAATTTAGATTCCTTATGAAACAAGGATATTATTTAAATTGTTTGTACGTTTTTTTGTATATTGATTTTTTTGTAAAAGACCTTACTTACTGTAAAACGTTATTTGTTTTTCTTAGTTAAACATTTTTGAATGAAAATAAATACGTTGTTTGGTATTGTTTTCGAATCTTTTTCAATTTAAAATAGTTAATTATTGAAATAATAACCCAAAACCACAAAAAACAAATGTTTAATCGCCAACTTTTTTCTCTCTCGACTTTTTTACTCTGAAATATGGATTGTTTTTAAGAAAATCTTAAATCTTCAATAACTTTTCAACCTTTGAATATAGGGTATGGTATTATATACTAATTTCGATAGCAAAGGGGCTGTACTATCACCTCCTAAAATGTTTTACACCTATTTACCTGTCACCCTGTATAGTGTTGTAAACGACACACTTGCTTAATTTCCTCGCTGACATGATCATAGCAAATTCCCAGCTTCGAGCTAGTGGCTATACTATTTTTTCTGAAAGCTGTTACAAAAATAGATACAACCATTTAGTATCACTTACAGTTTTAATAATACTAACTGACCTGCAATTATCAGGAGTAATTCAAATACCTCAGTACTGATACTGAATATTGTTATCCTGGCTATATCTAGTTATAACAGGTGGGCTGAAAATTCCGTATCGTTTCAATGAAAAAATATTTTTTTCGTCAAAATTCGCTTTTATTATTCAACATAGTTGCCTTCAAGGGCTATACAGCGATTATAACGTTCTTCAAGTTTTTCGATACCCTTCCGGTAGTAATCCTTCGGCTTGTCCTCAAAATAGGCTTCAGTTTCGGCGATGATTTCTTCGTTGCTGTGAAATTTTTTTCCGGTGAGCATTCTCTTAAGGTCTGAGAAGAGGAAATAGTCGCTTGGAGCAAGGTCCGGAGAATACGGTGGATGGGGGAGCAAATCGAAGCCCAATTCATGCAATTTCGACATCGTTTTCATGGACTTGTGGCACGGCGCATTGTCCTGGTGAAACAAGATTTTTTTTTTCTTCATTTGTGGCCGTTTCTTGGCGATTTCGGCCTTCAAACGCTCCAGTAACACTATATAATAGTCGCTGTTGATAGTTTGGCCCTTTTGAAGATAGTCGATGAAAATAATTCCTTGCACGTCCCAGAAAACAGAGGCCATAACCTTGCCTGCTGACTGTTGCGTCTTTCCACGTTTCGGAGGTGGTTCGGATGCAGCCGTCCACTCGGCCGACTGGCGATTTGACTCCGGTGTGTAGTGGTGGAGCCATGTTTCATCCATGGTGACGTATCGGCGAAAAAAATCGGTTTTATTGCGCAAAATCACCTCCAAACAGGCCTCAGAGTCGTCGATGCGTTGTTGCTTTTGGTCAAATGTGAGATTGCGCGGCACCCATTTCGCACAGAGCTTTCGCATATCCAAATATTCATGAATGATGTGACTGACACGTTCTTTTGATATGTTTAAGGCCTCAGCTATGTCAATCAACCGTATTTTGCGGTCTCCCAAAATTATTTTGTGGATTTTTTTCACGTTTTCGTCCGTAACGACCTCTTTTGGGCGTCCACTGCGTGCGTCGTCTTCAGTTGACATGTGACCGGTACGAAATTTAGCAAACCACTTGCGAATGGTTGCTTCGCCCGGGGCAGAGTCCGGATAACACTCATCAAGCCATTTCTTGCATTCGACGGCACTTTTTTTCATCAAAAAATAATGTTTCATTAACACACGAAACTCTTGACTTTCCATGGTTTTCAAAAATAACAAAAGTAGCGTCACTCTCGATACGATAACTCAAAAACTAATGATCCGACAGCTGTCAAATTTTGACAGGCATCTTTTGAAGGTTGGTACTAGCTAAGAAGCGTATGGATTTTATTCTGGTGGCGCCATCTCATAGAAACGATACGGACTTTTCAGCCCACCTGTTAATTTTGGAAAAAAGTATAACAAACACTGTGCTCAGTTGGTAGATAATGAGACCTCAGTGTGGTTGTTTGTACTTTGGTCTTTGATACAAATGGTTGAGGTTTGGGCGCCACCAAGTTCCAAGAACTAGGAAAAAGAAATAAAAAAGTAGTGCCTTTTGGCCTATTAAAACTTATACTGACTGCTAAATGATGGGTTTCTGGGGCTAACGAAACACAAATTCACAAGACACATTAATATTTATTGAGAGAAAAAAAATGAAGTGCCGGGAGACATACAAAAGGAAATTAAGTTGAGAAAAGGGCCCCGACAACAAAATTCACCAATGGAGGCCAATATCTATCAAAAATTCCCACCACCCGGCAAATTACAGCACTGGGTGTGAAATTTTTTTCACTAACGTACGTTGTGGCAGACGAACTGCTATATAAGAGCACAAGAAAAGGCCCCCGGTCACGTTCAGTTCTCGTATTTAAGGTCGACGGAAATTATAAAAAATGAAGCTCATCACAACCACATGTGCAAGGCCCACATGTCATCCAAATAAACTACTTGGGAAAATCACACTAATTATCACTCAATTTCTCAAGAGTTTCCAATTAATTAGACATTGTGTTACCAGAAAAACACCCGTATCAACAATAATTATGAGTTTTAACCTCACAACACTTCTATAATAACGAAATAATTCCCGTTCCGTGGCCATCCATGCGTTGCACATACCGCACGCCCTCTATTGTCGAATAGAAACATTAATTACATTTTGCCAATGACCTCAAAGAGATGGAGAATATACAATAGAGTACGATTTTCTACCATAGAATTATTAGGCTGGGCGCGTACATTCGTTTTCGTATACGGTTTCCTAATCAGGAATTCCAATTCGGAATTCCGTGAGACTAGCGCAAACCTTCAATTTTTTCAGACCAATATTTTGATCACAACGATCAACGCCGCCCATATTTGCGTTGCATACATTTACAAGATGAGGCTGTTCTACCTAAAATCAAAAGCATCTTTGAAAACATTGATTTTCTTGCAGATCGTGTTTCTTACCTGAATACTTTTTTTATCCTTTTGAGAGTATCGCTTTACAAAGCGAATTGGTTGCAATCCTGCGGCATTTGAACAGAGTGCTACTAAATTATTGTCATGGCATTTTACTGCAATTATGTTTGTATCGGAAATTTTGTTGTAATCGTAACCAGCTCTTTTTTCCCTTTTCATAATTTTAGAATCTCTGAATTGAACGCCTTGTAAACGATTTTCTCTAGCCGTACCAGTCGCAACGACATTTTTTTCAGTCAATTTTACCATAATAGGGAGAGAAGTGAAAACATTGGCGAAAACTAAATGAAATTTTTCTCCTCAGTGCATCAGAATACTCTAATACCACACCAACCCCCAAATCTGCATAATTCTTACTAATATTGGTTGACGACCCTTGGTAAGGTTCAACCCAGTAAACGTAGTTCTATACTACAACTATTTAAAACTGTAATGACTCATACGCGTGATCAACACGTGATCAGAGCTCGATCCCGGCTTCCTTCCAGTACAGCCGTATAGCGTACGACATATGTCGTCTCTCTGGCTTTGCGGTGATCAACAGCATAGACAGAGATGGAAATAATGGCTGATTGTTCTCCGCCGGTAGAACCAATGAAATCAAAGACGCGCCTCGACCGGCAGACTCATAGGCGTCGGCAACGCATTGGAACGTGTTTCATTGAGCGATCGCATATTGTGTGTTTTTATAAGAATTGTTCTGTGATTGTTACTGTTGTGATTTCTGTGGTTACTGTTTTGGTTATACTTAACCATGGAGGGTACAAATGGCTCGAGTGGAAGTACTGAAAGCCAGGGAACAAGTAGACGGCTTCGTAAAGCACTGAAGAGGGACGCAAAGAAATCGTGCTCAACGTGTTCAATTATCTGAACAGAACTATGTCGCAGGGAGATGCACTCGCGCGTTGTGAAAGTATGACAGGCGTTCCAGAGTGGACCATTCGCAGGGTGGTGCATGAAAAGAAGAAAACGGGAGCTACTACTGATCCAAAGTTTAATTTGAAGGGACGAAAGGCCGTTAAATTGGATGACGATAGCAAAATGGCGTTAAGGCGAACCGTACATTCATTCTTCTTTAGGAATGAGATACCAACCCTCAAGGCTGTACATGCAGCGATCAAGGAAAATGAAATTATACCCCAAATGAGCGTCGAGGTAATGAGGAAATCCCTGCACGAAATTAATTTTCGTTACGAAACGCGTAATCGGAAATCAGTATTGATAGAGAGACCTGAAATAGTCGCCTGGCGTCGAAAATACCTACGCGAATTGATTGAATATAGGCGACAAAGCAGAAAAATCTATTATTTGGACGAGACATGGGTAAATGCAGGTCACACAGTTAAAAAAAATGGATAGACAAAAACGTAGTGAGTAACCGACAAGCAAGCATTGAAGGTTTGTCAACAGGTCTTCGTTGACCGTCAGGGAAAGGTCAAAGATTGATCGTAAATGAATGCCAGCTGCTTCGAGATCTGGTTTCAAGGGGTGCTTCAGCGAGTTGAGCCCAACTCTGTGATCGTCATGGACAATGCTTCCTACCATAGTCGTCGAGCCGAACGTGTACCGACCATGGGATCTCGAAAAAGTGACATGCAGCAAAGGTTGCGCGAAAAAGGAATCCCGTTTGACGATTCATGTGTGAAAGCGGAATTGTATGAAAAAATTAAACAGCACAAACCTGCGAACATTAGTTACGTGACTGATGAGATGGCCCGTCAATGTGGTGTCACTGTGCTGGGGTACCGCCCTACCACTGTGAACTGAACCCAATAGAGCTCATCTGGGCTCAAGTGAAGGGTTATATTGCGCGCCATAACACAACCTTCAAATTACCAGACGTTAAGGTTTTACTTGAGACTTCCATACAGCTAGTAACGCCCGAAGCTCGGCAGAATGCTATCAGTCATGTTGTGAAGGAAGAAACAAAAATGTGGCAGCTTGACCACCACATCGACACCATCATAGAGCCAGTTATAGTCAATTTCAACGAGGAAAGCGATAGCGACAGTTTATTACTGTCAGATGTAAGTGGAAGCGACGATGAATAAAGGTAATTCCCAAATTTTTGACTTACAATATGTTTCAAACCACTCTTTATTAAGCATGTGACAAATCTAGTTCACCCATGTTAAACATTCATACCCCGCCTATGAACAGCCGACTACTGGTAATTAAGTGATGTTCACGTGAACATCGATGAGTCATTACAGTTTTAGATAGTTATAGTATAGCAAGTCAATAACGCTATACAGATGGATTTGAGACCAGTAAGCACCTTACCTGTGATGTCCAAGCTTGCAGAGAAAGTGGTAGCTGACCAACTTCGTGACCATCTAGAAGTAAATGAAGTCCTCCCCGATACAGAGTCGGGATTCAGAAAACTACACAACACATCCACAGGCTTATAAAAGTAACTAGCGATATAGTCAAGTTCATGGATGATGGTATGGTGACCGTATTGGTGATGTTAGATTACAGTATTTGACATGGTCAACCATGAAGTATTATTATTATTAGTAAAAAGCTACAATATTATGGTTTGTCTAGTAATGCCTTACTGTGGTTCAACAACTACCTGACTGGCAGATCCCAATGCACAGAGATAGTTAACAAAATGTCAACTTTAGAAAATGTAATTTCTGGTGTTCCGCAAGGAAGTGTATTTACTATTTACATTCTATAAATGAAATTAATTTATTGATTAAAGAATTAAATGTAAATCTAGAAATGATTGCTAACCATTCCAAAAATTATTGTTTGAAACTGAATCCCACGAAAACTAAAGCTTGCTGCATTGGTTCTAGCTTAAATATTTCAAAATTTAAAGGTTTCATGAGTACAGCCATTGTTTTAGGTGATACATCTGTTGAAATTGTAGAGGAGACTAAGAATCAGGCATTTTATTGGACACAAATTTAAGTTTTGAGACCCATGTCATTAATAAACTTCGAGTATGCTATTGTAAATATGTCACTTTGGAGATACAAACATGTTTTTACCAGTCACATAAAATTAAGACTTACCAATGCACTAATCCTCACTCATCTAGACTATCGCGCTACAGTATATTATAATTTTCTTACGGAAGAAATGAAGCACAAAATTCAAGTATTTCAATTACCAAAAATATTTACAATCATGTTTCTCAATTGGCTGTTCTTTGGCCTAAACTTGGTCTCATGGGCAATGCAATGCTCTCTTTATTGTCCCAGAGATGAGACACCAAGCATAGACCATGCTGATGAGTAGCCAAGAAGCACAAAACAACTGTCCACGGTTGGCTGACTTCTGGCCAGATGGACGAAAGCATCATGTTTAGTTTTGGCTGTTCATTCTATTATGCTATTTCTAAATTTCTAAGCCAAAAGACACACATCCAAAACCATGTGGTTGTACTAAGTTATGAGAAACTGTTTATAGAAATATGTGGTTTTATGAACAAGATACGGGTGCCAAAGTATCATACAATGTGTAAGAAGTGGTTCAAAATAAAATATTATTTATTTTTATGAAGAGATATGTATATTGCTGTTGACTCTTCTTATTTATATATAATGTCTATTCTATGTGTAATAAAATGGTTTTAACTAACATGAAAGGGAATATGTAATGTATTTATATTTTTTATTTTGTACTTTTTTATACACACTCTTAAACTGTCTAAACCTAACAGAATATTATAATGTTCTATTCTACATAGTAGTTTGAGAATTGTATTGAAAGTACTCATGTTTAAATGTTGCATTAATAAAAAGTTTAAAAGTTAATATATTTTTTTCTAATCAATCACAACAGTGGTAAATTAATCATTTAATAGGGGCAGAGTCATGCACTATTTATAAATATGGTGTTGACCATCAGTACCAGAATCCTTACATTTCAATGTATATATGAGAAAAAAATGCGTGCAACACTTATTTTCTGCTACAATTAAATTATTTTGACAGCATTTAATTATAATTGAACATGTTATGGAAAACAATAGGCATTTAAAAGTAACTACAAAATACTTTTAATCACAGTCAGACAAAATCAATAAATATAAGGGGCTGTCCAAGTATTACGTGAGCACTATGGGGGTAGTCTAGATGATTATTACGTCATCGGTAGTTATTTACTTTTTTACACGAATGGCAACCCTCACATTAGGTGGATTCTTTAATTCACCGGTTGATTCCACCACTGATGGATGCCCTGCTTATGGTTGACACTGTTGACAGCTTTGTATGGTGATGGCAGCAACCGGTTGAATTAAAAGGACAGATGTCTGGTCCACCGGTGGCACCGGTTGCTCAACCAGTGAATTAAAAAATACACCAATTGTCTGCTTGAAAACGAAACGCATTTTTGGGGATTCCCGCAAATAATGTATACATTTAGTGAACAGCGCGCGGTAATTCCTCTACTCGCTTTAGAACCGAGTAAGGGAATTACCGCGCGGTGGATTTGACATTAGTCGCAGTGGGACATATGAGGAGCAGACTTTCTATATGCAATTTGTCCATTTTTTCAAATTTTCAACCAAAGGTGGCATCGCAAACTAGATATACACCTCTACAATGTTATGCTACAAAAGACATTCTAAATGCATTTTGTTCCATTCAAATCGAATGATAAAAATTCCTTGGACTTTCTTTATGCTATATGTCCATTAGCGGTGGACAAACTAACAGAAGTTTGTCCTTGCAGCCTGGACTAATTGCCTTTAGTTTGTCGTTGCACGTGTTGCTGTCAGACGTGTTTGTTTTGTGTACTTTTATTTCTCTGTTTTTCACGAAACAATCCAAAATAATGGATGTACCTGTGAAAGGGGATCATATAGTTGGTGATACGAACCGTGGTAGTAGAAAAAGGAAAAAAAAAATATCACATCTAAACAGCGTAAAAGTTGTTAGGTAAGTTTCAATGATTTTGAGGTTATGTTTGTATTACGCTATTGTTTGGCTAATATCATCTGTAGTAGGCTGTTATGTTATTATCGTTAATATTTTAATATTCTCTTTTTAAGGCATTCAGATCATTACCCTAATTTGGAACATCTTGTTGATTTTTCCTGTGGTCACCCTAAATGCAAGGATTTTTTTGCTATGAACTATCCCAGGATGACATACATACAATAAGAACGTTTTATAAAACGAAAAAAAAAAGAATGTACAGGATAATAAATTTGGACATTTTATGGATGTTGGGAAACCAGATAGAAGTCGTAACCGAAGACCAGGAGGAAAATCGCACAGTTTTTCTACAAGATATTTTGTAAGTTTACTCTTAAATAATTTGATTTAGCCTAAAAGGGTGATTGTTTAGACATACACTACGGTGGAAAATATAGTATTTTTGAAATCGGCCGTTACCTTATCCCGATCGAACGACAAAAAAATTCAAACTGGAAACTTAAATTTAAAGATATAATCGTGGTTTAAGCAACGCTTTACTATCGGAAGGTCAGGTTTAATTGTACCTTGGACTTTAACGATGTAGACATTCCAAAATCCGATGAAAGTGAGCAAACTCACAACACTGAGCAGCAATTGAAGCAATCCAATGTCGAAAACATAGAATCATGGATTCGGGTTTCATGGACTGAAGACTTAATTTGAATTTAATATATGTACCAAAAATTTAAAATAAGCTTGTTGAATACCATATCAGTAAAATATAATCTCTATCCTAAATCTATTTTCTTATTTTTCAAATTATAATTATAATATTACTTAAGAAAAACAATACATTAATTGACAAATGTTTACGTAAGCATGGGGGGAAGGGGTAAGAGCTTCCTTTACTTTTGCTGACAAGGGGGTAAATAATTGTAATAAATTTGCTTACGTAATACTTGATCGGCCCCTAAGGTAAGATTATATCTATACTCTTCTCAACTAACAAGATACTTTTTTCCATACAATAGAGCTTTTTTCTCAAAAGCTTTGGATTTGATGGGTGATCCTTCTTCGTAAAAGGGATTCATAGCATGCTTAATATAAGCCTCATATATGTCAGTAAAAAAGTTCTTGATTCCATCGTCATTGCGATTATCGTGTACAATAACAAATCGAATTAAGCTTGCAGTAACAAATGCAGACACAAACCATTGGTTAAATTTGTCAACAGATTTCAGATACATATTGTTAGTTTTCCATTTGTGCTCGTCTATTAGATCCAGTGCAGAGTGTGCTATGAACTGGTTTAGATGACGGTAATCCTCTTTCTGAAAATATAAGTAACTTCATTTGTACCGTTTGAACAGTTGTTCGAAATTCATTTATCTACCTTTGGTTCTTTGCTGTTCGTAAATTCCATTTCAAACAAAGGTTGGTCTTTGTGGCCAACAATTACGAAGTAAAAGGTGCCTATCATTATGAGGATTATGAGCACTGCTCTCCTTTAATCATGCTTCTTGATCTTAATATAAATAATGATAGCACAAAATATACACTGATAGAATGCTAACTCAGTGTAATTCAGCCAGGAACACGAATGTCGCCATGTTTTCGTGGTGATAGAACATAGAACAAATATGATACAGAAAGAAAGCCTGCCTACTCGGAACAATTCGACGAATGACATATACCGCCATGTTTCTTACAATGACATACGGCGGTGCTATCACGGTTGCCTACTTTCTCACCACATCTGTCACTCATTGTCATCTTTTATTTGGTTGTTTTGAATGGTTTTCCTAATAACAGAAATTAATTTTGCATTAGGAAAACCAAATCAAATACCTCACTTGTATTTGTGATTGGGTTCGTTCAAGATTGATAAATAAAACAATATAATTAGGAAAATAACTTTGTGTTGCGGTGAATTTGATACATTTTAGATTCCTAGTTCACTTTTACTTACTTCTAATTGTGTAAGGCATGAACTCGAAGTCTCTGACAGAAAAGTATATTTATCTTGATAATGAGTCTGTACCACAAAATCTGGCTTAGAATAGCAGTAATCGTGTTCAATTGTACGTACATCTGTCAAGTCTTTGGCACTTATTTTGGCAGGCAATTTGCATGTCTTGCTGCAGAGGTTGAAGAAGAATCACAAATGCTTGCTGAGAAACCAACACAGCATTCCTCCAATGAAACTGTAATATCAGAATGACTAATGGGTATGCGTGTGAAAGTAGCTCCAAAAGCTGGCTCCACAATCCTACCCGACTACCCGCCGCTCGATTACAGCGGACCGAATAAATGCTGTCCGCCTGCGATACGCCGTGGCCGTAGCGCTACTCATAGAAGCCCGTGACGCGCATTCGAGGTGAGCGCGGTAATTATATATAGGGTGTTTCAGTTTATTGTTGCATAACTTTAAGATTCGATAGAACTTTTAAAATTAATGCATAAAGTCTATATAAACATGGGTCGAAAAATGCGTGGCTTCCGAAATACAGGGTGTTTAAATTTACTTTCTAAAATAGTTTTTTTTAAATATTTCGAACAATATTTGATGTATAACAGTGAAAATTGGGCGAACGTCCGAGACTAAAAAGTTCATCCCATCGTGTAGGAGACACTTGCCAATTGTGCGGTGTCGAACGTTGTACACAACGTTGTATACAACACTGGAAGCATCGTGTGGGACCGGCATTACAAGAAGAGAAAGAACAGGACAACAGGAGCTATTCGCGCCCTCTTCTGACAAATAACTTCAGCGATACAGTTACACTGAAGAGTTTGAGCATGATTATCGATTTCTTTATATGTTGAAGCTGTGCTATGACGTAACGACCATAGATGGCGCCACCATTTAATTACAATTTAAATTCAAATCTTAAATAAGAAATTGATCTTGTTGAAGTTTAACATTTAGTTTTGGATATATTTTTTTTAAATCTGATATAATTTTACAGCTTTCAAATGAAGCGAGTTCGTTACAGCACATCGCTATTCCTTAACTATAACTATAACCTTAAAACGTCGAAAGTACAAAGTAGGCTGTGAAAATTAATACGTGAGTTGGCGTCGGCGGCCCTTCCCGAAAAACGGCAGTGAAAAGTGATACACTTCTATTCGGGATTTCGAAGTGTTTCATATTTCGAAAATAATGAAATATCGCTGGATCAAAAGTCGAGTTATCTAAATACGGTTTACGTGTTTCCTTACCGTGCAATTTTAGTGTTGAACGGACTATCCGATAGTAGTCTTCATCCACAAGTGTTCCCCTAACCTATTGTTTCCAGTCGAAAATGGTAAGTTTGTAATTATATTCTATTTGAACCTATATTTTCAATCGAATAGTGTTTGCAGTTTAGTAGATATATGTATTACATTATCTATTTATTGTGGAACATACGTAAAGTCCGGTATAAATACATACCAAGCAAGGGCTCCAAGTCTGGCACTATATACTCCCCAGCGCAGAGGAAACATGATTTCAAAATCTGGCTGCAGGCTCTTTTATTTTTATTAGTTGCAAGTTAGTCACCGAGTTGATTCTTCCAGTTAAATTTATGACTATGTAAACAAAAAGTTATTCGCCAGTGCGGCATGCAACCAACTCTATACCGCTGTGACGCTTGTGTGCCTATACGTGACTTCAGAGCGCAGCATGAGAAATTGCAGCTTACGAGGGTAAATGGAAAGGATCTTTTTAGAAAAAAGTTCTATCCAAACAATGAATTTTCATGTAAATATTCGTTGTTATGTTGAAATGAAGGGGCATTTTCTTCTAGGTATGTTATATTATAGTTGCGTATATTATTATGATGGTGATTCAAAAACAACTTAGGTATTTTTAATTATGAGGTGTCAGCGCTAATGAGCGCGTTCTGCCAGCGTATGCTGAATAGCGCAGTGTTGCCAGAGCGAAGTTTAAAATATCCGTCACACGTATCGCAAAATTCCGCTACATGCCGCTGCGGTCTCAAAATTTAAGGGGGGGGGGGAGGCTTAAAATAAACAACAAATATATTTTTTACATATTTACTTTTTTTTAAACACTGTCTAAAAACCCTACTAAAAATACAAACAGTAACATAATATAATTGCATTTTTTCGTAAAAACATAAAAAGTATACCTCTAAAAAAACAAAACTGTCTTTGGTTTAGAACTAGGAATTAATAAAAAAATAGAAACTATCACCAATATCTTAATCTTAATAGAAAAAACAAAACAAAAAATAAGGACAAAGAAGAAGCGGAAACGTGGAAATGCCTACGTTTGCTTATTTTATTCACAGTCAGAATCAGAAATTACTTCTTCTTCAGCTTGTTCTGCCTTATTTACATTATATAAATTCCTTTTATATTTGTTTAAATGATTCTCATTAAAACTATAGGATAAACAGCACTGTTTTTTTGATTCCAAGTCTAATTTAATTGTAAATAGTGCAGACAAAGTTGATGGTATTATTTTATTTCTTTTTTTTATTTTGTAATCAAGCATATAAGAAAAAGTTCGCTCAACATCAGCGTTTCCATGAGGCAATGTTAAAATGATTAGAGCCAGTTTACCTATATTGCGAAATAAATATTCGTCATTAAAATTTTTGAGGTCGTTTACAAACGACCAAAATTCAATGACATTACTTTTTGTTTTTAAAATTCCCTCTTTCTCACTATCACTAAAATAAATACATATTTTCTTTAGTTCCAAAATTGCCTTTTCGGTTTCAATATGAAGGGCAAATTTTTTTAAAACGGCTTCATGAAAGGTATCACTTATAATAAGACGATTGTTCATCACATCAACCGGTGAGAGAAACTTTAGCTCTGAAAAGAAGTTGTCTTTGATAGGAAATCTTTTAAGGGACTCTTCTACCGATTTTTGGTAAAATGTGACACATTTTAATTTAAATTGTTCGATTGCAGTGTTTTATTGCATCCATTGTATGCGGACCAACATTCACTTGTTCAATTGGTAATAAGCAGTGGGGATCATTAGGATTTAGATAATATAATTTCTCATTTTTAAAATATTCTGGTCGCATAAAGTTTGTACATAGATGACGTACAAATGGCTCACTCTCTATTGATATGATATTGAGCATAACTTTCTCTGATTGAAAGAGAGCATTAAATTGGTTAAAAATGGGCAACACGAATTTAAAAAACATTAAATACGCCTTAACAAATGGATTCTGTAACCCATTAAGTATTACATTTGCTAAAGGATTTTTGTCTTCAATGGAAGCTAATCTAAATAGGCTAAGCAAGATGTCCCACTGATCCAAAACTCTATCAACACATTTGGATAAAGCAAGCCACCTTGTTTTACTAGGGCTTAAAATTTTTAATTTTGACTTTCTGAAATATTCCTGTAATTCTTCAAGAACACACTGCCTTTTTGGGCTTCTTGAGAAGTAAGAATATAAGTTTTGTAAAAGAGCTTCAACGTTGCTTGGAATCTTTTCAGCTACCGCCACCGCCACTAAATGAGCAGAGTTGCAAATGCAGCCATTGACAATTATATTAGGATTATCTTTTATAAGATAAGTTTTGAAAGATTCGTTATTGCCCGTCATAACACTAGCGTTGTCGGAACAGTATCCAACAATATTGGTAATTTTTACGTGATTGGATATAACGCATTTTTTAAAAAGAGAATATTAACCGTTGGCGGTACCTTCATCTGCGTTTATTTTAATTATATCTAATAAATGGGTTTTAATTGAATTTTTATGAATATACCTTACAAGAATGCATAGTAGTCTTGTATTGCTCAGGTCTGTACTCTCATCCAATAAAATAGAAAATGGTTTATTTTCCAATTCTGAAATTATTTCGTCTTTAATAACAGGAGCCAGCACATTTTTAATTATACTTATGCATTTGGAATCTTTTTAATTTAAGTGAGCTAGAGAGATCTGGGTCTTTAAAACATAATTGACTAACTCCTGTTATATGATCAACAGTTCTAAAACTTATATACTGACTTACAACTAAAAGACTATATCTTAAGCAAGCAAATATTTGCCGTTTTTCCAACTCACGTGCTTCCCGAGACTGAATAGTGCTATCTAACGTTCTTACATTCGAAAAATTGCTTGTACATTAGTGGCATGCCTTTTTGATTTCGAATGATTCACTAAATCTGATTTTTTAGCACCCATTATTTGATTACAAGCTTTACATTTTGCTTTCAACTTGTCATTTTCAATAGGTCCCAACCAGCCTTTAAATAACGGATCTTCTAGCCATGATGCAGTAAACATTTGTTTTCGTGTCTTTTTCATAACAGGTTGCTCTGGCTCTTGGTTATCCTGAGATTCGCAAGTCGAATTATCAGGCTCAGACCTGATTCCACTAGATTCCGCTCTTCTATTTTGTCTGTATTCAGGTTCGGGATGCTCCGAGTCCGACACAGATGCAGTCGAAGTGGATGCTACGGCCACGTTTGGTTTCACCGTTTGTTTTTTAGAAGGATTTTTATCAAAAAAATTGTTAATGGTCTGCTGTCGCCTTCCCATTATTCCTATTTTCCAGAAGAAAAAGCGTTAAAAACAAATTTCGCGACTAAGATTTATTTCTGGATCAAACTATAATATGTTAGGTATTTAAGCAGTTTTGTTACTTACCAGTAGATTTAATATTAAAATCTGCAGCAAATGATATATCAATAAAATGATCAACACAAAAATAAGAACACTAATATAAACGAAACTAAACAGTATATATATTTAGGCTTCTGCCACTGGTGCACGTTGATTTTAAGTATGGCCTTTTGAATGTGGATCATACTTAGGTAAATCCACATACTAAATTTTAGTTCATTTCAGTTGACGCTTTTGAATATATTAAAAAACATGTTTTTTATTTTTAAACTTCATCTTTTTAATGAACCCGTCGAGGAAAAAATGTTACCTAGAAGACCCCCCTTAAAATGCGGTCCTGTGTATGATGTTATATTTTTGCTCACGACTGAGTCACTCTGTATACGACCACTTAATGTCCACAGCTTGGATCCGACTTAAAACACTAGATAAATAAACAGTACAGTACTTACTCTAAATTACGCTGGGAGTCGGACAGTAGGGAATTGTTTCAAGGAAAAACAGAAACAATCCTAGAAATCCAGGCCATAACTCTTGATTAGACTCAAGGGTACGGAAGGAGACAATGGTAGAATCACGTCGATGTTGTGTCTTACATTTCTTGTAAATAGGAATAGGGCTTTTCAGGTATTGCGTGCCAGGAAACAAAAGTTCCTCGGTTCGAAAGTACAAAATTGTATTTTTTAAATAATCAAATGTAGTTTTTGCTGTTGGAAACAATGAATAATAATGGAGTCAAGAAGATAGACTCAGTTGTTAGCACTTCGCATTGGTACAATAAATTTATTTTTATACTTGAGGCTCTCAAAGTTTTTTGCCTCCTAAAATTTATCGTGACCACGCCTCAAAGTGAAAAGAAATTTGAAAATTTTGGAAAAAAGTTTTTGATTTATTCAAAGTTTTGACCTCCCCTATTAATTTTAAGTTGAACGCATCCAAAATGCTTGCATTTAAATATTTCAGAACATATGTATTTAGTTTAGTACTTTACTGAAATTTAAAAGAACAAGGTACGCAATTTTTGAATTTTTACCTAACATTCATCAATTTTGGAATATTTAACTATTTTTATGTGGAGGCATGGGCGCAACACTTCCTACTTGAAATCTATGATAAAGCATTCTGAGACACAAAACATACAGGGTGTCCCAGAGGTCGACGTCAAGCCGAAACCGGGTGATAGGCAAAGTCATAACAGCTATCAAAAAAAAATTAAAAAAAATTTTATGTGTGTTTTGAAAATTATAGGTCTTTGAAAAAAATATAGAAATTTCACACCCTATCGCAGTCTGTCAACTCCTGTTACTACAAATATTAACTTTTTTTGGATTTGATTTTTACAATTTAATGATGAATAATGCATCTTCAAACTGGTGTCTCAACCTTACTGCCAACTTTTCTCGTTCAGAAAAAATTGCCACTTATTTCCCAACCAAGTATTCCAAAGTAAAACTTTGCTCAACTTTAACTGGCTGTACTGGAAAAAATGTACTACGAGAGTTTGGCAAGTAACCTTAAAAGTTGGCGCATTTAATAAGGATTCCAAAATGGTATAACACTTAGAAGATTACTCGTTAACTTATGCACAATTTTTATTTGAAGAAAAACTGATGAAAATTTTTCAAAATTTCTTAATTAAACAGCGATTATGAAAACGCACAAGGACCCTTAAGGATAACTGTTTGCACAACAGTGGACGTCAAAATGCTGCTGATGATGATTTACCTTTACAGCAAATGCTCAAACTGTTTTCCTTCAGCCGCAATACACGCTCGACATCTTCTTAAAAAAGATTGGGTTATTAAACGAGCGAATCCACGGTTATTAACAAACTCAGCTGCTTCCAATAGTCTTTGCCGTAGCTCAGCTACATTTTGAATCGGCTTGAAATACACTTTTTCTTTTACAGTTCCCCAGTAAAAAAAATCTAACGGATTCAAATCTGGTGACCGGGCTGGCCACGGTATTGTACCAGACCGCCCTATCCATCTGCCTGGAAAGTTTTGATCGAGACACTCTCTCACTGAGAGTGCATAGTGCGCTGTGCAGCCATCATGCTGAAACCACATGTCCCTGTAAATACTCAGTGGCACGTCAACCAATAAATTTTGTACGTGATTTTTCAAAAAATCCAAATAAACTTCAGCAGTCAAAGTTTCTGGGAACTCAAACGGACCGATTATTTTACCATTTAAAATTCCTGTCCAATGGTTTATCTTGAAGCGATATTGAGATTTATCTTCTCTCATCAAATGTTGGTTTGCTACGTGCCACTCGTGTAAGTTATGCAGGTTCATGTACCCATCTTTCTTAAATGTGGTCTCATCTGACCATAAAAGAACCGTGGATCTTCCCTGTGTCTTTCTAACATTGTGCGACAAAAAGCAACTCGGGGCTCATAATCCCGGGGCAGAAGAGCTTGAACACGCTGTACGTGGTATGGATGGAGCACGTTTTTTTGCAAGTTTCTATGGGCTGTACTTTTGGGCACACCTGTTTTTAGTTCTATTGCACGCATTGAAGTACTCGAATCTTCTTCGACAGCTCCTAGCACCACGTCTTCGTGAGGAAGGAAAGATCTTCCCTCACCGTGTGATTGGTTTGGTAGTTGGCCCTCTGAGAACAGTAAGCGGTGCACATTTGTGAACACTCGATGATCTGGATGACGAGCTGCATTCGGGTACCTCTCACAGTAAAGTCTCGCTGCAGCACTAGCGTTGCATCTGCATTCCCCATAAATGAGGTGCATGTTAGCATATTCTTGTACGGTGTACACGGACATAGCGGCACTGCACAATCACACTATCAAAGATAGTCTAAGGAAAGCAAATGTTGTTTTGAAGAGCAATTAAACAGTCCAAATCCAAATCACAAGCGATCAACAGTCCAGTTCACGAATCCAAAATTAGTAACAGTACGAAATCAACATGCACGAACATGTAAAGATGCACAGTAAACGAAGGAGTACTGATCGGTATCAAAGTGTGCAATAGCAAGTAAGTGATGTGCTTCATCCATACCACATACAGCGTGTTCAACCTCTCCTGCCCCGGGATTATGAGCCCCGAGTTGCTTTTTGTCGCAAAATGTTGGGAAGACACAGGAAAGATCCACAGTTCTTTGAAAAAATTTTATGGTCGGATGAGACCACATTTAAGAAAGATGGGTACATGAACCTGCATAACTTATACGAGTGGCACGTAGCAAACCCACATTTGATGAGAGAAGATAAATCTCAATATCGCTTCAAGATAAACCATTGGACAGGAATTTTAAATGGTAAAATAATCGGTCCGTTTGAGTTCCCATAGACTTTGACTGCTGAAGTTTATTTGGATTTTTTGAAAAATCATGTACAAAATTTATTGGTGGACGTGCCACTGAGTATTTACAGGGACATGTGGTTTCAGCATGATGGCTGCCCAGCGCACTATGCACTCTCAGTGAGAGAGTATCTCGATCAAAACTTTCCAGGCAGATGGATAAGGCGGTCTGGTACAATACCGTGGCCAGCCCGATCACCTGATTTGAATCCTTTAGATTTTTTTACTGGGGAACTGTAAAAGAAAAAGTGTATTTCAAGCCGATTCAAAATGTTGATGACCTATGGCAGAGACTATTGGAAGCAGCTGAGTTTGTTAATAACCGTGGATTCGCTCGTTTAATAACCCGATCTTTTTTAAGAAGATGTCGAGCGTGTATTGCGGCTGAAGGAAAACAGTTTGAGCATTTGCTGTAAAGGTAAATCATCATCAGCATTTTGACGCCCACTGTTGTGCAAACGGTTATCCTTAAGGGTCCTTGTGCGTTTTCATAATCGCTGTTTAATTAGGAAATTTTGAAAAATTTTCATGTTTTTCTTCAAATAAAAATTGTGCATAAGTTAACGAGTAATCTTCAAAGTGTTATACCATTTTGGAATCCTTATCAAATGCGCCAACTTTTAAGGTTACTTGCCAAACTCTCGTAGTACATTTTTTTCCAGTACAGCCAGTTAAAGTTGAGCAAAGTTTTACTTTGGAATATTTGGTTGGGAAATAAGTGGTAATTTTTCCTGAACGAGAAAAGTTGGCAGTAAGGTTGAGACACCAGTTTCAAGATGCATTATTCATCATTACATTGTAAAAATAAAATCCAAAAAAAGTTAATATTTGTAGTAACAGGAGTTGGCAGACTGCCGTAGGGTGTGAAATTTCTATATCTTTTTCAAAGACCTATAATTTTCAAAACACATACATAAAATTTTTTTCAATATTTTTCTGATAGCTGTTATGACTTTGCCTATCACCCGGTTTCGGCTTGACGTCGACTTCTGGGACACCCTGTATAAAAATGAATGTGTTAGGCCATTGCGCTCTTAATAAGAACAAAACTTCAAACAAACGAATACATAATTATAATAAGAGTTTAACTTTAGTTTGTAGCACAGATTACAGATTCCGATCCTTTTTTAATTTCTCTAAATTTTACGTCTACTGCCCGATTCAAAAAATCAAAAAATACGAACAGTTTCAGTGGAACCAGCAAGGATATCTCATGCAGGAAAACTCTCTTATCGATACTTGATTCTAAATGGATATTTGTTACATTGTTACGTGATTAAAGTCATTATAACTGACCATCTCAATATCAGAATCATACTGCGTAGTGTCTGTATATTGTTAGACAAAGCAAGAGAATCCATACTTCACCAGAATCCTCATTTTACATAATTTCCTTTGTTGTTTATGCTAATGGGTGTTCAATGTTAATGCAGTCATGGGCAAGTGAAATTGCAATAAAAATAACTATATGTATATTGTTTTTATAGATTCAGTATCGTTCTAGAGTTGTTTTGAAATCACAGTTATGTTCCTGTTCCCCATTTCACTTTAATTGATGTACAAGGTGCTGCTAAACACCGTGAATCGTGAGACAAACTTACGTAATCCTGCTTGACACCATCCAGACAGCGAAATGTTGTTTGCACCTCTACAAGATTATTACTTACCTCCTATGCCAAGTAGATTGATTCAGGACCTATTAGGAATTGCTTTCGAAAATTACAGGTCCACGAAATTATGTGAAATCTAACAATTACCTGACTTCAAAATTGTTGACCCCCAAAAAGTTTTTTTACTATGTCCTAACGTGCAAACATTATTTTGACTTTCCAAAAACGATCAGCCACTCGACAATCTTAGAAGAAGGTGTCAAAAAAAGGTCAGCACCTACGTATGTTTATCCGATTTTAATAATTTTTGGCATATATGTTTAGTGTCCCGTACTAGTAAAATGATTACATTTTCAGCTTGATTCGTCAACTGACTTCAGAACCTCTGATCTCCCACCGTTGGATCTAGTAATCCGCGGTGAAGCGAGAGTAGTCGCTCATCGACTGTGGAGTCAGGGCAGCTGGGATTTCTTGAATCCTGTCATGGGGCATACTGCCATCTTAGTCGAATTAGAAAGGGAGGACCCCGTCCTTCTAAGCAGGGGTGATCGTATTACCCCTAAATATCGCTTCAACCGTAATTTTGTTCTTGAGTATCCAACGAGGGAGAAGTGGGACGCCGGAGTGAGCGGGCAGGTCTGGTACACGGACGGCTTGGTCACTGTAGATGACCCAGGCGCTGGGTTTCTGGGCCTAGAACTAGGATATTTCTGCCTCTCGGTGGATACCATTTTCTAGGCGGAAATCTTTGCGATTTTGGCTTGTGTATCTCACATTCTGCCAGGCCAGGCTGCAATAACTGGTCGCGTGTAAAAACTGTTCTCAGATTTTTAAATAGGTAGGCCTGCGAGCTGAAGTTCGCGGACAGGTAGTCACCAGGTCCTTTAAAATTGAGGCACTCAACCAGGTGCAGTCCCAAGAATGTTGGGCAGTGCTGAATTATCCAATGTAAGCTGCAGGGGAGGTATTGATTTTTGGGCATTGTCGAATCTTATTGCTGTTGTCCATTCACAGTTTAGATGCAGCTGGTTCTTCACGAACCAGCTATTGATGCTAGGTAACAAGCTATTACAGTCGTTAATTAGGATAACGTCATCTTTATTTGATAGAATGATCGATGTGTCGTCCGCGTATAAGTTAAAGTGTGCTCTGGGGAAGGACTGCTCAAGGGTATTTACATATAATGCAAACAGAACAGGCCCCAACACAGATCCTTGTGGAACGCCAACATCCATATTTATCCCACTTGACTTGACTTGCATTAGTTGTCTTGAGCAGTTATGAGTTATTGTCACATACTGCGATCTGTTTTCTAAGAGCCGTTTTACACACAAGATAATTACTCCGAAAATTATGGTCATAATTATGCCGAAAATTTTTGCTGTCGTATTACACGTAAAAGAATTCTTGTGAAAATTTTCATGGTAAAAATATAAAACCCGTTCTATAGAATATGAGCGAGAATCGGCGCAGAGGGTTACTTCCGTGCATGTCAATATGTCAACGTCAACAACATAACCTCACTTAACATTTGTGGGTGTGGTCCTGTTCGAGTCGTACGAAGAAGCGTTTATTGTTATTGTTTATTCATAATGTCGTGGAATCGGGAAGAAGTTTACATTGTTGTTGGAGGAGTACCAAAAATGGCCAAACCTATACAAGGTGAAGTAACACAATTACAAAAACAGAAATTTGCGGCATCAGGCGCTGGATGCGATAGTCCAAGCATTGAGAAATTTTATAATATTAACCAAGATCTCGATTTCAAAAATGAATTTAAATCAACGACGTCTGTTGTCTTTCCGATTATATTGGACGTCATACCCGTTAAGATTATGTCCATTCGAAGATATTACTCTAATGCGCAGGCGTATCATATGAATTACTCCGAAATTTTGTTTGCTTGTGTCATACAGGTTGTAGAGAAAATCTTCAATATTTTTTCCATGCAAATTTTTGGCATAATTATGACCATAATTTTCGAAGTAATTCTCTTGTGTGTAAAACGGCTCTAAGAAGGATTTTATCCATTGGTAGGCTGGTCCACCGATTCCATAAGTTGCCAGTTTTATTAATAATAGATCATGGTTGACACAGTCGAATGTCCTGCTTAGATCACAGAAGATACCAACAGGGCACTCTCCTGCCTCAATGTACTGAACTAGCGTATTGAAGAAAGAATGAGATGCTGTTAGTGTTGACCTACCGTTACGGAAACCATGTTGGTTGGATGTTAGTACTTCATTACCTTCAAGGAACAGATTTGAAGAAGCAGAGTTGACAACTTCATGAAGTTGCCTCGCGTTTAGTTGATCATATCGTTAAGAGATTTGTTATCGTTGATATGGTCAGCGCTCACCATGACCTGGCCAAACAAAAAGATAATGGCACATTTTATGAAGTGCTCGATCATTTCATAAATTGGCCAATTAATGGTATTGGCAAGGGATGATACTATACAGGGTGGCGCATCGAAAACGAAACAGACGCATTCACTGGCATCTCAGTTTTTTTTTTGAAAAACGCTCAGACCCGTCGATTTTGTTTTCAAGGGGGACACCCCCGCCCAAGTATCGATAAGAGAGTTTTCCTGCATGAGATTTTCTTGCTGGTTCCACTGAAACTGTTCGTATTTTTTGATCTTTTGAATCGGGCAGTAGACGTAAAATTTAGAGAAATTAAAAAAGGATCGGAATCTGTAATCTGCTTTCTGCTTCAGATCAATAATAAAACACGCTGAGATACAGGTGTATAAAAATGTTGCGCAATGTGCTACAAACTAAAGTCAAACTCTTATTATAATTATGTATTCGTTTGTTTGAAGTTTTGTTCTTATTAAGAGCGCAATGGCCTAACACATTCATTTTTATACAGGGTGTCCCAGAAGTCGACGTCAAGCCGAAACCGGGTGATAGGCAAAGTCATAACAGCTATCAGAAAAATATTTAAAAAAATTTTATGTATGTGTTTTGAAAATTATAGGTCGTTGAAAAAGATATAGAAATTTCACACCCTACGGCAGTCTGCCAACTCCTGTTACTACAAATATTAACTTTTTTTGGATTTTATTTTTACAATGTAATGATGAATAATGCATCTTGGTGTCTCAACCTTACTGCCAACTTTTCTCGTTCAGGAAAAATTGCCACTTATTTCCCAACCAAGTATTCCAAAGTAAAACTTTGCTCAACTTTAACTGGCTGTACTGGAAAAAAATGTACTACGAGAGTTTGGCAAGTAACCTTAAAAGTTGGCGCATTTAATAAGGATTCCAAAATGGTATAACACTTAAAAGATTACTCGTTAACTTATGCACAATTTTTATTTGAAGAAAAACTGATGAAAATTTTTCAAAATTTCCTAATTAAACAGCGATTATGAAAACGCACAAGGACCCTTAAGGATAACTGTTTGCACAACAGTGGGCGTCAAAATGCTGCTGATGATGATTTACCTTTACAGCAAATGCTCAAACTGTTTTCCTTCAGCCGCAATACACGCTCGACATCTTCTTAAAAAAGATCGGGTTATTACACGAGCGAATCCACGGTTATTAACAAACTCAGCTGCTTCCAATAGTCTTTGCCGCAGCTCAGCTACATTTTGAATCGGCTTGAAATACACATTTTCTTTTACAGTTCCCCAGTAAAAAAATCTAAAGGATTCAAATCAGGTGATCGGGCTGGCCACGGTATTGTACCAGACCACCTTATCTATCTGCCTGGAAAGTTTTGATTGAGATACTCTCTCACTGAGAGTGCATAGTGCGCTGGGCAGCCATCATGCTGAAACCACATGTCCCTGTA